AATAATTTATAGTATTTAGAAGGAGGATGTTTTTAAATGTGCACTAGCTGCAGTTAGACCTTATGTCCACTAGAGGCTGTCGGAGCTCCGTTTGTTGTTGAAAGCAGAGAAATTGTCACAAAAAGTTCATTATTTGTTCCCTGCAGAGGATTCTGTTATTATCAGTATTATAGGTGTTTTATATATATATATATATATATTGATATTTACAGTGGGTACGGAAAGTATTCAGACCCCTTTAAATTTTTCACTCTTTGTTTCATTGCAGCCATTTGCTAAAATCAAAAAAGTTCATTTTATTTCTCATTAATGTACACTCAGCACCCCATCTTGACAGGAAAAAACAGAAATGTAGAAATTTTTGCAAATTTATTAAAAAAGAAAAAGTGAAATATCACATGGTCATAAGTATTCAGACCCTTTGCTGTGACACTCATATTTAACTCACATGCTGTCCATTTCTTCTGATCCTCCTTGAGATGGTCCTGCTCCTTCATTGGAGTCTAGCTGTGTTTAATTAAACTGATTGGACTTGATTAGGAAAGGCACACACCTGTCTATATAAGACCTTACAGCTCACAGTGCATGTCAGAGCAAATGAGAATCATGAGGTCGAAGGAACTGCCCAAGGAGCTCAGAGACAGAATTGTGACAAGGCACAGATCTGGCCAAGGTTACAAAAGAATTTCTGCAGCACTCAAGGTTCCTAAGAGCACAGTGGCCTCCATAATCCTTAAATGGAAGAAGTTTGGGACGACCAGAACTCTTCCTAGACCTGGCCGTCCAGCCAAACTGAGCAATCGTGGGAGAAGAGCCTTGGTGAGAGAGGTAAAGAAGAACCCAAAGATCACTGTGGCTGAGCTCCAGAGATGCAGTAGGGAGATGGGAGAAAGTTCCACAAAGTCAACTATCACTGCAGCCCTGCACCAGTCGGGGCTTTATGGCAGAGTGGCCCGACGGAAGCCTCTCCTCAGTGCAAGACATATGAAAGCCGGCATAGAGTTTGCCAAAAAACACATGAAGGACTCCCAGACTATGAGAAATAAGATTCTCTGGTCTGATGAGACCAAGATTTAACTTTTTGGCATTAATTCTAAGCGGTATGTGTGGAGAAAACCAGGCACTGCTCATCACCTGCCCAATACAATCCCAACAGTGAAACATGGTGGTGGCAGCATCAGGCTATGGGGATGTGTTTCAGCTGCAGGGACAGGACGACTGGCTGCAATTGAAGGAAAGATGAATGCGGCCAAGTACAGAGATATCCTGGAAGAAAACCTCTTCCAGAGTGCTCAGGACCTCAGACTGGGCCGAAGGTTCACCTTCCAACAAGACAATAACCCTAAGCACACAGCTAAAATAACAAAGGAGTGGCTTCGGAACAACTCTGTGACCATTCTTGACTGGCCCAGCCAGAGCCCTGACCTAAACCCAATTGAGCATCTCTGGAGAGATCTGAAAATGGCTGTCCACCAACGTTCACCATCCAACCTGACAGAACTGGAGAGGATCTGCAAGGAAGAATGGCAGAGGATCCCCAAATCCAGGTGTGAAAAACCTGTTGCATCATTCCCAAGAAGACTCATGGCTGTAGTAGCTCAAAAGGGTGCTTCTACTCAATACTGAGAAAAGGGTCTGAATACTTATGACCATGTGATATTTCAGTTTTTCTTTTTTAATAAATTTGCAAAAATTTCTACATTTCTGTTTTTTTCTGTCAAGATGGGGTGCTGAGTGTACATTAATGAGAAATAAAATGAACTTTTTTGATTTTAGCAAATGGCTGCAATGAAACAAAGAGTGAAAAATGTAAAGGGGTCTGAATACTTTCCGTACCCACTGTATATATATATAAATAGTGATATATATATATATATATATATATATATATATATAGTGATATTTATTACATGCTTTATTATTTATTACCAAAATAATTCATTTAAAAAAACATGTAAATAATAAATAAAATTAGCAGTTTGCACATAATTAAAGAATAAAATAATGTATAGTATTTAGAAGGAGGATGTTTTTAAATGTGCACTAGCTGCAGTTAGACCTTATGTCCACTAGAGGCTGTCGGAGCTCCGTTTGTTGTTGAAAGCAGAGAAATTGTCATAAAAAGTTCATTATTTGTTTCCTGCAGAGGATTCTGTTATTATCAGTATTATAGGTGTTTTCATATATATATATATATATATATATATATATATATATATATATATAATTAGTGATATTTATGAACAGACAGTTGTTTGGGTTGTGACGTTGCTGAAGGCGTCTGATTGGATTAGGAGACAGCACGTGATCGGGAAGTGGCGACGAGCTGCGTTTGGTAAAGTTATTTCTTTAAACTTTCTTTATTTTTAGCGGTTCTGCGACATTTTCTCCGACTGTAGTTTGTTGTACTTTACTTTACTTTACTTTATTGTTATTGTATTTGTCTCGACTGTGTTCACGTTGTTCCGTCGGGCTGTGAACCGTCAGTGAGGGTCCCGGTGCGGAGAAAGAGCTCCGTACCTCCGACTGTAGTTCAGTATCGCTTCTCGGCCTTTTGGCTAAGATCAAGTGTAGTATCTGTTCTTATCAGTTTAATATCTGATACGTCCCCTACCCGGGGACCATATATTAAATTGATTTTTGGAACTGGGAGATGGAATAGGGGCTTGCTCCGTCCACTCCACGCATCGACCTGGTATTGCAGTACTTCCAGGACCGGTGCACCCCCCCCTCTGATTGTCTAATGTTAATAATCTTAAATATATTAACTGCAGTCAGTTGATGTTGGTTCAACATTATGATTATTTGAGAGGTTGCAGTTTGTGCTGTTGAACTCTGTTGTAAACTATACAGCATATTATAGTTGTTGTTCTCTCAATGTCCTTATGAGATTAATACTTTGTACTTTGTGTGCTACTATTTTAAGACCCAGAGAAGTTCCTGTAATAATGTTTAATGATCCCTCAGACATATTTAATTTAATTCAGGTTCAGCTGATGATACTCTAATGAAATCACACATCAGTGGCTCTCTGTGAACATCTATTGAAGTAAACTGTCAGTAAAAATCTGCTAATATTTTATTGCTCACTTTAGTTTGCAGAGTTTCCTGATGAATGAACGAGCGAATGAATGAACTGTAGTAGAGAGTTAACATTAGGAAACTCTGTTCTGGCTCAAATGTTCAGTTTCTGTTCTCCACTAAATTCAAGAGGTTTATTGTCATATGTACAGTAAGGGGCTGTACTGTTTAAGAGTTTGATGGCCTTGGGGTAAAAACTGTTAGAGAGTCTTGTCGTCCTTGCTTTCACACTCCTGCAGCGCCTGCCTGACGGCACAAGTGTGCAGAGACTGTGTTGTGGGTGTGTATTGTCCTTTATGATGTTGTGGGCCCTCCTGAGGACCCTGGTTGTGTAGATGTCCTGCAGTGATGGGAAGGCTGCTGCAGAGATGAATTGTGCAGTTTTTATGACACGCTGGAGAGCCTTCCTGTCCTGAGCAGTACAGCTGCCACACTGTAACTGAGCCCGTGATGATGCTCTCCACTGTACATCTGTAGAAGTTGCTGAGGATCTTGACTTACCAAATGTCCTCAGCCTGCTTAAGAAGTCTCTGCTGGGCTTCCTTCAGGAGCTGGTGGGTGTGGTGAGACCAGGTGAGGTCCTCACTGATATGGGTTCAGAGGAATTTAAAGTTTGTCACCCTCTCTGCCTCTGTCTCACTGATGTACAGTGGGCAGTGCTGTTCCCTCCCCCCCCTCCTAGGATCAATAATCAGTGTCGTCCGCAGACTTTATGATGCAGGTGTTGGTCTGGGAGGACACACAGTCGTAGGTAAAGAGGGTGTAGAGCAGCGGACTTAGCACGAAGCCCTGGGGGGGTCCCTGTGCTCACAGTTCTGATGCCTGATGTCCGGTTTCCAACTCTGACTGACTGGGGTCTGTCTGTGAGGAAGTTCAGCACCCAGTTACAGAGGGAGGGTGTCAGTCCGAGCATGAGGAGCTTTACAGAGAGCCTGAATGTAATGACTGTTCTGAATGCTGAGCTGTAGTCCATGAAAAACATTCTTACACGTGTCGTTGGCTTCTAAGTGTGTGAGGGCAGTGTGGATGGCAGCGTTGACAGCATCGTCTGTGGAACGATTCTGTCTCTATGATAACTGTAAGGGGTCCAAGGTGGCCCGGGATGGCCTTTTGATGTGTTATGACTATCCTTTCAAAACACTTCATCACAATTGGAGTGAGTGCGACAGGCCGATAGTCATTCAGACAGGTCACAGTGTCCTTGTTTGGGAGGGGCACGATGGTGGTGGACTTGAAGCAGGTGGGGTCCGAGGCCTGAGCGAGGGACAGGTTGTAGATGTCTGTTAACACCTCCGTCAGCTCTGATGAGCAAACCCTGAGTGCACGCCCGGGGATGTTATCTGGGTCAGCTGCCTTCCGTGGGTTTGTTCTCCTCAGAGCGGAGCGCACCTCTACCGGTGACGCACAGAGTGGTGGGTCCAGTTTGCCCTCGGTGGCCAGAATCTCTCCCTGTCGGCTGGCGTTGAGGGCCTCGATACGAGCGTAGAACTCGTTGAGCTCACCCAGTAGTGTGACTCATCTGGTTGAGGCCCCCAAACTCTTCTGTTTGTAGTCTGTGATGTGTTGCAGACCTTGCGTCACGCTCCGGGGATCAGCAGTGGTGTAATATCCCTCCAGCTTCAGTCTGTATTGTCTCTTGTCTCATACTGTACTGTTTAAGCAGTCCTGAAGCACCAGTTCAGATTCTTCATTCCACACTTTAATAGTTTTAGTTTACACTTATACTAGAACATGTGTTTGGACTGGTTCCCTTCAGAGTTTATTATTATTATTATTATTTTATACATTTAAGAACATTACTTTGTTATTATGGTTTTAATCTTATCGCCATAGAATCTGTGGATCATCTCCGCAAGTTGGGTAAAGTTAATGTTTGTGTGTATCTGATTAAACTGAGCTGTGTTTCTCTTTAATTACAGGAGGAAGAATCATTTCAGGAGGTGTGTCCAGACTGTTGACACCGAGAACGGGTAAGCAGCAGTGCAGACCTTCGCTTCATGATTTCCTTTTATATCTTTAAAAACTTCTCAAAACTGCATTTAAAGTCCTTTTTTATAATTGTGTTTAATCTGTTGGTGTTTACTAATGCAAAGGCAGATTTTAACATAGTTGTTATTGGTTGGGTGGGTAGCACGAGCCCGTCTGCAGTCCCGTACAGAAATAGCTCCCAGTCAGCTCCTATGAATAACAGCAGAACTGGAGGTGGAAGGTTTTGGCTTTTGCAGCTGACAGATGTTAATGTTAATCTCAGCTTGTCTTACTGCGAGTTACACACCTCTGCTGCTTCAGCGCGTTATCAGGAAACGTGTGCAGCTTTTTAACCCGTTGTTCACTCCTAAGGGAGAATAAAGAACATATTGAGAAGCTATATGCTGTAGCTGATTGTTGTAGAGTGCTGTACTTATGAACAGAGCCGCTGTTGTGGGAACATTTGTGGTTATTTAATATTGTTTTGGGCCTTGATCTTCAACATTTTACAAAGGATGACAGATTTAGATATCAGGTCAATATGTTTAAAGAACCAAGGATGGAAAGAGTGGAGGAATAATTTTGGGAACTGTGTTTTAATTTTCAAAAATCAGATCCTTAAATTCCTTTTAGTTTATTTAGATAAAGTCCATCTGTTTAAAACCCCCTATTTACTGTGTGATTTGGGGATAGTGGTCCTCGATTGCATGTCCTCAGAAGGCAGATAGAGTTTAGCTGAATTATGACAGTTTGTGTTCTTGAGTCCTCTCTCAGCATCACTGGCACTGCACTTTCCTGGCTAAAATCTTACCTCACAGACCGACAACAATTCATCCATGTCAACAACTGCACCTCCTCCACTGCTCCCCTGTCCCAAGGCGTCCCCCAGGGTTCGGTGCTTGGTCCTCTCCTCTTCATACTCTACCTGCTCCCCATTGGCAACATCATTCGCCACCATGGTCTCCACTTCCACTGTTATGCCGATGACGTCCAGCTTTATATCTCCACCAAATCCATCACCCCGGGCACTCACTCGACTCTCTCCAACTGCCTCACCGACATCAAATCCTGGATGCATTCCAACTTTCTCAAACTCAACTGTGACAAATCAGACCTTATCATTATCGGCCCCAAATCCCTCACCAAAACCACAGACAGTTTCCACCTCACCATTGACAACTCCACCCTGTCTCCATCCCCCCCACAGTCGCAACCTCGGAGTCATCTTTGACACTAACCTCTCCTTTGAACATCACATAAACCTAATCACGAGAACTGCCTTCTTTCATCTCAAGAACATTGCCCGTCTTCGCCCATCACTCTCCTTCTCTGCTGCTGAAACCCTCATCCACGCCTTCATCACCTCCAGAATCGACTACTGCAACAGCATCCTCTATGGCACACCATCCAAAACTCTAAATAAGCTACAATACATCCAAAACTCCGCTGCACGTATGCTCACCCACACCCGCACCCGTGATCACATCACTCCCGTCCTCCAGACCCTCCACTGGCTCCCAGTTCCACAGCGCATTCAGTTCAAAATCCTCCTCCTTACACACAAAGCCCTCCATAACCAGGCTCCTTCCTACCTGACTGACCTGCTCCATCGCCACAATCCATCCCGCAGCCTCCGCTCATCTGAAGCAAACCTCCTGACTCCTCCACCCCCGGACCAAGCACCGAACCTGGGGCGACAGAGCGTTCTCTGTAGCTGCCCCCTCCCTCTGGAACTCTCTCCCCAAACCCATCCGTGACTGTACCGACCTTCCAACATTCAAATCACTGACAAAAACTCACCTTTTTAAAATTGCTTTTAATGCTTAGCTAAGTCTGATGTGTTTTTAATGTTTTACTATTTGATGTTGTTTGGCTGCTTTTATGTTTATTCTATTTTTTATTTTATTTTTCTTATGTAAAGTGTCTTTGAGTATTTAGAAAAGCGCTTATAAATAAAATGTATTATTATTATTATTATTATATATATCTATAAATAGTGATATACCGTATTGATCCGAATATAAGACGATATTTTTTCCCTTGAAAATGCCTGAAAATGACGCCTCGTCTTATATTCGGGGTCTAAGGAGTAACCCATGTAAAACAATAGGTAGCACCATATGAGCGCTTTTCTCTCCGTCAGCGTTTAGTGCAGTGTGACCCTAACGTGATCCTGTAAACAAGCATGTACAGTAAACAAGTCGGCTGGAGTGGGTGTGTTAGCCTGCCGGCGGCAGCGACAGACAGCGACAACGACAGTGCGAGTGAGGAGGAGGAACCCAGTGAAAAGTATTTTTCCGTCTTATATTCGGGTCAATACGGTATATATGTAAATAGTGATATTTATGAACAGACGGTTGTTTGGGTTGTTTTGACCCTGTTTTTGTATCTGTAAAACAGCTCATATGTATTGTGTTGTGTGTTATTGTTTGACATAATTTGTAAATCGAATATTTAAATAAAGTTGATATATTAAAAAAAAAAAAAGTTGTTTGGGTTGTGACGTTGCTGAAAGCGTCTGATTGGATTAGGAGACAGCACGTGATCGGGAAGTGGCGACGAGCCGCGTTTGGTAAAGTTATTTCTTTAAACTTTCTTTATTTTTAGCGATTCTGCGACATTTTCTCCGACTGTAGTTTGTTGTTCTTTACTTTACTTTACTTTACTTTATTGTATTTGTCTCGACTGTGTTCACGTTGTTCCGTCGGGCTGTGAACCGTCAGTGAGGGTCCCGGTGCGGAGAAAGAGCTCCGTACCTCCGACTGTAGTTCAGTATCGCTTCTCGGCCTTTTGGCTAAGATCAAGTGTAGTATCTGTTCTTATCAGTTTAATATCTGATACGTCCCCTACCCGGGGACCATATATTAAATTGATTTTTGGAACTGGGAGATGGAATAGGGGCTTGCTCCGTCCACTCCACGCATCGACCTGGTATTGCAGTACTTCCAGGACCGGTGCACCCCCCTCTGATTGTCTAACATCAATAATCGATATTATAAAGGATGTAGTGAGTTAATAGTAGAGTAGTATCTTGTACAGACTCTGTATGTTGTTGTTAGATTAAACGTTTTAAGAGCATGAGGCTGCAGAGTGGAGACATATTGTTTGCAACTGTTCAGTTAAATGAACAATAAACTTTTGAGTGAGACAAAGAGATTGTAAATGTAAATGTGTTCACTGTCGATATTTTAAAGACTGTAGTTGGTTAACAGTAAAATGCAGTCTAATACAACAGCTCTGTAATAAATCCTCCTCTAATGGAGGTTATAATGTTCAGTTTGTGTTGAACAGTTTTAGAGGGGGATTCAACTGTAAAATCATTTTAGAGGCTGCAGTTTGTGTTGCTGTTGAACTTTATTGTGAAAATCCTGATTCACTCCAGACCAGCAGGTGGCAGTAACAGGACGGCCCCGTTGCCCGGGAGACAAAGAAACAGGAAGTGGTCGTAAAGTGTGGGAGAAAAAGTGTTTTTAGTGTTTTTATTGTTTTTTTTTTTCTGGATTGTAAATGTGGATCAAACAGCCTCTGATTGCAGTTTGATTCAGCTTTGTCTCACTTGAACTTGTTGTTGGACTGTTGTTCATTTGTTGGAGGTAAAATAGAAACAAACTGCTGATTTCAGGTTAGCTGTTGATGTGGGGATACAGCATTGCATTGTGGGAAATATAACCATTATATATCAAGTAAAATCTAAATAATCTTTATCAGCTTTAGTTGAAAACTGTATCTTCTGTATTATGTTCTGCAGTTTCACTCACCTTCTACATCCTCTGGTTTCAGTAATATATCGATTATTAGCACCATCAGTTAACACGGTGTGTCTGTGAGAGAGCTCCCTGTCTCTGAGCTGGACAACTCATACTTACCTGGCAGGGGAGATACCATGATCAAGAAGGTGGTTCACCTTGGGCGAGGCCTGACCATTGCACTCCGGTTGGGTTGACCTCAACGAATTCCCCAAATGTGGGAATCTCGACTGCATAATTTGTGGTAGTGGGGGACTGCGTTCGCGCTGACCCCTGATATACATGTTGATAAGAAAATACAAAAGGATATCTGACAGGTTAAAATACTGCTGCAAACAAAAAACATATATTTATATATATATATATATAAGCACGTGTCTGTGGCTCCTGCGGGTTGAGCAGGTTGTAGTAAGGACATGGTTGGTGGTTCGATCCCCACGTTTAACTGTCCTTCTCTCCAAAGCTCCAGTGCTTTGTCGTGGTAGCTCGCTGCTGTGTGGGTGAATGAGAGGCCCTTTTAAAAAGTATTTTCAAGCTTTTTTTTTTGGAACACTATTTAATAATGACTCTGCAGAGCATGTACACATCATCTACATCTGTGTCTCTAACAGGTAGCTGCACATAACATGTCCTCTCCAGAGATCGCCTCTCTCTCCTGGGGCCACATGAAGGTGAAGGGCTGCTCCTCCAGCTACAAGGACTGCAAGGTCTGGCCCGGAGGCAGTCGGGCCTGGGACTGGAGAGAGACCGGGACCGATGTGAGTGGAACCAGAATCTTAATACATAGGTTTCCTGTTACCTGTAGGTGGCGCTTGTGAGTATGACTGAATATTTGCATGTAGATTAAGTGCAGATTAGAGAACGTACCCTGAAGCTGAAGTGGGGAAGGAGGACATACAACTGTAGCATAACTCACAGGGGTTTCCCCTCTAACAGGGATGACAGTGCTCATGTTATCTAACTCTTTCCCAACGCAGCATCACCCAGGAGTCCAACCTGCTGATCTGGAGGAGGTGCTGAAGAAGGGAATAGACTTGCTGGTCATTGGCAGAGGCATGAGCGAGGCTCTGCAGGTAAAACACCTACAGATGGTCCAATTTATTAGTTAGTTAGTTAAAACAGAATACCCGTCATCAGTTTATGGATTCAACCTCCATTTCAAGTATGTATTGAGAATTACAACAACGCCGTCCCTTCTCTCAGGTTCCCTCCTCCACTGTGGACTTTGTGAAGCAGAAAGGTGTCGATGTCAGAGTCCTGCAGACGGAGAAAGCCGTGGCTGAATACAACAAACTGGCTGGCCAGGGCGCGAAGGTGGGCGGGGTCTTCCACTCCACCTGTTGATGATTTCACCCTCGCCTTGCTGCATCCTCTGGGGTGATCGACGCAGTATGGGGGGGCAGCCCGCAGTGCACAATTGCCTACAGTCTCCGTTGTGCCTCTTGTAGCTCTCAGCGTGACTACAGAGCACTGATTTAGGGTTAGACTGAAACAAGTGGGAAAGCTTTGATTCACGAAGAGTGCTGGCAACTTTAGAAAGCTAATAGAACTCTAGCAGTCTGATATGTATCAGTAAACAGGAGGCCTTGGTGTATCTGACTCCAGCTGCTTTTAGGATGATCAGATCTGTGGAATTCAGGTTGACTGATGTAATTTGAACAGTGACTTATTAAATGTGGTGGACTGTGCAATAGAACACTAACACGGATCACATCAGTGGTGGTGTTAATGATTAATGTATAATACAGTTTTTCTGAGGTGAAAATGTATTTCTGCTTGTTTGCTACACAAAATAAAAAGAGAAACTGAATCATCTCCATCACATGGGTTTGTCTTTATAAGAAACAACAGATGCAAAAATATTCCCCGTACAAACACGCCATGAGGAAGAAATACTGTTGTGCTTCATACAACTCGACCATAAATAAATTTTTTATGCACATCATTTTCCTGCCCTGTGTTCTGAAGAGAAAGAAATTGGTTCACTTTTCTGTCCAGTGTTGAATTCAGAAGGTGAATTATTGTGAATGTAAATATGTACTGACACTAATGAACGTCACATGGCAGATGATGAGCTAACATCCATTTTGATAAATAAAACAAATTAGCCAGGAAGTTTCGTCGGCCTTTCCTTTGTTTTCAGTTTCAGCGTCGGGCGGGTTTGGGCATGATGTAGACTTTGACGGGTTTGCTGAATGGAATGGTTCCCTCTACGGCGGTCTCTGGAGTCGGGAGGCTGTCGATGCTGTCACTCCATCCCAGCTTGGAGGGGGAGGAGAGGGAGGTTGAGGAGGAGCTGTAGGCTAGCAGGAGGCGCACTTCAATCTGAGACGGCTCTGAAAGAGAAAGACGAAAAAGCCTGGTCTCATTTCTCTATTTTGTGCCAACTCGTCTCCATCCGCCTGCCTGTGACACAGAAATTGATCTCAACACGGCATCCTGAAGGACATCTCAATTATTATCACGGAGGGAAGAGTGGCTGTGAGTGAAGATGCACAGGTGGATCATCTGCAGAAGTCTCTGTGATGCATAAAAGGCGTTATAATTGACAGAAGAAGCTGAGCCTCCTCATTGACGTTGCTTTAAAACTACCAGAATATATTTTTCTGTGCTCCCGCTCGCTCAGCAAGGAGGAACAAATGTAACGCCATCAGTATGCGATTGGGGAACACAGCGAGCAGACACAAGATGAGTCAAATCTTTCTTTAACAGCTGTATTTAATCTTCCAGATTTCATGCAGAATTTGAGTTGGAATCTCTGACACAGAAACAGGTGTGTGTGCATTGTACCTGTCCATGCTGTGTGTGACAGGTAAACCTGTGTGATGAGTCTGTGTCTGTCAGGTCCCGGCTTTCTGAAGTCTCCCGGTTTAGGATGGATCACATGACTCTGGCCATCTGGATAAAGAACCTGCAGAGACAGAAACCTTTCAATCTGAGTTGTTTCTTTTTCAGGCATGAGCACCAACAATCAGCAGCAATGACTCATAACACATTTTAGTTCTTTTGAAAAGCTTTCCAGAGCCTACAAAGGTTGGTTAACTGTAATTCAGGAGCTGAACAAAACATCGAGTCAGAAAATGATAGTTATTGTGTTATACACCACACTGACCTGTACTTTCACATTGTTCTGGGGGTCCTGGACGTGCTCTAGCGTTGCATCAATGTCTAGCGCCACCACCAGGCCAGTTGTGAACCTCAGTGGGTTGTCAGACTCTCCTGTCGGCTCTATGATGGTGGCTGTCGCCCGGTGGATCTGTCAATCAACAGGCAAATGTTAATGAAAACAGAAAAGTACTCTATCAACCCACACGTCACTGCTGTTGGGTAGAACATAAACATTTTAACTGATTTCCTTTTTAGGTTGAATGACTCTCATGGTCCTAGAATTAATACTCATGGTCTCCCTGCCTTCCTCCCTTGACTTGTTTATTCATCATTATACCTGTTCAGGCAGTCTCAGCTGCAGCAGGCCGCTCTGTCTCAGGGTCGTCTGGAGGATCTTCACCAGCTCCACTGGTTTACAGGACGACAGCCGGGGCATCAGCTCCAAAAGCTTGTCCACAAAACTGTCCTGGAGGTGGGGCAGCTCTGTCAGAAACAGCCTGGGGGTTGCAGAAAATGTGGAATTAAGAAATAGTGAGAGACAGCAATCAGACGTTGATATTGACCCACAAATCCAGGTAAGGAGTGGGGAGATTCTACCATTAAAAAAAAGCCCTTTAACCAACTGTTCTATAAACAACATACAGAGATTAAAGAAGTTTTTTAGGAAACTCTTCAATGCTTTAGTTGTGCTACTCTGTATCTAGAGGACTCAGAGATCCACCATCAGGTCAATCAGGGTTAAAGATTAAACATGGGGAAGTAACATTCAATTCAGAAACATCTGGAGCTGACCTTTGAAAAGACTCAATGTCCTGCAAAAACTTCTCACAGCTGCTGATGAGAGAATCCAACCTGAAGAGAAAAGACAAACTCAGAAACATCTGCATACAGATGAACTCTTAAATGTATGTGCTGATACACATGGTGTCTGTACTGACCCCTGCCTGGTGCGAGCAGTCAGGATGAGCTGCAGAGCTTTGGCCTGCAGGCGAACATGATGTATAGTGGCCACCTGTCTGCTGTCCAACCCGCTGTATAAAAACTCCAGCTTGTAGGTTTCCTCTAAGATCTGGAAACATAACCACACACACATTTAAACAGACAAAACTCCCCTGAAATACTCTCACAGGCGTGATAATACCAACATGAGAGCGTGCTGACCTGTTGAGCCGCTGCTGTGGCCGTGACGTTCTGTTTGAGGCAGAGAGGGACAGCCATGTTCCACAGCTTGTCCTGCAGAGCCTGAGGAAACATCAAGGTTCTTACTGTGAATCCTTAAACTGATACTAATGTTATATTTACCCCCAAACGCCCTCACATACTAAAACAAGTAACATAAGGCTGCCCAGACAAAATCACACACTACCTTCATGAGCAGCAGCTGGCAGCGCAGGTATGTAGCACAGAAATCTGCTGCTCCTGCAAGCTCTGTCTGCAGCTCCCCCAGCCGCCGCAGGTCTCTAACAGACAGACAGAAAGAAACATTTACATACTCCATCCTCATCTACTGGCCAAAAGTTGCTAATAGATTTCAAAATTAAAATGTCTTGTTTTGTCCACAACCCAAAAGATACAAGAACTTTAATATTCACATTTGAGAAGCTCTACATACAACGCACTCTATTCTCAGACCCTCTGGTCTCAGTGCTGCTGGAGGAGACAACAACGGCCACAGGGGAAAACAACCAAAACCTGGCTGCTGGTTGACAATTACTCGAATACATTGTTCACTATTAGGGTGTATGGTTTTAAAAAATACTTTTTAAAACAACATTTCCTTTAATTTACTCAAAATATCTTGAATGGACAAAATAAAAGCTGCTACATTTAAAGAGTAGAAGTGACAATTACTAGTCAGGAAAAAAGTCTGAATGGATTTAAGTTCCTCTGCTTGCCAATGTCTGTGTGTGTGTGTGTGTGTGTGTGTGTGTGTGTGTGTGTGTGTGTCTGTGTGTGTGTCTGTACCGTATGGTGAAGTCCAGGAGGTCCTGGGCTCCAGGTGCTTCCAGGTTCTGGATGGTGCTGACCCTGTTCAGACTCTGCTGAAGGAAGAGCTGAGCTGATTCCACAGAACCCAAACCACAACGCGAGTCCACCAAGTCCAGACCGTTGCCCGGCAACTAAAACAGAACAGTTACACCATTGACTGTCTTGTAAATGTTGTGTAAAGGGATGTGGTTGGGTCTGTTGGCTGTGGATGTGACTGTGAATTGATCTGGCATTGGAACCGTCTGTATTGTTGACATGGACCGCAGTAATATGACCTTTGACCTTATTCTGAAAACGTACAGTATTCCAGGTCTCACCCTTAGTGGCGGTACGAGGTGCGACAGACTGTCCCTCAGGTAGGAGTAGTGTCTGAAGGTGTGGTCGGAGAACAGCGCCGGCATGGTGGGACACGACTTGGCAGCGTTGAACACCAACACGAGCACCGCGATGTCTGAGATCAACAACCAGAGTTAAGAGAGAAAAACACAGTTCACAGGGTTTAATGTGAAAATAAAAAAACATATTATGGTTCCTAGCAGACTATTTGTGTATAAGTCTTAATGGATGTCTGGAGGGGGTCTTTAACAACCCGTGAACACACTGGCTGTGGTAAAGCTGCATTCATTTTAGTCAGTTTAACATACTGGTGTCTGAAAATGGAAAGAACTGTTGTGACAAATTTAATATCCAGAACCAAACGTATGAACTGCACAGCAAAGGAAGTGATCTGGTTTCTACAAAAAAGGAAAAAAAGTCTTTAGTTTAATTTTATTCATGTTCTCCATATTGAGATTTCCTGGCAGCAGTTTAACCTTTTTATTAAGTGACTGCAAACTTTCACGTTACAAGTCTGTACAATGACAGTCGGATAGGTTCCAGATTTTATGTTTTGTCCCGTTGTCATCGATATTGGCTCGCTTGTGTTAACGTGGCTTTAACGTAAGTGTGTTTTAAGATTTTTATGAAGGATACAGGCCGGATCGTCCATGTCAGGCTCCGGTGTGTCGAAATATGGGTGCGTGCTGAGCAACTCGGGAACCAGCGGCAGCACCAGCGTTGGGTGGCGGGAACCCATGAACTTTAGACACCTGAAGAAAACAAGAAACACAATCAGTCATCAGATCATTCAACACAACAGCAGGACTCTATTCTTCCTTAGCAATGAACACAACGTTCTGATTCGAACATCACTCTGAGTATGGTACCATACTTTCACAACAATCATAAACCTTACACTTCTTTACTAAACTTACAAATGTTGATGTAGTTTGTTGTCAGTTTCATTACTTTTCTTGTTTTGTAACGTGTGCATTTAATTTTAATAACTTTATAGTGACGTGTCCTGTTGTGTGATTCTGGGTGTATTTAGACTACTTGCAATTATATAACGTTATTGTTAATAGAATATTGTTATATACTCACAATAGTTGGTATTAGACTGAAATAATTAACATTTGTGCTAATGCCTTGGGCATAATTCAACTGTGCTGTGACAAATCTTTCCATCATCAACATAGTTAGTAATTTCTGATTGTACACCTACGTTACTATGACAACCAGCAACCACAAACCAAGCACCAATCACCAATATTAGCTGCAGCATCTTTAACAGGATGTCTTACTTCCAGACGGAGTTGCGGTCGGTGGGATACTTGTTGAGGTTCTTCAGCAGCTCCAGCAGAGCCAGTTGGACACACTCTTTAGTGGAGACGTTGGTGTAACAAATTAATTCATGGAGAGCTTCTCTGATGTCACGAGACGAGTCCTGGAGATCGATAGTGATTTCAGCAATGTGTACATATATTTTTGACCTTTGTCTGAATGTGTGTGTGTGCATGTGTGTGTGTGTACCTCCAACACAGCCAGCACAGTGTCCAGCTGGTCCTCCCTGAGTGTTATATGGGTGGAGATTTCTCTCAGCACGTGGATGGACTGCAGCCTCACTTCCTCGATCTCGTCGTTGAACATGTCAACCAGGAAGTCCAGGCACTTTTCGGCAAAGCTGGCAGACGAGCGAGCCAGCTGGCACAACGCCTCCACCGCCGCAATACGGACCTCTGAGGTAATATTAAAGACAGACTCAAATCACAGAGCATTAAATAAGTAAAGCAATGCAGTAAAATCAATAAACCTAGTCCTGAGTAGAAGATATATATTTATATTGTCTCACTTTCTTAGATGTTACATTTTAATTTAGAATTACTGAAAGGTGCTGACAGTGTAAAACCTTGTCACATAAATAAAAACACATACCATGTGGTAAGTAGCCTTAAATACATTTAGTACTGGATGATAAATAAGTTATGAGGTTGCAGATCTTTTTCTACCAAATCGTTATGATACATCAACAAACCACACCTTTGGGCTTGGTTGACATCTGGACCAAAACTATCTGATAAGAAACAAATGCACACTGCACCACATTTCACGTACCAAACATCTCGTCCTCCAGGCCGTGAACGAAAGCACCGCAGGCGCCTGAGGCGATAAGGTTGACAGTGTTTGTGTCCAGTTTCTCCTTGGGGGCATCATCAGCCCACTTCCTGCCAGAGGAGAACTCTCCAGAAGTAAAGAGCTCTTTGGCCCGTTCGTGGGCGGTACGCTTCCTCTGGAAACAGACAAGAGGAGGAAAGGCAGTGAGTGGAGGTGTGCTTATTAACACTCTTTAAATGTCCTTGAAAAGCCTTTATTCAGATGGCTATTTCTCACTTATTTCACCATAAAACAGCCATCTGAATAAAAGGCTTTTCAGCTATTTTGCCAGAAGAGCGTCATGGTCATTTATTTTTAAATAAAGCTGATATCTAATGAACAAACTTGAATCACTCACCCTGAGATCTGACATCAGCTTCTTATCCAACGTTTGCTCCAGAAACTGCGGACTGACCTGCAGCATCGATCCCTGACACACGAGAAAAGATTCAACATGTTTAACTTTTCATTTTGTCTCAATCAAAAGCCCCTTTTCAGACATGAAGTACGTAACACATTAACCCTTAAAAGTCATATTAAAAAGGCATCAAACAGTGAAATTTAATTTACAAAATATGAAGGTAATCAGGCCATTTTTAACAGTTCGAGTATTGTTTTACTAATTGGTCACTTACAGGTGTAACGACACTTCAAATCAAAAGAATCACTTCTCAAGAAAGCCATAAAAGTTGAGGCACATGTCTTAAAGGGGCTGTAGTGACAAACTGCCTTAGAATCGGTAGAAATGTGAGAGTGTAGCATTCTTTATTGTTTTCTCTGTCAATATCTTTTCAACAACTGTCTATAAAAGGTCTCAACTGAAAAGCAGTATTTATAAAGGATGAAAATAACTGTGAAAAACTCAATACTGTGTTTGTTGTCCTGTTGTCTCACCAGTGTTTTGGCAGCCTGCACCCGGACCATCCACGAGCCATCGCTGACCATGTGACTGATCTTCCCAAACGCATCATCAACCAGTCGGATCTCCTCATTGGACGACGGGATGGGCACAATACTGATTGGACAGACAGAACGGGGATCTACAAGTCAGCCAAAGGCACTACAAACTGATGCAGCCAATCAGTTAGTAAACAGACTGATAGTAAGTCAGCCTGAACATCAACATCTTCTCACCTTTCTGGGTACAAATGGCTGAGCACCCAAACCATCTGCACCGCTGCAGAGCGGACCTGCTCATAGTCATCTGACAGCAACCTGCAGGCCTGCAAACACACAAATACACACAAATACAGGTGTTTAACCCTTACAGCCACTGTGAGGAAGCTGTGAGGAAGGTCTGTTCACTCTAGGACTTCCATTACTTTGGCAGGTTTCAGTAAAGATAAATAATGCTATTACCTGGTCATAAATGATCTCATGAATCTTCATTCCTCTCTCATGGAGCTGAAGCTGGAAAACAAACAGTAGCACAGAGAATGAGCTGAGTTATACAAAAAGATTCACCACTGAAATAAAGGTAGACATCACATATCCTTTGATCCAGTTTCACTAACAGCACTATTTGGGGTAATACCAGATACAAGTGGTCTGACCAAACATTAAAGCAGACTTTGTGGCCTTCTGGACCCTATTGGCTTAACAAAAACTTTTCTTTGCTGGAAGTCCTCTCCCCAGTCCCATGAGTCTTGGATCAGTGTTTATATACCATTATCTTTTGTATGAATTTATGTAAAAAAAAACAAGCCAAAACAATTTGAAACATTCCGGTTAACAATGGAAAAAGAAAAAGAAAAAGAGTTTGGGAGGGGTAAAGGTTTTTGGTGAGTAAAGGTGTTGGCGGTGTCCTACCATGGCTTTGAGGGCTGCAGTGCGGACTCTTGGGTCCTGGTCTCCAAAGTAGTCGCTGATGATACTCTGGACGTCCCTCACTCCTCCTGGAGCAACATGTAAAATGACACAAGGCAACAGAACCATGAGAACACATCACACAACCGCTCAAAGCATTATAACGATGCATAAATGGGACCTTTAAGAAGTGATTTTAAAGATTTGAAGTTAACTTGAGTTCTAACTAATGGCAGGCATTTTCAAACCTTGTATATTCAATAGAAACACACATTTCCAATTAATTCTGACACAAAACCAAAGGAAAAAAAACTGTCCTAACAGAATACATGTTCTTGAAGTCTGTTTTTATAAATACATTTTAAAGGCACTGAGGACACATGATTCAGTTTAAGAACAGGCACATATTGTATCTTCAAATAAGGACAGTCACAGTTCAGTCATCTAAACATATTGAGCATTGCAATGGTACAAACCTAATGATATGCCCAATCCCTCGTTGTCTTTGGTCAGAGGAGTGTCCACCATGCCGAGACATCCCAGGAGCTGCAGACACTTGTTCCTCACCCCGAAATACGTATCAGACAGGTGCTGAGAGGAAGAAAGAGAAAAAAGAAAAAGGAGGTTTGATACTTTGTGAAGAAAGTCCTGTTGAATCTGTAAAGAACACTAATGATGAGTACTGTGTACAGACTGTGTGTGTGTCACCTTGCAGGCCACCTCTATGAGCCTCTGTCTGACTGCAGGACTCTCAGGTAGTTGTGTACCAATGACCAGCAGAGTGTCCATCAGCTGGGCTAGGACCTGATGGGACTCTGCAGAACAGAGTGAACACAGACAGACACTTTGTTAACTATTAAAATGTGTGTTTTTGGAGGGGTGGTCTAGTGTTTTTAAAGGTTATATACCAAATTCACTGCCACTAGACCCAAACAAATGGGCACTACGACCACACCAAACTCCACTGACAAAAACAGTAATTTTACGATCTATGGACGGGCATTGCAGACTACCTTAGGCTATAAATGCTGTGGTGGTATTTGTTTATGCTATGTGTAAATCTGTCTTACTCTCATTGCCGAGTGTGTTGATGGCGTCGTCCACGATGCAGTCGGGACTGAAGCCCTGCGTTTTGGACAGCAGACCCAGCAGAGACGCGATCTTCAACCTCACTGAGTTATCAGTCTCCTGGGGAGAGGACAGCATCAGCAGCAGCATCGGTTTATGTGCAATTTATCTCAGTTATTCATGCATATTCCTGGTTACGGATCATAGTTTTTTTACCTTGTAGTAGTGCTCCAGCAGGATCCTGACCACACCCTCCACGCTCTCCGTCTCCACAGGCTTGCGTGCGAAGTGCAGCAGGTACTGCAGGGCATCCGTGGAGTTGGTGGCCTTACAGAGGTCAATGTGCAGAGCTGCAGACTTACTGGGTTTGGACAGACGGAGCTTCTTGGCCGGAGCTTCTTCATGAGGAATCTGTGGGCGTAAAACAGCTGAAACTGAAAAACATTTCTAGAAATAACAAACTCTGATGACAGGTTCAAGTCACACAGCAGACTCTAAATAAAGTCTTTCCTCAGCATGCAACTTTTGGCACTTTAAAGTCATAATGGGAAATTAATTCCATATTTTTGTAGAGGAATGTCTTGTACTACAAACTGGGGACAAATAATCTTGAACCTAGATTAAACAGCCCTACATCTTGTTGTTGAGGACATTTACATAAAGCAGCGGATCAGTTAATAATGAATAAGGTTATAATCTGATCCCCACTCAGTGTTAAAGCCGTGTCAGTGTGAAATACACCTGTCATTAACAACCAGCAGGCAGTAACGTTACAGGCCTCTTGTTTATTCAATTTAACGTTATTTTCCTCTTAAAAGTGAGCTAACATTTAATAACGTACTCATACTGTTAACTCACTGGTGTTCGGGTTAATGTGGGCTCATTAAAGACAACCAGTAGCCCACATTAGATATAAAACTGTCCTCTAACACCTGAGTTTTAGATTATTAGAGATGTTAAGAGTCTCTGCTGTTGGGTTAACGTTAGTTAGCCGCCTAGCATGAGCTAACAGGCTAGTTTAATCAGCTTTAATAATAATTTAATGAGTCCACAGCGAGCAGCAGTAAGAGGCTTTCTCACACTCACCTGTACAACTTTGGAGAATTCCTCGTAAACCCTCTTTTTAAGGTGTGCCGCCATGTTCAGGTGAAGAAAGTGAGTCAAGCTTTCATGCTAAGCAACAACATTGTCTGCTTCTTCTTCTACTGGTCTAAATGGCGGTTGAGCAACCAGCTCGTTAGGTGCACCGCCGCCACCTGCTGGACTGTTACTGCAGTTCACAATCAAACAACAACAAAGAAGCATGGCAACAAAGTTAAACAAGTGACAACAACAACAACAACTAAAGTCACGATTTATTAATAGGATAAATAAATAACAGAGAATAAAAAAACAATAAGTAAACATCTGTAGGAAGATATAAATAAAAATCTGACATATTGTAGCATAAAATAATAATAATATTGGGATTTTAACATCCCCTGATGGATCCAGCTGGAGGAGGAGTTGTAGTCTTATTGCAGCAGGCAGAAAAGATCTCCTTAGTGCAATGGAGATGAAGTAGTCTGTTGCTAAAGGAGCTTCTCTGCTCTGCCACAGTGTCACATAGAGGATGGGAGGGGTTGTCGATAACCAGGACCTCATCCTCCCTCATGTTTGCTGCAGTCTATTAATAAATGTTTGACAGACGGTTTATTACAATTGATTTAATGTATGTCCTATTCTCAGACCAGTGCTGACTATCAATGAAGATGCCAACATGTTTTTGTATATTCTAAAGATGTCTTCCGGTGTCACATTGGCAGTATTCATGCCAGGTTTAGTCTATCCGATCCTTTATGATTCTTGAACTTCTGCTTTACTTAATGGTACTTGTAATTTGTGGTAATTTGCTGTCGTTTTATTGTTTTGCCAAAATTCTACATGAGCAGGAACCCAAAGGAAGGAGATATCCCCAAAAATACCCCAACCTGTGCTCTCTTATCCATGCTCAGTAATCCCTCTAGCCTCTCTCTCTCTCTCTCTCTGTCCCATACCTCCTACAACTCAAAACTACATGTCCCACTGACTCTTCTTCCCTCGCATAAGCCTGTCTGATGTTTCCCTTCCATTTTCAGGGTTTTGTTTATTGCACAGTGTCCCAATCTTAACACTGACATCACTGTTTCCTCTGTCCTGTGTCCACTCCACCCCATTTGATGAAGATGCCTCCCTTTCTCCTCTCTGTTCCATCTTTCTTGCCACATTTGGTTGTTTCTTCCCAGATTACATGTTTAACCTCTGATTTACTAATTTGCATTTCTATTTTTAGAAAGACAGTTAGTCAAGCTACAAAAAGCTTCATGGTCTGATTTCTACCAAATCTTCTGTGGATCATCATCAGACGAAGCTTATCAGTAGTTGTATGACGCTTGTTGACATCTTATTTAGTTATTATAAGATATTGACAAATGAACTTCAGAAGGGGCGTGAGTCGGCACATAAACAGACATAAGTCAACAACTGTTGAGACAATAACCACAAAAACCACAAGATGCTGGACTTAAATATCATGTCATAAATATTTGTGTGATTCACACAATCGGTCATCCACATCAGTGCACTTTGAGAAAACAAAGATTTGGGAGATTCTGACTGCTTTAAATAAATACTGTTGCCAACAGAAATATACATCAATCAGCCAAAACATTATGACCAGCAGAACAGAAATATAAAAAATAAAGTTACACAAAAGGGAACGGTCACACTAAAATATCTAAATCATATTTAAATAAAACATTTTACATTCAGTTATACAGATGTTGTTACTGCAGGAGTGTATTTCATTGAGTGTGTCCTCTTATCTGTGAGTTATTGTGAGTTTTGACCACAACAATACAACCACTACCAGAACTGAATCGTCTCTTAAAAACGTCTTTCCTGTGTGTGTGACCACAAATACCCTCTCACACACGAGGCATCAAAAGTATCTTATCGGCAGATCTTCTCACGTGCGTGCCTTCTCATATGACTTCCCAAACACTCGTGTGTGTCCTCATATGTGTGTCTTCAAAGCTGAAATGCTTCAAATTCACACACGTTCATCTACTGATCGCAAAGGCTGAACAGAAACTACCCCACACGCCGATGACACAGCAATTTGGAGTTCAATTTCGGACTCAAGGACACTCTGACACGCAGTGGAGGGAGCCAGAGCCGGAGGTCCAATCGCCAGCCTTCTGAGTGCTGGAAAACCCGCTCTGCCTCCCGAACCGTAGCCTCCCAAATGACCACGCGTGTGGATTTTTAGATGAGTTTTCAGCACTGACGTGTAACCAAATCTTTTCCCGCAGATCTTGCAAACATACGGCTTCTCACCAGTGTGGATTCTCGCGTGGATTTTCAAGTTACTGCCACGCCCGAAGCCTTTCCCACATATCTGGCAAATATGCGGCTTCTCACCCGTGTGCGTTCTAATGTGATCCTTCAACACGGACATCTGACTGTACCTTTTCCCACAGGTGTTGCATGAATATGGTTTCTCACCGGTGTGCATTCTCTGGTGTACATTCAATGCTGACAAGCACTTGAAATATTTCCCACAGGTGTCACATTGTAAAGGCTTTTTACCTGCAACAGTATAACGTTGAATGTCAGACGAGTTACAATTGGACATTTTGTTATTGTGACTTTTACTTTTCTGGAGTATTTTTTTCTCTACATTTCCAGTTGATCCTGAGTCCTCATGCTTGACCTGATTCTGGTCTCGGCTCTCAGCTACATGAGCGTTGTTATAGAGGAGCTGGTGGTCACTCTCTGGTTCTGGTTCTGGTTCACTGGGGTCACTTAACTCATAAGCAGGAATCAACATAAAGGTTTCAGTCTCCAGCTTCAGTTCAAGCTGCTCTTCCTCCTGACTGCTGCAGAGTTCCTCCTGTTCCTCTTTAATCTGTGGAGGGTCTGGGTCCTCTCGGTCCTCTTTAATCTGTGGAGGTCTCTGTGGAGGGTCTGGGTCCTCTCGGTCCTCTTTAATCTGTGGAGGGTCTGGGTCCTCTCGGTCCACACTGGAGTTCTGGTTCTGGTTACAGACATGTTGCTGTAGGAGGTCTGGAGGATAAAAACATGCAGACATATGAGTAAACCAGTTTATTGAAACAACTGGGGTCATATATATATAAATAAATAGAATTCCTCGGTATAGTGTGAATAAATGAATGTAGTTGTACACACCTATCCTGTGTAACTTTACTTGAGGTTTCCACACGAGGTCCAGCAGTGTGCGCTGACGGTCGATCTCTTTCTGGTACTCGACGATAGTTTTAGTAAAAACTCGGAATATTTCTTCAGCAGCAGCAGTTAGTCGCTCGTTCACAAACTCTCTCAAAGCCTCAACTGAACACATCGTTGCTTCATTCATAAAGTCACTCATTAGAAACGCTCCAACAACAAGATCTTCTCCCTGATAATTGAATATATTCACGCGGCTACCAGAGAGTGTGTTGTTTACTGTCGGTGGGTGTCACACTGTTCAGGTCCGATAATGGAACTGAGGCAGCTTTAAGTTCCGCTTTTAACGGATGTACATCTTCCTCACTTCACTACTCAAAGAAATTAAGAACTTTTTTCCCTCCTAAACTATTATTTTGAACTATCGCCGTCCTTTCTTTACTTCACAGATAATAATAATAATAATAATAATAATAATAATAAGGGAAAATGTAATTACTGTTTCCCCTGACTTTCCCTCTTACTTATTTTATAGTGTTTATTCATATAAAATATAATTTATAATAATATATGACATATTGAAATGGTATTTGATATACCCATATTGATATATAAAGCAATGCTCATAATGGAATATAATTAAATCCACTTTAATGATTAATGATTTGAAATACAAATGAAATAATTACTGCATAAATAAAAGTAAGAAAATATATTCAGAAGTTTTTTTATTTCTTTGATTTGATTGTCAGTAGGTTTTTCAAGACATCCTTGTAATTAATGCTATTTGTGGGGCCTTGGCATGGAAACATTTGGGAACCCCAATCAGAACAACTGCGATTACAAGACATTTTCTGCTTCTACCTGTGGATTGTGTGCAAACTATTTAATTAAACTGACTAATTAAATCCCACATGCAACCTCTATGGTTGGGAAATGAAGCCAACACACAGTTCCTCAAACGACCATTAGAGGCTGGCTCCAGAAGTGAGTCAATCTCCATAAGGCCTTATATTAAAACGCCAAACTTTACAGCAGAAATCACAAGTTTTAATCATAATAAGAGGGCATAATGTGGATTAGGGTCCGTGTTTCTTGGCTGAGCTTTAGAGAGAGTGGAAAAAGACGACAGGCATGAACTCACAGCCACGCTGGTACTGGGGTTTCCACAATACTCGTCGTTTATTACTAACACAACATTAACATCAACCTCATCAAGCCCGGTTGTACAGCCACTGTTTTATCACACAGGAACAAAACAGGCCACACGTAGTTCAAACGTTACTGTTGAGTTGAGACGCAAAAAGAAAACAGGTGCTCAGCAACAGGCATCCATTCACAGCAGGTGTACCGCTCAACTAACTCAAGACAGGTTAGGTGCTGTCTGATGACACATTGTCACTGACACGTTTTTTTTCTTTTTGTTCTGTTGTGACTGAACTGACTGAATTATTATTGATATACATTTGCAAACTGTCACTTCAAGCTTTATTAGAAAGATAAAATCTTGCTCAGATAAAGAAATAAATAAAGAAAAGACAACGTGCAGGAGTTTGTTTCTCCTGTATGGCTCATTTCAGAAAGTAAAGAAACCCTGGTTGAATTCAGAAATAACACAAGAACAGATGAAGTGGTCAACAGTTCATTTCCTGGAGCTGGATGTCAGCTGCAGATGCTTTCGCCCTCCTCTGGTTTCCTCTCCGTGTGAAGAATCCCACTATGATTACCATGACTGGCAGAGCCACACAGAGCGCTATGCGGCTGATGGGCAGGTGGACGGGACAATCAGTGGCAGCTGAAGGAATCACACTCTGGTCAGTGGGATGATTTTCAAACAAAAAGGTAGATGTGAAGTCCAGAAACGCAGCCCTGTTGTTTTCCTGGGTGGTCACCTGACACCTCCACTTCCTGTTGTTGTCGTCCGACTGGAGGTGTGTGATCAGAGTGATGTTGCAGCGAGTGTGGCCTATCAGCTCGTACCTGTGCACATGGTGGAGATCATCAGAGAAACATCACACAGCTGTCAGTCATCTGTAGCTAATGTTTGGGATAAGTCAGTGATATTCAGCTTCTTGTCAACAAATCACACGAGAAGATCAAAAACCAGCAATGAATTGATCCTATTAACGAGTAGTGGAGACTGGACTGGAGACAGTTTGATACCAGAAGGCTGGAAACAGACACATGCAGATTCTAAGAGAAGAAAGTACATTTTTTGACCAAGGTTGTGTTTTGTTTAGTATTTACACTATTGCAGATAAAAACCAGATGTTTTATATGAGGTTAAATTGTTGTTTATCCATCAATAGCCGACAAGGGTGGGTTGTAACACATCTTTTCAGTTATTCCACTTTTATTGTATAGCCCAGGGAAAAGATAAAGCCATACTCACCGGTGGTGGCCGTACTCAATAACAATAAGAAAATATACTCGTGTGGACACAAATCTGAAGTTCAGACGCTGACTAATTTATGTCAAATTAAAATATGTAGTTCAGACCAAATGACAACGTATTTCATTTATTTTCTACCAAAATAGGTTTTTATTTTTTTAATAACCTTTAACCCAACTCACAATCTTCTCTCTCATTAATCAAAGGACTAATTGAAGGAGTCTGGACCCGGATTGTGGTGTGAAAGTCCTGCAATTTGTCCAAAAAACGCTGTCTGTGAACATAATCCGGTCAGTTTGTCACTACAACTTAATTATTTAGTAATATACAAACGTAATTTCTCTGAGACAGGGTTATAAAAGGTGTTACAACCCCCTCCTTACACACAACTAAGAACACTTTGCCAATCTTTTTTTAAAAGCATCTAATGAGTGTTAACTACCCTGTTGGATTTATAATTCAATATTTAAATGTTCTGAAATGAGAAAATAGTCAACTGTCAAACAGCTAAACAAACAATTACTTTATAAATTTGTGGGTTTATTTTATTATATTTTATTTATTGAACTTCTGTCTTGTTTTTTTAGTTAGTTTTATTGTTAAAACTAATAAACGTTTTAAATAAAAAGTAATTGTCCTCAAAATTTAACTGACAGAAAACTTCTTCTTTGACTTCCTGATGGTCATATTAAAAATATCAAACAGGTTATTCAATGTACTGACAAACAGGGTTAGGGAGTAATGGATTACATGTAACTGAGTTATGTAATCAGGAAAAAAACTGTAATCCATTACAGTTGCAGAAAAAAATAATCAGATTACAGTTGCATTTACTGAAAATTAGTCTTATTTAGCAGATTTAGCAGAAATTAGGAATTTATTTATCTGTTTGATTTCACCTTTCTCTGAGGATTGGGGACCATTATTCTTACTTTTCTTTCTTACTCTTTCACACTCATTTTACTTCTCATGTCTTGTCTGAGATGTTTTGCTCTGTGTATGAAAAATGCAACATTATTATTTTAAAAAGAAATGTCAGAGAACCTGCTGTCTTTGAGCAGCATTGTGCCATCCTCATTCGCCCAGTTCAGGTTGAACCCACTGCTGTATTTGCAGCTGCCAGCATCATAGAAAGTGAACAGGACGCAGTTCAAGGTGAGGTTTCCTCCGGGCTGCAGGTTGGTGATGGTGGAGAGTGAAGTGATGGTGAGGAGAGAGAGGTAAACGTCAGTGATGGCGTCTCCTTGCTTCAGGCAGACGTAGGAGCCGGCGTCCTCGACCCTGAGGTCACTGATGCTGAGGAAGCAGTTGGATGTGATGGACATGCGGCTGGCTTTGTCTGAATCTGCATTCACCTGCCCCTCGTTGACCAGATTGTACAACACCTGACCGCCTTTGTAGAAGGTCCAGAAGATGAGGGAGCAGTCTGAGGAAACCAGTTTGGTGCACGGCAGGATGGTGCTATGTCCAAGTCTGCTGTACATGAACTCTGCATCCTTTTTGCACCTCACACCTGGAAACACAAACGTCTCTGTGAGCGGCGAAGAACTATAAATCTACAAACTCTTTTTATTTTTCTAGTTTAAATAAATAAATAAATCCCAAACAGAAGATGACCAGTGTTGCTTTGTGGAGTTTATGAGCAGTTCAATCAAACCTTCTCAGACAGTTTCTTACTCTTTTTATTGTAGAGCAGAACTCTGAACTATTAATCGCCTTCAGATTCATCTTGTGACCCTTAAGTTGGGAACCACTGGACTAAACTATATAAAGTAGCTCCACCTCGAGTAACTACAACAATAAAATGCTGTTTTAACATCGATGCATCAGTATTAATAATATAATAATAATGTTTTTTCTTTTTACTTACTTGAATAAAACTTTAAAAAGCATTTTTCACATTGTTTTACATTGTTGTACTGATACTTTAATTAAATAAAAGCAGTCGGTCATATTCCAACTGAACTTAACATTCAGGATACAGATCTTCTTAAAATACTACTTGTAGCAAGTAAAAAAGAAAATAACTAAGAAATGGAAGATAAAGACCAACAAAAGGTCTATAAAATGGTTTTGTATCCTTAAATTAAAGTGTTCGTCCAAATGATGTGTACACATGAATATAGATATTGTATATAAAAAAGGAAAGGTGAAATGTTTTTTTATTCTATTTACTTATTCCCTTTATTTTTAATCTAGTTCTCATTTTCTTCTTCTTCGCTCTCCTTCCTCCAGTGCATCATTCCTTCATAACCTTATTCCTGTGATGTATTTGTTTCAGTGGGCTCATACTGGGTTAAGAAAATAATCGAAGTGCTTCTTCCCCCACTGAGCAGATCAAATGCAACCCTAAATGGATAAAAAAAACAAAAAACAAACAGCTGTACGTACCTGTTAAAAGCAGACAGGTGAGCAGCAGAACTCCTTTCAGGTTTTTGATGGCCGTCATGTCTGAGATTTAACCTCAACAGCAGCTCTGTGTCTCTCTGCTGCTGCTCTCTTTAGACGACTGTCTTCATTTCCTGTGTTAAACTAAACTGAACAGGACACACGCCTCAGTCTTCATCCTCTCTGTCATGAGGGACCCACCATGTTATTACTCAGTATTATTTAGTTATTATGGAAGGGATGGAATACAGCGTACAGTGTGCATTAGAGGATGAGCCCTGCAACATTTAATCTGCTGTTTGATTAATGCAGAAATATTCAGAGATGGCAAAAGTACAGTTCTTTGCTCAAGTAGTAATTTAAAAAATGAAAGTAAAGATTCAACTTCTTTACTTGAGTAGATGTGAAAAGGTATAAAGTAAAGTTAGAAGTCTTAGTTCCCTAAAGGAAAGAATAATAAAATAATATAACTGCATAAGTGACCTGAAGCTTTCTGCAGGTTAGATTTAAACTGTTTTAAGAACATTATGAATTCAAATTACCTATTTATATACTGGCAAAAACAGCATGAAGGATGTAAAGGAAAATCAGTATTGGGTCAATTTCCCACAATTCTGATTATTTGATTTTAGACTTTTTAAGACCTTGCAGACACCCTGTGAATGGTTGAGGCTTTGAACTAACGTCCCAGTTTAACTCTGGCGAGGGACGTTTGTTACGTGTCATTCCTCATCAGTGTTGGGCTCATTACTCAAAACATTTAATTTATCACTCATGTGAGTGACCTGTATTTACCCAAGGATCTTAAGCTGTAATGTAATGTAAACTGTAATATTATTAGTAATAAGTTACACTATTAGTTACTGGGGGGAGTAATATCATTACTGTTATACTGCCGAACACTTTTCTTCATCGATCTCTGTCTTCATCTCTGTACAGTCAGATCTAATGAAGTCATAAAATAGTGTCTCATTATAAGAAATAAAAACCAAAAAAACCACCTACGTCAGTGTTCTTACACTGTGGTTGGTTGGGAACATTACAGAAAGGTAAAACCATCCACTTTGTGATCATTGTCACCAATCAGAGTCACTTTTCTTATAATGAGACACAAGGTGTGAAATGCAACTGTGTGCAATTTTTCTCCCGCTGGGGGGTTTTAAGAGGAAGTGTTATTGTGACACATTGTGGTGAAGATACTGCAGGTCGCATCCCCACACCTCCCATTTCTTTGAAAGAAGGACGGAAATTCACTTTGACCAGATATTTTAGTGAAGAACCAAATTGTGTTTTAAATCTTCTGTTTGTGTTTTGTTACCAAATCGTTCTTCTGAAATTATAAAATCATTCTGCAGCAGTCTGAGAGTCTTCACACGAACAAAGTACAACAGAGAAACATGATCTACGAAACAATGAGAAACGAGAGTCTGCAGCCGTGCTAGCTGAAAAAAACCGCCAATGTCATTCTGACATTCAGTCACAAATCAGGAGTCAGCAACTTTTACCATCAAAAGAAAAAGAGAAAAATCAATCATTAACATCAATGAATAAAAATGTTAATCTGTGGCTCTGGAGTCCTTCAGCTCTTTAGACCCTCTCCATTGACTCCTTGTAGCTTTGGGAAAAAATATCTGTTTATAATAATAATTGGTTCAACATGGCGGAAGGTGACCCGTGGCGTCTGCAGATAAAAACAGCTCATTCTAACACACGATTCTTATTTTCAGGCGATTATACACTAATGAAAACATACCTATGAATCAGAATCACAATCAGAAATACGAGTATTGTGGAGTTCTTATTTCTACCAATAGATCCCCCTAAATGTGACACTGGACCTTTAAAGAAATCTTTATCTCAAGCAGCAAGGAACTTTAGTTTTATTTTGATGGTGGTGGCCCCTGTAGACAAATGCGGTAATGCTTCTACCTCCTAATTTCATTGATTTCAAGGGGAATCACTGATGGTCTTGTTTGTTTATGTAGGTCATGGAGCAGCATCAGTATTACATCTAGTTATATTACCAGTTAAAAACTCCTTGTATTGTAGGTTTGAAGTTTTCCGTCAGACCGAGTTGATGATTTCCACTTGTCAGTTTCAGTGTCCTATTTAAATGCTCTAAATACAGCTATTTCTTCTGTCAGCAGTTTTTCATATTTATTATGAGACACTGAACAGACTCTTTTTTTTACTGCAATATTCAAATAATATCTCCACCTCATGTGCTCCTAACCACAAGCTCCCAACTATTACTACTTTATACACCAAGATATGCTTCTGTGGGCCCCTACTGTCCCTTACTATACCTAGCAATATCATTTATATAAATATATTGGACAGTCAGAGAGAGAGGAGGGCATGCAGCAAAAGGCCACGTCAGACTTATTTCTCATACCTGCTCCGCTCTCTGACCTCTCTGATACAGGACGGACTGTTTATATCTAATGTTTATTGTTGTTTTCACACTCTGATCACACAGGAAGTGGTCCCACATGACGGTACAGTGGTTGTTGGAGACCTTGCCCTGCTCTGTGGTGAACACTGCTCCGCTTTCTGCTGACATGTTTGTTCAGCTTTTGTGTTTTATGACATTTCTGGTTGTTAATCTGGGTCATGAGTTGCCCAGTGTTGTGTGCATGATGCAGTGGAGATCCCCTGGTACAATCTTTAATGCTGTTAGGTATTTCAAACCTTACTTATTTGCAAGAGGCAGGTTCAGTATGTGAAGGTCTGTATGACGTCATTAAATCTAACAAAACTTTCAGAGTAAAAAAAAAAAAACGTTTGCGACTGTGTAGTTGTTGTTTATTAACATTTAGAAGCAGCACAATTTTACTGACATTACACAGGGTATGAAACAAAATTCATATTTTTAAGTACCTAAATTAATTATAAGGTAATAGTCTTTGATATAATAAAGTAATGCTTCATCCTAAACCACAGTCATCATTGAAATTCATTATATACAGATGTTTTACTGTCTAAAATGTGTAGTGTTCAAAATCAAGACCCCCTTTCATTACCTAAAATAATTCAGGAAAAACTGCAACTTGGTGTTTTTAAAGGGTAACTTTGGTATTTTTCAACCTGGATCCTATTTTCCGATGTTAAGATCATCTTTGTTTAACCAGAAACAGCTGTTATATCACTTTGTTCAAAGCCACCAGACTCCATTGATAAAAACAGTAACAATACGTAACATCTTTCCCATTTATTAGAATAACAATCTGAGCCTGTCAGCGGCTAAAATATTTTTGTTTTCAGAAACAGTGTGTACAGTTTGCAGTTTGCTGCAGCACTCTGATCACCACCAGGTGAATACGAGTTTGTAAAAGTAGTCGTAGCTCCTGGACAGGAAGCTCTTCTCCATCACGTGTTGCTGGACGCTCACCCTGTAGCCCTGAGTCTCGATGTCCATCTTTACACAGTCCAGCAGGTCTTGAACGGACGGGGCGGCCTTCCATGGTCCGAACGTCACCACCGACTCCTTATCCGCCTCCAGGCTGTTGATGGCGTTGTCATAGAAACCCAAATCCTCCTCCGTCCGCAGCACGCAGATCATGATGGTGGAGTGGCGAGCGGCGATGGCCTCGGCCCTGGCGATACGAATCAGCACCTGAAAGAAAGGCGACATCATCAACAGATAAACAGATTACGTGTGGATGAAAGGAAAAATGTGTCAAAAGTAAAGAGTTGCATCCCATCGTGGAGACAGCTGAACTGTATTATAGTTATATTTTTATTTTGAGTGCCTCTGAAAAGACCAGCGTGTAGGATTTAGTGGCATCTAGTGGTGTAGTTGCAGATTACAACCCCTTCACCTCACCCTCCCCTTCCGAGCACAAAGGTGAAACACGGCGATTCAACTCATGTTACGAAAACACAATGATTCTTATTTTCAGGTGATTATACTCAGATTAAAACAAACCTACAAATATTATATTCCATTTCTGCCAATAGAGCATCCTAAATGTTACACACTGGACCTTTAACCATTGAGCAGAAACACACCGTGAGAGCTGAAGACTGCCATGAATTCACAGGTTACGGTGTTCTGGAAATGTTTGTTAACAGTTGGTTATTAGTGAGTAGAAATAGTGAGTGCAGCTGACCTCGATGTTTTCTTTGTAGTGTGGGACTCTGGAGAGGAACTGCTGCCTTCCCACCAGCTCTCCAAATAACTGAGGAGTTTCCTCCAAACGTTTGATGAGTGGTTTGATGTTGTAGTACACCGCCTCCCTGTGAACCTGCACACACACATTATACAATACAATGCGATAAAAAAACAGTTATCAAACACTCTTCACTTACTCTCCTTCGTGGTGTGAATAAAATTACAGGACTCAAACCTCCTGGATGTTCTCTGTAGGCAGCCAGTCTGATCTCAGGAAGTCGAGGACGGCTCCGAAGTGCGAACCATCACGGTCGATGAAGTGTCGACCCTCTGCGTCTGTGCGTAGTTTGGGTTGTCCGCTAAACAGCTCAGCCAGCTTGGAGTCGGGGTGTTTCCTGAGCGTGCTCAGAAAGGTGCTGAACAGGTGACCCCCGACATTTAACCTCACGACTGGAGAGTGCTGAGAGGAAACATTGTTTATTTATTTCAACTTTATGAAACTGTTTGGTTGCCCGTCTGTTCGGGGCTTGAGCACTGCTGCTTTGGGGACCTTTTTCACAGCAGCCATTTCGACAGGAAATAGTAGGGTAAACACAAGTGGTACCAATGAGGATGATGCAGAGACCCTATTGAAACTGCTCAGATTTTGAAACTGAACTGAAATTAATTGCATTCTTGGAGGCTGCAACATGCTTCAAAAGTTATGAAAATGTTCGTATCTTATACTTCTTGCACACGGGTGTGGCAAAACTCTCGACAACGCCTCCTAAACTGTATCATGACTGGACGTACAAAAAAGTGTTCTTGTGGTTTCTGTGCGTTGTATTTTATTGTCTTCCTCCAAGAGAATTGATCGGATAGACATGAGCAATCTAAAGACTTTCACAATTAAAAGTTGAAGGGCGTGGTGACAAATCTCACTGTTGAAACAGGAGGAACTTCACTGTACCTCGTCCAGTTGGCCCCAAACTTTACGTTTGATAGTCATAATCATAGTGCCACCTGCTGGCAACACTTAGTAAGACTTGTCTGGTTGTCATCTGATTTATGTGAGATTTTCATGCCGTGGTCTATAAATGGTGGGGTGGCACATAACATGACAGCTGGTGTCTGACAACATTAGTGACAGATTCAATTAAATGACAGTGAAAACATCTGGACTGGCACTCATTCACAGCAAAAACAACACAGCAGCACGTCGGTTACTGTGTGCTCAGAAGGGCGTCAGCGTTAGTCACCTTCATATTGATTTGCTCAGGTTGATAAGACCAAATGCCTCAGCTGTCTGTCAGAACAACAGGGATGTCTGTTAGTCCTGAAACGCCCAGTGACAGCCGCAGTGACAGCAGGCGCACAGGACTCAATCATTCATGGCAAACTGTAGAAACTCATTTTTACATGGGACTGGAAATCCACAATAAATAAAGATTGCACCGATTCTGGTAAAGCAATAAGTTATGAATAGAGCTCGGCGGATATGAGATAATACCAATTTTAGAAGGCAAAAGTTCACAGATTACTGATAAAGTGAGTTTTTATGGTTAAAATAGACCTTTTCTATGTGGATTGTGAACCGATATGAGTCTGCAGAGGTTCTCAGAAGGCTGCTTTCTTAATTAAATAACTTTATTAGTTAAATAAATGTTTAATTATTATTATTTTATTATATACATTTTACTATTATTATTATTTACATCACTGAGAACTGCTTCTTCTCTCTAAAGGCCTTTACACACTGGGGCTGTGTTAATTAATCACTTATCTCACAGGTCAATATAAGATTTTATTGAACGCGAATATTACACACATTAATTTAATCATACATCACATTGCTTCCAGTATGGTTTAGGTACGTGAGAGAGGTGATGACCTGGAGCAAAGGACCACAAACTGGAATGGAGCCAGTGCTGCTGCAGTGAGGACTCAGACTCATCCAGGTGAGCTCCCAGGGGTCTCAGGTGTGTACAGGTATATTATCTATTCAGCCCCAGTGTGTAAAGGCCTTTATTTTGTGCTGCTGGTCACAGTATTATAAATCACAGCGACCTCTGCTGGACAAACGCTGCAGTGACACCAAAATATCACCACAGGAATTTTAATCAGAACAATCTCTCTCTCTCTCTCTCTCTCTCTCTCTCTCTCTCTCTCTGTCTCTCTGTCTCTCTCTCTCTGTCTCTCTCTCTGTCTCTCTCTCTCTCTCTCTGTCTCTCTCTCTGTCTCTCTCTCTCTGTCTCTCTCTCTCTCTCTCTCTCTCTCTCTCTCGTACTCACTTTATATTAACTGGGTTAACCTGTTAAATCACTTGTTAATGTAATGGTGTAGAGTAACTAAGTACATTTACTCACTACATGTTTCCATTTTAGGATTTTACTCCATTAGATCCAATCAGAGAGAACTAATGTAGTTTTTTATAGTGAGTTTAAAAACTACATTTCCCTCTGAGATACCCTGCAGGAGTTAATAATCCTCCGGCACACAGACTTCTGTCTCGGTTGATTAACTCGAGTTTCCTTTAAGTTTTATTCCAGTGTCCTGTAGAAGATGGCGGCTGTTTAACCGCCTCAAACTAACTCTTTCAGACTTTAAACTTATATTTATACACACTGTATATCTGCAGTGAATACTGAGCTCGTAAAGCAGGCTGATATTAAAGTTTCTTATCTTCTGTCTGCGCCTGCATCCACCTGTTCCCAGGTAGGAAGTTGAGTTCCGCCCTCGCTGCTCCACTAGATATCAAACTGATGTTAAAAGGGTTTTCTTACTGGAACTGCGGATGAAGAATGTTTCTCAGAGGTTTTGTAGTCCGGCAGACTCATGTTGACTCCAGCGTTTGTCCAGGTGGGAGCTGGGAGTTTTTACCTTGCTCGACAGGTAGGAGTGAGGGGGCGTGGCCTAACCCGGACCTGGATCTTCAGTGCTGAGAGGATGAGTCACTCAGAAGGTAAAATCTGTGACTTTCTGCCCTTTTATGCATCAATATTATCTACTTATAACTCCATTGGTTTTATCTTGTATATATTTGTTTCTTTAGGTTTTCCCTTCCCTGTGAGTGTAAAGTATTTACTGTATTTATATGTGTTTGTACTGTTCTTCCAATTTAATTAGAAATGTATGAATTAAAGTAAAATGTCAATAAAATGAGTAAGATTAAGGTTACACTTAAATTACTGATATTTCGTAAATAATTTCTGTATATTTTTTGTCCCATTTTTTATTTCCACAATATGCCACTACCTCCTTCTGTAACCTGTGCATTATAATTCAACTTTAAATCACATCTGTATATCATATATATGATATACAACAAATTCTTTTTTCTTCCTTGATATCTTGTATTTTCTCTATTTTGTTATTTAATGCGTATTTTCGTTTTTTCTCTCATTTACTGTTTTACACATCTGGAGCTACTGTAACAATTTCCCCAGTTAGGGCTCAATAAAGTCTCTTATATTTATGGAGATATGTTCATAAAACAATGAATTTCATCATAAACAAATGACAAAGTATAATGACTTTATCTATGCGGTAGTTTCTCCACTAGTGGTTTGCAGGAAACACAGCAGAGTGAGACATCTTGCTTCCTCCTGTCAGGTGACTTCCACTCTTTCAGTGCAGATTATGTTGAAGTCTGAGTCACTTTTGACAAGTGTAAAAAGGAAATTAGATATCCACCCAGTCTACAATCTTTAAAGAACAAAACGTTTGTCCAAACGTATAATAAATGTAAGAATAGAAGGCAACACGAGAGCACGTCAGATAACTTAACTCTTCAGTTACCGCTGCACATGGATGGAAATGATTCAGACCAGAGGGCCGAAAAACATCCGCACACAAAAAGGAAACAAACTTTACAGCAGGCAGAACATATGAGGTTTAACAATAACACAAAACCAACAGACACAAAAGGCCAATTAAACATCTTCTTGTCAGATTTGTTTTGGTAAAACTGACACTTTCACTTTCTTTAAAGCTTTCTCTGTTGATGCTTTTTCATTCATGTATCTATTAAAAAGTATTGATAGATGAGCTTTTATTAAACATTTGTGTGTCTAGCAACCAACTTGTCTAGACTCTGTAACAAAGTGATCACAAGATGCTGAGTGTATTTTCCAGATTTTATTGTTTTTGTACACAAATAACAGTGGGTCTCGCTTCCATCTGTTGGACCGCTTGAAACCTGTAAAAGACAAAAGCAATACATAAAAAACTCTTAATAAAACCAATTAATGGTAAAATGGTACAAATATTAATTTCCTCATGACTTTATGAGTTTAATAAAATAAAACATTTAGTGAATTTACTGACACTTAACTTTATTAAAGTATTAATTTGAAGCTTTAGGTGAGTTACTATTGCAGCCAGAGCCACGTCGCTTTGGTCAGTTCGTTGGCATTTTATTGACCAACCATCACGAATACAGTCAGATTCTCTACGTTCAGTTATTTTAAAATCAGGTAACCATTCATGTGCTGCTTCAACCCTTCTCAGACAAATGCCTCGATGTCTTCAACCGTAAAGGACTTCCTGCTCTGGGGAACTGGAGCAGAACCACAGAACGTGGATCTACACCAGTGACCCCCAGAACCAGTTTGAGTCCCGTTCCGACTCGTCATCGTATCATCACTGAAGGGACGAAGACTGAGACTATAACTGATCTTTGTTTCCTGCTTATTGTCATTTCATGGATATGAATATATATTTCACACATTAAAATAAAATGCAGTCAGTCAGTCAGTCAGTCAGTGTCTCTCTCTCTCTTAAATTGAGAACATAAGCTTGAGAAGGACTTTCACAGATAAAGCCTGTTGGTGTTGGTGCCCCCATCGTCTCTTACCCTCTTATGCGGTGGGTACAGGTGTTCCCTGGGGCATGACGGGCGCCTCTGGCTTGGCCCCCTTCTGCTCAGAAATGGGTGTGGTGGGCAGGTTCTCCTCCTTGGGCTCCACAATGCTGACGTGGTCGGGCAGGGGCTTCTTGGGGCCAATCTTACCGCTGGGGTCCCAGGGCAGCATGATCTTCACCTTGATGCCCAGCACACCTGAAGAGGACCAACAAACGCATCAATAAACCAGTAATCAGATCAACAGAAACAAAAGCTGAAGTACAGAGATCCATTCTACACTTCATCTGTGCATCATAGTGACAACGAGCTTCCTCTGACACGTAGAAAACCCAGTGTTACTTTAGGGTTCCTGCTGGTTTCAACGGGTCCAATTTTAAGACCATTATGAATTTTATATGATATTTAAGACACATTTTAAAAATAAATGATTGGTTCCTTGTCAGTTTTGTTTTGTAGTTGTTGCAGCATGATCGATCAATACAAATCCCGCCCCCCAAAAAAACTTTAAAAGGAGACAAATGCCACTATGTTAAAAAAAGTACACGCAACGTCATTAATTTATCAATTTTAAAGACAATTCATATCCTATATTCAAATCTTGACCTCCAGATTTAAGAAAACATTGTTGTTTCACATTGTCAGTGAAAATTTACTTTGTGATCCCAACATTAAACATAAATATCCGTCAAAATAATCTCAATACGATGTTTTTATCATATTGTACAGTTCTACTTTAAGATCCTGCAGACACCCTGTATTTCCTTAATGTGTCACCATGTCCCCGGTGGAGCTGTACTCACCCTGCCTCAGCAGGACGTGGCGGACTGCTGTGTCGACGTAGTAGTTGACGGGGTCTCCGCTGTGGATCATCAGGCCGTCCACAAACTTCATGGACTTGGCCCTCTGACCCCTCAGCTTGCCGGACACCACAACCTCGCAGCCCTTGGCGCCGCTCTCCATGATGAACCTCAGGACACCATAGCAAGCCCTAAAAGAGAGGTCAGTCAGGTTAGTGTCAACATACAACCATTGTTTTTATTTTGATTAAAAGTGTTTGTATTTAAGTTTTGGCAGAACTGAACGTCCTTTAAAATAATAAACAGCTACGATTGATGTGTGTCCTCTGTTGCGTCAACCCTTCTCAGACAAATGCCTCGATGTCTTCAACCAAAAGGACTCACGGCTCTGAGGAACCGGAGCAGAACCACAGAACGTGGACCTGAACCAGTAACCACAGAACCAGACTGAGTCCCGTTCCGACTCGTCATCGTATCATCACCGAAGGGACAAAAACAAACACTCTGCTTACGGCTGAGGCCAGTTTATGTTGTGAACTATTAAATCTCCTCTGCAGAAACATGTCACATTTGCTGCTTTTGGTGCCTTTTTCTTCATGTTTGATAAAGTATTAGTACAATATTCTTTGCTTTTAATTGTCACAATCTGTACGTAGAGTCTAAATCTATTCCATAACCCTTTAAAAGACAACACACGCTCCCTTTAATTCCAAGACTTACAGGCACTTTCCTAGAATACAGAAGTATTGAACAGCTACACAACTACAAGAACAAAGTCATGGACTAGAATAAGACGGGGACTGAGGGATCAATCAGCTCCAGGTACAAATCATGAATTCTGGCCTGGCAAAAAAGGTGAAACTGGAATACAATGAAACAATATAATACAACTGGGGGCTACACGCAAAGTAACATTTCTGATATGATGTGAAGGAATCAAATCTGAGCCATTAAGAGACTGGGTTCAACTTTAAAGTGGAGATGTATTAGTATCATAAAGCTACACGTGTGATCTTTGAGATGTAGAAGAGTTGTAAATCCTACCAGTTGTCGTACTGCAGTGCTTACCTACGCACAGCCAGGCCTCCCAGCAGCTTGTAACGCAGAGACTCTGCCTGAGCGATGGCGCACAGACCACGGGTGGCAACTTTCTCAGCATACAACTACAACAGAGAGAAAGAGAGGAGACAGTTCAAACATCCTGCCAGAGTAAAACTACAAGTGATCATTACGTCTGATAACATCCAGATACATGAAGATGCTGTTTGCTAGAGTTCACATGCATCCCACCTTCACAAAGAACAGTGAACAGGAAATCTCACTACTACTGCCGGAGGCGTTAACCTTTCTTTTTTGGAAATACACTCCTGATGCTTCAACCCTTCTCAGACAAATGCCTCTGTGTCTTCATATGAAAAGGACTCCCTGATCTGGGGAACTGGAGCAGAACCACAGAACGTGGACCTGAACCAGTCATTCCCAGAACCAGACTGAGCCCTGTTCTGTCTCGTCATCGTATCATCACTGAAGGGAGGACAATCGAGAATCTGAAGCCTTTGCGGCTGCATTCATTTTATTCTCTTTAACCTCTGGATCAATTAAATACTGTAGTGATCAATAAAAGGATTTATTTTTCTCTATTTAATGCTGTTATTACCACAAAACCATGGTTTCAGTGAGCACTTAATGTAGTCCTGGTGTCCTTCCTTACCTCCACACTGCCCTCGGGGAAGCCGAATCTCTTCTGGACCACAGCGGTCAGCTCTCTGATGCGACGGCCCTTCTCTCCCAGAACATTCTGGGTCCTGAAGACAGTTTGAGACATTTAGGGTCAATAAAAAGGTCAAAAGCACCAAATGAAAAAGTTCACTGCTGTTATATGATAGTGCTGAATGTTGTGAGCGGGCCATGATTTGAACCGCCGTTTAAATGTAGTCAAGTGGGAGGAAAACAGTCACATAAAATACTTTTTATTAAAGTTTAAGTAGAATTAACGTTAATTTAAAATAGCTACGATTGAAATAACCACTTTGTTTTACTTTGTCTTGTATCAGTCGTGTTGTCTGCATTCATTTCCACTTTATTACTTTAATCAGGTAACAATAGACAATATGCACTCTCTGTTGCTTCAATCCTTCTCAGACAAATGCCTCGATGTCTTCAACCAAAAAGGACTCACGGCTCTGAGGAACCGGAGCAGAACCACAGAACGTGGACCTGAACCAGTAACCACAGAACCAGACTGAGTCCTGTTCCGACTCGTCATCGTATCATCACCGAAGGGACAAACACAAGGATGCTTACGGCTGAGGCCAGTTTCTGTTCAGAACTCCATTAAATCACCTCGGCAGAAACATTAAACTATAATTATATTTACTATTTCATTGCTATAAAAATCCAACTGGTTTACCTACAGTTAAATGAACGAGACGAGGAGGCACTCAACCGGGCCACGATTTGAACCGACGTGCTTCAACTGATGCTGGACTGGACGCAGTGGTAACAACTGATCTATTTTACAAACTACATCAGCATAAAGCCGAGGAATCATTCCTACAACTACTTTATATCTCCTGTGGCAATGCAAAACAAAAACAACCCACTATATCTGGTGAATATATAAATTATTAGTGATCAATTGTGCATCCCAACCATATATGTTTACCATAATAAAGTCTTGAGACTCACCTTGTGGCCAGGATGATGATCTCGGTCCTGGTTGGAGTCACACGCACCTCCACACCGGAGTAGCCATCTTCAGCAAGCTCACGAGTCAGAAACTCGTTCAGCTCGGCCTTGAAGATACCGTCTGAGACGAACTACGGAGAGAAAACAGAGTCAGACTGATGTTATTATTACTGATACACATTTTAAATACTTTATATACTGTCGGTATTTTAATCTACAGCAACGCATCGCTCTATAAGATCATGTTCGTAGTGCGGCTGTCCTGTGAGAACAATAATAACAACGACCTGTTTGCAGCTTTTTTGTGTAATTTCCAGCTTAATTAATGAAAGATTTTACACAGAATATTTAAGATAAGTGGAAGAATTTAATAATCACAAACATAGTTGTCGCTGGACAGAAAGTGCATGAAAACGTACAATCTGGAGAGTAAAACAATATACAATACTCTGCTGCTTCAACCCTTCTCAGACAAATGCCTCGATGTCTTCAACCAAAAAGGACTCGCGGCTCTGAGGAACCGGAGCAGAACCACAGAACGTGGACCTGAACCAGCAACCACAGAACCAGACTGAGTCCCTGTTCCGACTCGTCATCGTATCATCACCGAAGGGACAAACACAAGGATGCTTGAACTCTATTAAAAATCAGCAGAAACATTAAACTATAATTATATTTACTGTTTCATTGCTATGAAATAAAACTGGTTCAGTTAAATGAGACGAGGAGACGCTGAATCCACTTTATAAACCTTAAACTTTACACTGCTGGTGTCCTTTAAAGTCTAATTACAGTTTTAAACTTTACACTGCTCGTGTCCTTTAAAGTCTAATTACAGTTTTAAACTTTACACTGCTCGTGTCCTTTAAAGTCTAATTACAGTTTTAAACTTTACAGGTTTAATTTTTCCTCAACACTAAAACCACAGATTCTGTATTAAACCGAATTTCTCACACATAAACATTAAACTTCCACTTTAGATATTTTAATCACAGGTTAGTGATATTATTGCATTAATTATCGATTAATCCTCCTGATATTGTCGCTTTGAGGGCAGCATTCAGTCATTAGACGCAGAAGCTAACATTATGATCCGTTAGAGGAGACGAGCAGAGATATTTCTCTCCGTTTAAAGTTTATAATGTTTATATTTACACACAACCGGGCCGAGAGGATCACAGGAGAGCGGGGCTCACTGCCGGTAGGTCCCGGTTTATAACTCATGCCCGGCCGCGGAGGACGGAGCCATGTTAGCTCGCCAAATGAGGAGGAGGCAGCGCCGGCAGCATCTGGATCAATCCTCTCCGGATCGGAGGGGGACGAGATCGATTAACACCGGGACGAACCGGTAACGGTTGTATCCTCGTCAGCACGACGCCATTTTAATGTAAAGCCTCTGTCTGTGTGAGTAAAACGGGGATAAAACAGTGCTAACCTTCCTCTTCTTGGAGATTTGCACCGCCATCTTCCAATAGGCCGTAGACAGGAAAGGACCGCCAACGGACGCGGAAGTGGTTTTATACCAAAATGTCTAACTTCCGGTGACGTCGTGTACAGGCTGTGTCTGGGACTTGTAGTTTTTTTTAAGAAACACAGTTTAAACATGTTAAAAACTAATTTCCTAATTTTTGTTTAAACTTTATTGAGAAACGAATTAACTTCATTCTATATATTAACTTTAAGACCACCAAACATTGAATTCATTGTTAATTATTGTGTTTCTTTTACTTTAATTATATTAAAATGTGTCATATGATGCTTGATGAATTCAGTGCTATTACACATCTTGACATAAAACATTTGTAAATACATTTTATGGATCCAAACACCACTTTTATTAATGTGCCACAATGGTCTGATTGACATATGACATTATCTTAAATTAAATTGTTTCATATAAATGTTACTTCACACCATATTTAGATTATTTTTGTCTAGTTTCTATGGATACAGCAGTTAGTAAGTGAGCACATGGTAGTTGTGAACATGTGCATGGAAAATAGATATTGGAAAAACTAGTAAAATGTAATTAATGAGCTGATAAGCAAAAGACAAATCTGACTTAAATAAAATTGATAGAGAGCCTTGAGACTTTGTATTGGTGCAATGGGAGAACTGGGAGAACTGGGAGAAATGGCTGTGGGGATGAAAATATCACTAAAAGTGTTGGCAGTATATGAAAACAAACACACAACACAAGAAGTTAATGCAGACAAAACAGCATCATAGCCAGAGGGAATCTCTAAAAGAAAACGTTAAACAAATAACACAACTCAGTGGTTTTTTATTTAACCTTCTTATTTTCGAGTAAAAGATTTATAAACGATACTTTGAACGGAACTTAAAGCTGCCTCACTTCCATTATCGGACCTGAACAGTGTGACACCCACCGACAGTAAACAACACACTCTCTGGTAGCAGCGTGAATATATTCAATTATCAGGGAGAAGATCTTGTTGTTGGAGCGTTTCTAATGAGTGACTTTATGAATGAAGCAACGATGTGTTCAGTTGAGGCTTTGAGAGAGTTTGTGAACACAGGATAGGTGTGTAGTTTTAGTTAAAGAGGGGGTGCAACATTTTCCTGCTCCAATATAGAAGTTTCAGTCATACCCAATAAAGCTGATCTTTCACTATAAAGCTCAATTGTTTTTATTGCACCATTATATATAAATATATTTTTAAAGATCGCCTTTAATTCAGTTTCTGTGAATCAAACGGAAGGTGTATTTTGTTTAAAGAAAAGATAAACAAGCTCAAATGCTTTAAAAATAGTAAATCAGTATGACCAGAAAGTGTGGATGCAAGAGCAGCCAGTCTAATAGTCAGAGGAAGTTCATTTATATATATATATATATATATATATATATATATATTACAGTGTAAAATGTTTTACATAAAGATGATTGCAGATATTTGAGTGTACAGGTTCCTTTCATGTGACTGTATTTCTTATATTTCTGTTAGCAACAGTATTTCTTTGACCCCACAAGAGCTGCAGGTTTGGAGATGCTCTGACCCAGTCGTCCATCACAATGTGGCTCTTGTCAAAGTCGCTCAGATCATCACACTGTCCTTTTTTCCTCTTCTAACACATCAACTTTGAGGACAACAGGTTCACTTGCTGCCTAATATATTCCCCCCCCCACTGACAGGAGCCCTGATAACCTGATAATCAGTGTTATTCACCTGTAATTCACCTGTCAATGTCACGGCTGATTGGTGTATCATTGGTTCTTCAATGTTGGTTCCCATACCACTGGTGTTACATGAGCTCCCTCTAGTGGTTTACAGAGGACTCTCAAATATATTTTCTAATGAAATTAATTAATATAAAAACATATATTACAAAAAAATCTAAATAAGTTTAGCCTTTTCTGCAATATTTTTGTTTCAGTATCAGCCTGCTGTGTAGTTGTGTTTATGCATGTAGCGCACACACACAACACCCCCACCTTTGTTTGAATTGATTAAGTGCGTCTTTGAACCCCTGCTAGTGAAGTTCAGAGCCGACACTGAGCGTTGGGCTCTGCTTTTTCTCTCTGTGGGGGAAGGCCAACGTGATCTAAATGATTTGTGCTCCTAAATGTAGATAGCCCTCCAGATCGAATCCCTAAACAGATCATGCAATAAATTCTTATGGAACAATAAACGACCCAGACTTAATCTACGCAAACTACAGAGACCAACTAACTATTATTAAACCATATATAAAAGTCCAAACCTTATGATTACTATAATGCATTTAGTCTTAGACACATGGTACACTGGTTCTTCCCCCCCTGTTTCCGGCACACTTTCTCACCACTAAATTAGTCCCAGATGTAAAAACACATCCAGTTTTCTCTCCTGTACAATGGGTCTGGAGGAGAGAGGAGAGCTGCACAGAGTAGGCCTGCAGGGTGCTGCAATGTAAACAATGGTACTCTTGTTCACATGCTGTGGAGCTGCCCAGAGGAACAGGAATTTTTTCTATCCATGACCATTTGTGTTTCAAACCACCCGCATGCTGGAACAGAAGCTTATTGTTATGAATTGGAAAAGCCTCCTCCGCACCTACAGCATCTCTGTAGTACATCCAATTGTTTTTTTGTATGCATTTGTGTAAAAGTATTGCCACTTGTTCTCTTACACAGCTATATATATATACGTTTTATTTATCCATTTACTGTGTTTTACATGGCTATACTTTTATATGCAGTTTAATTCTCTTTTGTTCATGTCTGTTGTTGGTGTAATCATTTTCTGGAAATAAAATATACCCAACAGTAAGTATAGAACAGAGTTAGCAATTAATCATCTACAGCAATAAAATGCAGCATAAACTTATTACTTTAAAATCATCATATGTAAAAGTAAAACACTGTTTGGTTTCTCCGTTCTGGTCCCGCTGTAGATAAAAACATTATTTTAAGGTGATTATCCACAAATAGAAACATACGTATGAGTATTATATTCAATTTCTGCCAATAGAGCCTCCTTAATGTTACACACTGGAACTTTGGATATTTACATGAAACAGGTTTAATATCAGTGTTTGGTTACTCAAAAAATAATAATTTATGACTCTTTACTCTTTTCAAAAGTAAAATTATTACTGAAATGTATTAATAATTAGTTCCACTACTAGCTGGGTAAAGCAATACATACACAGTACCTGACGTTGTACACTCCGGTACAGTAGGTGGCGGCATTCACATTTAACGTTGATTTATTGTGTCTCAGTAAACCGAATAATAATATTAAATATATAATGAAAAGAAGAACAAGAAGAAGGCCATCAATTAAAGGCAGAACTTAAAGCTGCCTCACTTCCACCGTCGGACCTGAACAGTGTGACACCCACCGACAGTAAACAACACACTCTCTGGTAGCAGCGTGAATATATTCAATTATCAGGGAGAAGATCTTGTTGTTGGAGCGTTTCTAATGAGTGACTTTATGAATGAAGCAACGATGTGTTCAGTTGAGGCTTTGAGAGAGTTTGTGAACGAGCGACTAACTGCTGCTGCTGAAGAAATATTCCGAGTTTTTACTAAAACTATCGTCGAGTACCAGGAAGAGATCGACCGTCAGCGCACACTGCTGGACCTCGTGTGGAAACCTCAAGTAAAGTTACACAGGATAGGTGTGTACAACTACATTCATTTATTCACACTATACCGAGGAATTCTATTTATTTATATATATATAACCCCAGTTGTTTCAATAAACTGGTTTACTCATATGTCTGCATGTTTTTATCCTCCAGAGCTCCTACAGCAACATGTCTGTAACCAGAACCAGAACTCCAGTGTGGACCGAGAGGACCCAGACCCTCCACAGATTAAAGAGGACCGAGAGGACCCAGACCCTCCACAGATTAAAGAGGACCGAGAGGACCCAGACCCTCCACAGATTAAAGAGGACCGAGAGGACCCAGACCCTCCACAGATTAAAGAGGAACAGGAGGAACTCTGCAGCAGTCAGGAGGAAGAGCAGCTTGAACTGAAGCTGGAGACTGAAACCTTTATGTTGATTCCTGCTAATGAGTTAAGTGAGCCCAGTGAACCACAACCAGAACCAGAGAGTGACCACCAGCTCCTCTATAACAACGCTCATGTAGCTGAGAGCCGAGACCAGAATCGGGTCAAGCAAGAGGACTCAGGATCAACTGGAAATGTACAAAAAAAACCAAAGAAAATGCATCAGAAAAGCAAAAGTCACAATAACAAAGTATCCAACCGTAACTTTCAACGTAATACAAGCACAGGTAAAAAACTTATACAGTGTGACACCTGTGGGAAATATTTTAAGTACAAGTCAGAATTGATTTTACACCTGAGAACACACACAGGTGAGAAGCCATTTACATGCAAAACATGTGGGAAAAGTTTCAGACGTAGAAGTCACTTGAAACAACACATGGGAGTCCACACGAGGGAGAAGGCGTATTCATGCAACACCTGTGGGGAGAAATTTGTTCATATTAGAGAGTTAAACACTCACACAAGAACCCACACAGACGAGAAGCCACATTCATGCGTAACATGTGGGAAAGGTTACATACAGATTCAGAGCTTGAAAAAGCACATTGAAGTAGTCCACACAGGTTAGAAGCAAGAAGCAAGTACATTTGCAAGACCTGCAGTAACAGATTATTCACCGAGTATCATTTAAAAAGGCACACGAGAACCCACACAGGGGGGAGAAGACAAAACCTGCGCGGATAAGATTTGTTTACATGTCAGTACGGGAAAGTCCACACGGGTGATTAAAAAAAAACACATTTTAAGACATTTTAGATGCAGTGGTCACATGATAACGCATGCTAGAGAGAAGAAGAAGCCACACATCCGTGACTGCACCGACCTTCCAACATTTAAGTCTCTGACAAAAACTCACCTTTTTAAAATTGCTTTTAATGTTTAAATTGTTTTTAGGGTTTTACTATTTGATGTTGTTTTGCTGTTTTTATATTTTTATGTAAAGTGTCTTTGAGTATCTAGAAAAGCGCTTTACAAATAAAATGTATTATTATTATTATTATTATTATTATTATTATTCACGAAAACATGTCAGTGTTGAACTCTCATAAGATTTCAGATCCAGTTGTATTATTTTTGTACTAACTACATTACTGCATTACTCATTTTCTGTTAGAGTGACTGCAGCCCTACAAATGTTTGACCTGTTACATTTTTTTTAAACAATTTTTATACACTAACTAATTCATGTGACTGGATTGTGAATTTTGTATTTTTGTAATTTGTTTAACAAAATAAAAAAAAGGCCAACAACTTTTAACATTGCTTCTCTTTAATCACAAAGTATTTAAGCATCCAAAGAGATATTTCTTAAATGTGGTTTACATTACGATGTCTATACGTAGAACCGTTTTTCATATCAGTGCCTCTGTACCAGATGTATGGAGCCCCTAAACGGACATGAGGGGGGAGAAAAAAAAATGAAACGTTTCTAGTATCTAGTCTAGTGCGCACTAGATACGTTTCCTTTTTTTTCCCCCCCATGTCCCTTTAGGGGCTCCGTACAGATGTCCACTACCATTGTTTATATTATTACGTAGACACAATGCTGGAGTTCTGTCACAGTCACATAATACACAGAAATGTCTCTTTCTGGGTAGAATAAGTGGTAAAAGTTATTTTTGATAACATGTATGATTCCCTCATACAGGCAGAAATTAAAGCTCTGCAAACCTGTTGTGAGGACATCAAAGCAGTGGACCAGTGAAGCTGTGGAGGATCTCCAGGCGTGCTTGGACTCTACTGACTGGGATGTGTTCAGGACTGCTACTAACAGTCTGGATGAGTACACAGAGGCTGTGACATCATATATCAGCTTCTGTGAGGACTGCTGTGTACCATCACGCACCAGGGTGAGTTACAACAACGACAAACCCTGGTTCACAGCCAAACTCATTCAACTACGGTTGCAGAAGGAGCAAGCGTTCAGGAGTGGGGACAGGGACAAGTTTAAGGAGTCTAAGTACAAGTTTAGCAATGCGGTGAGAGAAGCTAAACGTCAGTACTCTGAGAAACTTCAACATCAGTTCTCAGCCAACGACTCTGGTTCTGTCTGGAAGGGGCTCAAACAGATAACTAACTACAAGCCCAAAACCCACTCCCTCAATGATCTGCGCCTGGCAAACGAGCTGAATGAGTTCTACTGCCGCTTCGACAGACGAAGGAGCAGTCCTGACACCATCCCCCGTGACACCCCTCACCAGCCCCACCTCACCACGTCCTCCCCCCCAGCCCAGCAGGAGCTGGGGCCACTTCACAGCTTCACACCTCTGTGAATCCTTCCTCCTCCACCACAGTGACGACTCTCTGCCTCCAAGAGAGGGACGTCAACAGACTCTTCAAGGGGCAGAACCCCCGCAAAGCAGCCGGACCAGATTCTGTCTCTCCATCCACCCTGAAGCACTGTGCTGACCAGCTGTCTCCGGTGTTCACGGACATCTTCAACACCTCTTTGGAGATATGTCACGTGCCAGCCTACTTCAAAGCATCCACCATCATCCCTGTCCCCAAGAAAGCAAGGACCACAGGACTAAATGACTACAGACCTGTTGCCCTCACCTCTGTGGTCATGAAGTCTTTTGAGCGCCTTGTGCTCTCCCATCTGAAAGCCATAACGGATCCTCTCCTGGACCCCCTGCAGTTCGCCTACAGAGCCAACAGGTCTGTAGACGACGCAGTAAACATGGCCCTGCACTTCACCCTCCAGCATCTGGACTCCCCAGGAACCTATGCCATGATCCTGTTTGTGGACTTCAGCTCTGCGTTCAACACCATCATCCCTGCTCTGCTACAGGACAAGCTCTTCCAGCTCACTGTGCCTGACTCCACCTGCAGGTGGATCACAGACTTCCTGTCTGACAGGAAACAGCACGTGAAGCTGGGGAAAAATGTCTCTGACTCCCAGACCATCAGCACCGGATCCCCTCAGGGCTGCGTTCTTTCTCCCTCTGCTCTTCTCCCTGTATACCAACAGCTGCACCTCCAGTCACCAGTCCGTCAGGCTCCTGAAGTTCGCGGATGACACCTCCCTCATTGGGCTCATCTCTGGTGGAGATGAGTCCGCCTACAGATGGGAGATTGACCATCTGGTGACCTGGTGCAGCCAGAACAACCTGGAGCTAAACGCTCTGAAAACAGTGGAGATGGTTGTGGACTTTAGGAAGAACCCAGCCCCACCCGCCCCCATCATCCTGTGTGACTCCCCAGTTGACTCTGTGGAGTCCTTCCGCTTTCTGGGTACCATTATCACCCAGGACCTCAAGTGGGACCTGAACATCAGCTCCCTCTCTAAGAAAGCCCAGTAGAGGATTTACTTCCTGCAGCAGCTGAAGAAGTTCAACCTGCCAAAGACGATGATGGTGCACTTCTACACCGCCATCATCGAGTCCATCCTCACCTCATCCATCACCATCTGGTACGCTGCGGCCACTGCCAAGGACAAGGGCAGACTGCAGCGTATCATTCGATCAGCTGAGAAGGTGATCGGCTGCAATCTGCCATCCCTCCAGGACCTTTACGCCTCTAGGACCAGGAAGCGTGCAGGTAAGATTGTGGCTGACCCCTCCCACCCCGGTCACAATCTCTCTGAGATACTTCCCTCTGGCAGGAGGCTGCGGTCCATCAGGACTAAAACGTCTCGCCATAAAAACAGTTTCTTCCCGTCGGCAGCTGGCCTCCTTAACAAGGCCCGGATTACCCACTGTCATTAACTCTTATACCCACCCTGTATATAAAGTATGCATTACATTAATGCTCCCACGTTCTTCTGCACAGCTTTCTCTTTCTCTTCTTATCTTTATCTATTTATTTTTTGAAAGTACTTTATTTTTCTGTGTGATTTGAATTTGAATAATTGTATAATTGTATATTTGTGTTTGTATATGTATATATTTATATGCACCAACTGCACCAGGTCACATTCCTCTTAGGCATAAAAACCTACCTGGCAATAAACAAATTCTGATTCTGATTCTGATTCTGATGTATTTCCTATTTGGTGTACAGCAGAAAGAGACTGAATGAATACAGGTAGGTGGAGAGAGATAAGAGTTTATTGTACTGCAGTAAAAGAGAGTCGTGTCTCTTCGTGGCCCTGAGGTCAGTGGGTTTGAGTCCCGGTGAGAGGTACACGTGACTGCCAAAAATAAAGGATTGTTCCTTTAATAAGGTGCACGTTTCACCTCTCTCGGTCCGGTGGGGGGAAACGTTAAATTAAGTCTCTTTCCTCGTGTGGGTCACTGTTCTAAAACAGCGTGTGTCTAATTTTAACAACTACAGTTGTTGTTTTCTTGAAATATCTCTTCATTAAAACGCGTGTATGCAAGCATTTCCCCTCGACTTGGGACAGTTTATTTCTCAGTACACCCCTATAAAGCGGTGGTATCGTCCACGCCCCGGAAACGCCGGCGAGCAGTAGAAGTGATCTGACAGCCGACTGCTAACTGCTAACCGCTAACCGCTAACTGTAGAAAGTAAGTTAAGTCTTACTCTTTATTTAAAAGTCTCCATCTACTGTTGATTACTTAAACAAGCGACCCGGTTCTGTGTCGTTCCCGTCGGGTTCCGACAGATTCAACAAACCTTTGATGTTTGTGTTGTTGACAGATTAGCTCACGTTAGCAGCTACAGTGCTAACGTGAGCTAGCAAACAAAAGAAGTCTCCTAGGAGCGAAAACTGAACCTTTTTAATTTAATTTAAAACTAATAATTGTGTGTTTTTAGTCGTGTTTTATTGTAGTGTAAGTCTGTGTGTTGTTAAATCGACCAACAGATGTGAGATTTAGGGGTTTTTATGTAGTTTCTAGTGGTCATCCTAACCCCGTTAGCATCAACGGAAGAGTCCTAAAGCCGTTTATTGAATTTATTTATTTTATTTATTTTATTTAACGTTAAAAACAATCCTCAGACTCATTTTTAAAGTTTTATATTCAGTAACTTTACATAAATGTGATGATCTGTTGTCTCCTTGTAGAATGACCCAAATAAAACCTTTAATTTCTGTTATTTTTTTTAAGTATTAAACAAGTGGATTTATTTATATATTTAATTAATATATACATTTTAAATCAGCCACCTCCTCTAACTACAGCCTGGCATTCATTTTAACAAACATATCACAAATTAACATTATATAAAGTAATATTTAAAGTAATGCTTAGATTGGTGTATAGTTTATAGTTTAATAGTACTTTAATATTAATTACTAGTTTGTTTTTATACTATTAGAATTTAATTTGACAACCACATTCATATTATTAAATAATTATGAGTCATGTAAATCTGCCTTATTAAAGATTCACTTTTAAAGTTTGCATGTGATATCAAAATAACATTTTATCTTGGCATGTTTTTTTTTTTTTTTTGGCCTTTGTATTAAAAGTTGTGACACATGGCAGCACCAGATGTTTTAGCACACCTGTCCACACACCTGTCCACACACCTGGAGTCTGTAACTGGTCCAACTCTGTAGCTCTGCACATCTATTAATTAACCCATTAAAGATGAATTCTCCTTGTTGTTACGATGAGGACGTATTGTTCTGTGTCGTTTTCCACCAATATACTGATTTACAGTGATTGTTAACATTTTGAGCTGATTCACGATGTTTGTGCTTAATGAGGTCAATCACTTGTGACAAAAATGTTCCTTTTTTTTAGGTTTTCTTATAAATTAAAGTTGTGTGTGTGTGTGTGTGTGTGTGTGTGTATGTTTCCCCTGAGTACTAATTATTTATTGTGTTTCTTGTGTGTGTACTCGTAGGAAGAATCCAGGCCGTTGGGCAGACAGCAGCGCAGTATCTGAAACACTGGACAAGCTCGTAAGTAGTTGTGTTAATTATTAAATGTAGCTTTACACAGTGATAATATACTGCCGAACTCTGCAGCACAATACCTATAATAGTCTTAATCTCTCGCCTCTGACTGGATCAGTGACCTTTTCATCTGAGTGTTTGATTTCTTTTATCCTAGAATCTCTTAGATTTGAATGGACAAGGCAGCCAGAAGTACACAGGTATGACCTTCCTTATTTATTATTAGGCTTGTATTGTCATCTAGAAGTATGTGTAAGTGGATGAGGGGGTGGCTGTGTTACCTCACTAACCCTCTGCCAACATGTTTTTTTAAATGAATTTAATTAATATTTCTTTTCCTGTGTGTAGCCCAGCTAATGAAGCCCATTAAAGGTTCAGTGATGCCTGTGAAGAAGAAGAGGAAGCTCCCTGATGCAGATGACAATGAGCGCAAGTGTAAAATCACAAGGTAAACTGACACACTGCAACTTTGTATGTCAGTTGAATGCTCGTCTATCTGCAGCGCATGAAATCTCCTCGTGTTGTTTTTGTAACCTTGCATCCCGACCGACCTGAATTTTATTGGTTCAACCTCTGATGAGTATCTAGTGAGTTAGAGAGTCTTTGTTGGAGAGAACGGCCACCAGCTGAACCCTGCAGAAAAAGTACTGGCAGGGTTGTCTTTCACCTGGCAGTAGGCAGTGTGTGTGTCTGTGTGTGTGTCTGTGTGTGTGTCTGTGTGTGTGTCTGTGTGTGGTTATGTTCCTTTTCTACTTACTTGGGGAACACAGCACTCAGCACATACTTGTCCTCTTAATCAGTGCTGCTTCAGTACACAGGCGGAGGACTGTAGCAGAGAAGTGTCTAAGCCAGTTTATAGACTATCGTGGATATAAAGGGGGGGTGGACAAAATATATAACGCCTCCTTACAATTCAACAGCACCACACATTCTGAAAAATGAAATGACCTTACAGTTTCAACTAAACCTGAGCATTATGACAGTTATGAATTTGTGTGTGATGCAGAATGCAGTGATAGATGTGTCTGGGTTTCATATTGCCTTGATAATGAGATGGTGAAGATATTGGAGAGGATGAAATCATTCCATTAAGTATGCGTCTGTGTGTTTCATGTTCAGTGTTTATTTGAATGACACCAGAAGTCTTTCCTATGATCAGTGACTATATTTATATAGACTTATATATTTAACTGTAAACCTTTGGTGCGTGTTGCAGTTTCACCCGACCTCAGATCCGTGGTGCCAGGCCGATCGCTGAGAAGTTATTCTCCAATAAGAAGTGCCTGGCCTGGTTCCACGAGTATGCCGGTGCTGACAAAGTGGTCGGTCCGGAGGCCATGGAGAAGTTCTGTGAAGACATTGGTGTGGAACCAGAGAATGTAAGTCTCCCTGGCTCTTAGATTCACATTGCCTATCCATGACCTGGGCCCTTATTTATCAAGTGTCTCAGCATTAGACTTTGAAGGAGCGAGTGAGATAATGTACTATAACAATATGACAACACCTCTCTTGAATATAATGTTGAAGACTATTAGATTGTACCTGTTCTAATTAATGGTATGAAATGTCCTTGTGTGTTTTATCTTTATGTGGAAAGATTTAAGATGAACAAGATTAAAGTTTGGTTTCTGAGTGCCAAAGTTGTTGGTTTTGACAGTCATCACTAACCTGACTGTCAGATGGTTTGTTACACAGAACCATCTGATAAGTCGTCGTTAGAAACTGTTTAGAAAAGATTTGTAGGCCGCAGCCTCTCTGCAGAACTACAGTACTTCATTATAATGCTGCTCTTTCACTTATTTTGTTTTACATTAAATTGCAGCTTCTGAGATTTGAATATTTCCATTTCTGATCCCTCCAGCATCTGTTAACCCTTTTAGCAGCTGTCATTGTCGTCACACACACGCCTAGCATTAAACCCCAACTATTTAAACATCAGCAGAGATTAAACTTCCTGTCTCTCTTCTTTCTTGCAGATTATCATGTTAGTCTTAGCCTGGCATCTAGAAGCAGCAAATATGGGGTTCTTCACAAAAGACGAGTGGCTCAGGGGAATGACGTTATTACAGTAAGACAACTTTACTTTTTTCCCTTTCAGGTTTGTGTTCTCATTACCTACATTTAGTTGATTATCCAATCAAATAAGAACTACAGGCTTGGTATAACCTGATGCACAGTTTAGTACTTTGTTTGAAATAAACACAGATGAAAGCTATATGTATCTATACCTTTTTATTCTGCTGACAACTAACTGTGTGTGTGTGTGTGTGTGTGTGTGTGTCTGTGTGTGTGTGTGTGTGTGTGTGTGTGTGTGACATGATCCTTCACCAACCTGCAGGTGTGACTGTACAGAGAGGTTACAGAGCAAACTGGATTATCTGCGCAATGAGCTGAATGACACTGTAGCCTTCAAAAACATCTACAGATATGCTTTTGACTTCGCCAGAGTGAGTTTGCTGTTTTTTTGTTGTTTTTTTTCTGTGTTTTTGTTTTGTTTAAAGAGTAGCTTAACAACCCTGTAGCTTATGCTGACCTCTAGTGGTTGAACTTCTCGTCTTGCTGCAGGTTTACTCCAGATTTGAGATTTTTTTTTATTTTTTATTTGCTTTCAAATAGTCTGAATAAATATTAAGTGCAAGCTCTGTAGAAAAGCGAGCATCAGCAGGAGTCAGAGGATCAAACAGAGACCGGAAATGATGACTGCAATTTTGTTTGTGCCTTCGTCTTTGTCATCAGGATAAGGACCAGAGGAGTTTGGATATGGATACAGCTAAATCCATGCTGGCCTTGCTGCTGGGGAGAACATGGCCCCTTTTCCCAGTCTTCCACCAGTTCCTGGAGGTAAATCTCTTTTGCTTTCATGTGTGTGTATGGATGCCTTTTAGATGGTTTGACACCTGTAGTTTATCTTAGCACTCTCCTACTCACCTCCCCTCCCCCCCTCTCTCTGTTACTTCCTGTCTCACCCCACCTCCCACGTGTCTCTCCTACAGCAGTCCAAGTACAAGGGGATGAATAAGGACCAGTGGTATAACGTTCTGGAGTTCAGCAGGACCATCAACACAGACCTCAGTAACTATGATGAAGACGGAGCTTGTGAGTATATAAGCAGCTCACTAGCAGCTTCAGCCCCGTGCTGAGGCTTTAGTCGAAACTTCACTCATCCTGGCTAAACAGGTGGCACTAGTTTGATTACGTAGGCTATTTATCACCTCCTCAATAATGTAAGTGGTTACAGAGATGCCACGTGAGGACTGGTGGAACTGTGATTGGTCACCATGGGCTGTTTGTGTTTTCTTCAATTTTCTAATGTTACTGTGATTGTAGATGGGCAGGACAGCAGGTTGGCTCAGTTACATCCCCTTTAAGAGTTTCTGCAGGTTGTTAAAAAGCATAAAATCCAGTCATCTGAAATGTAGGCATTAAAATGTCCTAAATAGGCTTTTGACAGGTCTTAAAAGTTGAAGATGAATATAACATTATTTTTATTAAGTTAATATTTGTGTTGATTATGATGTAACAACTACAAACAAACCAACATGAAACCAAGAACAAATAATGCAAAATACAATTATTTCTTCTCTCTCTTCTAACGTGGGTGCAAAAGTGGAAATTGATGCTTCAGTTCTGTTGAACAGAACATTTAGCCCGCTGCACCGTGTGCAAGAAAACACATGTAGTCAGAAAGGTTGAATGTGAATGCATGTATTTACTTTGCAAGTAATTCTGGCACTCTGATTTTGATTTCATATCCTTTGTCCTGTTAAATTGCCAGGCTTAAAGCTTTCATAATGGTCTTTTAAAGAATTAAATTTAACCTGTTGAAACCTGCAAAAACTCTGCCTTTTTGGTAACTCCCATCTAGCAGAGTAACCTGATACAAACCTGCTCACCACTATCAGCCCTCTCTCTATTACTGAATGAAACGATGCTAATACAGCACAGATTTATGTGGGTAATATAGCGTAAGCACAGCACGTCCCGATCATTTGATACCCCCATCCAGTGTTGTGATTGTGCTATCAGCTGGTAAAATCTGACACTGGACTGTAAATCAAAACCTCAACCGTTTACATGAATAAATCCAGCTATAGTGACAACTTGTGAGTTGTTGAGTTGCTACTGTTTGTTGGAGCCGTTTCCACTCGTGGATGCAGAGAAATCTCTCGGTGTCGCCTCTCATTCAGCAGAGCAAGGGTTATGTGACACTGGATGATGCAACACTGCTAATATGATAGCTTCCTCCATTTAGACTCTGGTTCTCTCCATTCCCTCAAAGGTCAGGTCTGCCACGACAGTTTACGGACTCAAAGAAACAAATGCAAGCAGACTTAAGTACTGAAATACTTATCAGTATTGGTTTGATTTTTCAGTCATTTATCGAGCAAATGATTGACGAGTGTTACTTACAAATGGAAGGCGGGGGTTTATAGTACAGATGTAACAATCTGGAACAAAGCACATTTCCCATCAGTGATGCATTGTGGTGAAAGTACATTTATTTCATGTGAATCTGAATGAAAGTTACCATTTATTATGGAAACCTATTTCCATCATGTGATTGGAAGTGGGCCTCCATACTTTATACTTTAATTAGTTACATTATATTTCTAAAGTTGCTCTGATCTCCACGACAGCCAAAAACAAGTGCAGGACCTCTATAAATATTGTTTCTGTCCTTGTTTTGTCTGCAGGGCCAGTGCTGCTAGACGAGTTTGTGGAGTGGCAGAAAACTTGGTCGTCATCGTAGCAGACGACGTCACAACACCAAAAAGGAGAAAGAGGGAGAGAGAGAGAAAACAAAAACCACAAACACAGGAAGAATCTCTTTATCGTTTCAGAAAAAGGAAAACTGCAGATCTAACCAACACCTTGATAGACTCAAACAATTGTCACACTCACACAAACCCAAACCAATATGGACTACAGAATCCTCCATGTGGACTCTGGGTACACACACATCCCATCAGAGATCGTCTCTGTGCATCGTCAGCCAGCTGTGGTCAAGAAGCCTTTCTCTCACTGAGTAGACTTTTTATAGTGGTAATTTGGAGAAAAGGAAATGGGGGGGGGGGGGAGTTCTTAAAATAAGAATACAAACAAAAAAAATGAACAGAGCGAAGAGCTGTGGAATTTATGTTTTCTGGATAATTATTTTTTTCCCATTTTGTGTCTTGTTTGTAGATGTTTTCACAGTAATAAAAAGGAAATGAAAGTATGACAGACTCCTTCTTAATAATTGGTAGAACTTCTAGCTTTCATTCACCAAACACTTTATATAGACACACATGTATCACAGTAATCTGTAATGCAAGCGGTAACACATCCCTTTGCCTTGTTAACCTGCAGTGAAGTACCAGCTGCTGGATTATAACACTGAATGTCACTGAAACCTGAAATGATGAATACTATTCGATATAAGGGCAAAAAACACAAGTGATTCAATCATGATGTATCTGTTATCTTCTAATTGCTTCCATGTACCATGCACATACCAAAGTGGTGCATTTATATCAACAATATTGTGCATACTTAATGATTACAATGATTCAGAGGTATTGTATTTTTAAAAGCAAAGGTATAGGTAGTAAATGGAAGCTTTATAGGTTTTTGAAGTGGGGTCCATAGTTTATCTACAGTAGACGGCGGTCTGCACTGATGTGGAGGGGGGGGGGGGGGGGGGCATTAAAGCTTCTAAATTATACCAAAACAAAAAATCACCAGTTTAAGTGTTTAATATATTTAGAATATTTTCACTGCTTTACCTTGCCTGCAAGTAAAATTACTGTTTTTGCCAACAATAAATATAAGGCTTCAGTTTCCTGTCTGAAGATGAAGCATTTTACATATTTATGTATTAATCACTTTTTATTACCAGTTTGTGACTGGGTTCTGACAGTGAGTGGACTGATGTGTGTGTTTCTGTGTAGGGCAGTGCTCAGCAGTTACTTCCTGATGTACCTCAAGCTCATTGGTTCCCACTGAAGATGGAACTGCTCTGACGTGGTGTTGTCATTATTTTGTCCACCCTCTGTAATGTCTCTTAAATCTCCATGTGGAAGTGTGGCCTCTCCTCTGCACCCTCCCTCCCCGTCTCTCTGGTGTCCAGTGGCCCTGCTGAGGCGGCAGCCATGATGGCGTTGAGGCGTGTGAGAGAGACGGAGCGCTGTTTGAGCCTGGGGGCTGGGCGTGGCGCCTCGGGGGCAGGAAGGTGGCAGTACCGCTGGCCGTCCTCGTCATACTGGTACAGACGAATGACGCGGCTGCGACGGCCCCGGCTGGGTGCTGCGTCTCCTCCTCCTGTGAGGCCATTTTTCATTGGGTCCTCCTGTTTACTGCCTGTCTCGTCGTCTTCACTGCAAATGTCTGTCTCTCCATCTTCCTCTCTTTTCTTCTTATCTCCATCATCTCCCTCTTCCTCCTCCTCCCTCTTCTCATCTTTCCCTTCCTCCTTGTTGCATTCCGCCTCCTCACTTCCTCCCCTCTCCTCTACTTCCTCCTTGGTCTCCTGCTCACCTGGCTCCTCCACCTCTTTCTCCTGCCTCCATTCCTTCGTTTCCTCTCTGCTCTCTCTTCCATCTTTCTCCTCTCCTTTCTCACTGCACTCATCTTCATCTGTTTCGGATTGACTCCCTTCATCTTCTCCTAATGTCTCCTCTGCTTCCCCACCACACTCTTTATTCCCCTCCTCCAGACTTCTACCTGCCTCCTCCTCCTCCTCCTCCTCCTCCTCCTCCTCCACCTTTCTCTCCTCTTCTTTCATGTAGTCACATCCCTCCAGATAGGCAGTTGTTTCCTGCTCCTCCAGTCGTTTGTTCCGGAAGCTTCTCTGAGGTTTGGCAGGAGGCGATGAGGTTGTCGATGAAATCGTCGTCTCCATGTTTACAGAGTTGTCGTCCCACACCTGTTCCGCCTCAAAAGCCCGGTTGTCGTGCGTGGGTGGGATGGTTGTCATGTTGACCTCAGAGGCGTGTTCAGGTGTGTCAGTTTGACGTTGTTGTTTCCGTGGTAATCGCAACCTCGTAGAGACTGCCCCTAAACACCTAAGAGGAAAGTGTAGTGGAAGTGATATTTACAAGATATCTGCTATTCAGTATACAGGAATATTAGATTTTATTAATCTGATGGCAGGATGAATATAAACTGGGATGTGAGGGCTCTGAACACACCTGAGAACATGAGTCCTGGTCAGAGCTCCAGCACTGAAACCAAACACAAACGTCAGCAGCACTGATGCCGCCACAGCTCCTGCAAACTCCCCATCTGAGACTCCTGCCTGCCTCTCCTCCTCAGACCCAACATCCCTCCTGGACCTGGACCTGGACCTGGACTCACAGCTGCCACGTTGCTCATATCTGCTGTGTTCTGGGTTGTTTTGGTTGTTATGACCAACGTGGAGCTCGTACGGCCACAGTGTAGTTCCCTCTGTGTGCTGCAGGAGGCAGTAGTACAGGCCACTGTGGAGAAGGCTGGTGTTGGGGACCACCAGGCTCCCGTCATGGTGCATAAAGACAGGGTCCAGCTCACTGTTGAAACCAGGGGTCTGAAGGTCTCCAAAGGGGGTGTGCCAGTACTGAACCACACCTACAAATGAAAGGAGGAGCAGTTAGAGGTGGGGGATTATAGAGCTGTTTGTGAATGCTGATTGAATTAAAGGAACATTGTGTTGGGTTTAGTGACATCTAAAGGTGTAGTTGCAGATTGCAACTCCGTCACTTCACTCTCCCCTTCCAAGCGCAAAGGAGAAACTATGGTGGCTGCAAAACATGCAAACCGCTAGAATCTAGATCCAGTGATTGGTTTGTCCGTTTGCCTCCGTAAAAGAGGACCCACTCCCTCTGTAGATAAAAACAGCTCATTCTAAGGTAACAAAAACCCAATTCTTATTGTCTGGTGATTATACACTAAATGAAAACATAGCCTCTTAAATGTCACACTTCCTAACTGTTTCATATAGGACCTTTAATAGATAATTCTGGTGATAGTTTATTTGTATGGTGCTGTGACAAATTCAATAAAAAGACCAAAACCAAGCACAAAGATATTGCGTGTTAGGGAAGCCGAGAACGTCCATGCTTGTAGTTATTTTTTAAATGCTGTTTTTCGAGATCTCAAATAAATGTATCTTCTTATCTTGAGAAAACAAAAGGTCAATTTCTCAAGATAATCAGATAATTTTTCTTGGGACTTAATGGGGATAATTACGGAGATTTATTTGATTTTCCACATTAAGGGAAAATAAAATAAAATAAAGGGAGAAAATACATCTAAAGAAAAAAAAAAAAAAAAAAAAAAAAAAAAAAAAAAAAATTCAGTATAAGTGTCTACTGGAAAATTGAAAGGTGTATTTCCAGTTTCTAGTTGGTATTTCTCACCAGAATCGGATCAATCTGAATTTCATAAACCTCACACATTGGAAATAAGCTTTCTCAGGACTCCTTGTGAAGCAGTATTGATACTGAGTGGAAAAACGAATAGCTCAGGTGTGGAGGCAGGACTCCATACTGATCCTCTTTACTGACCTGCGTTCTTTCCGTCACCACAGTTTAAAGTCAGCACTACCTCTGGATGACCTTTGACCGTGCAGGTCGGTGCGACGGTAATAGCTGCTCTTTCTGGATTCGCTGAGCAAGCCAGAAAAGCTGTGAATGTTAACCACCTGGTTAACATTTTGAACCTGCACAGGAAATAAGAGTCAGATGTGTTTTTATGGTTTCAAGTGCAGTAAATGAGTCTGTGAGTCACAGCAGGACTGGTGACAACAATAAACAATATTCTTATATTACTAAACAGTTAACAGATTAAATTAATATGTGTTACAATATGCAAACCCTGCTCATATCAACCTCATTTCAAAAACCCACCACTACTACTGGCTCAAAAAGCTGTCAAAATGAGAGAAAGTGGAACATCTAGCAGCTAAAGAGACAGATAATCTTTCTCACTAGAGACCCAACAGAGCTAAAAGGAGAGTGCATATTAAACCTACTTTCATCAGTTTGACACAAACATCTCTAAATGAATGCTAATGTTGCTCTGTGGTTGTTGGATGTGTAATCAGATAAATGTTTGCTAACATATTTGCCTGTTTTACCACTTAAGAGCCCTAAATATGTTTGTTCAGCTGCCCTCAAGTGGCCAAAAAATCATGGACTAACGCTAGTGGACTAACGCTGGTGGACTAACGCTGGTGGACTATCAGGCGACAAGAAGCTTACAGACCTTTCACTGTTGGAAGGGAGTGAAACTGTCATTTTATATAAAAGTGTAGGTTTAAAATTTCAAATTCACTTATTCAGGTTATAATCAACATTCACTGCCACTGGACGTTGCACTAGAGCATCAGCGTTTTAGACCAAAACAAATTGGTGCTACAGCCACCAGACTCCATTGACAAAAACCATTACCACTGACAGGCTCAGATTGTTATTCTCAGCGTCTGACAGCATTATGGAAAGGATCCCTACAGAGATTGACCTTTTTGTTTAACCAGAAACAGCCGTAATATCACTATTGCTCGCCACCAGACTCAACTGACAAAAATGGCAATTTTACCTGCAGATCATCGTTCATCAGTTGTTTGTTACTATATTAATCTTTAAATCTTGTATATTTAACCTTTAATTTCAGCTGTTTAAATTCTAAGATTGTCACTTAGAGAAACACACCAGCAGAGTTTCACAAGTCATGCTCACACAGAACAGAACCCACATACACAAAGCAGTATGACGAGCAGAACATTGTGGTTCTGAAAACATTGGGCCGGTATTGTTAATCTGTTCACAGTGGAACAAAAAGCCCTTAAACTTACAGCTTTGCCATTTAGTGTATGATATGTGATAAGTAACAGAGAAGTCAGCTGCATCCTTTCTATGTGGACCATCAGTCAGAACCCATGTACAGTCTGAGTCGGTGATATTTACCTGTAACAGCCTGTAAACCTTCTGAATCCAGGCGTGTTTTCCTTTTCGTGTGTGAACACAACTTGTCTGATGGACGTGTTGGTGTTACATTCTCCTCTGGCAAAGTGTAAAGTGCAGTTTCTCACATGACGCTGTGGATGTTCTTTCCTCTGATGATGTTAAAGATTAATCACATCACAGAAGCATTGGCATTGATTTATAAAGCCACCTGCTACCGTACAGCTGCAGTTCTCAGTCGTTTCAGCTTGCAAACTGAAAGGTTACATAGAAGATTTAAAACATTAACACAGCAGCAAGCAACTATTTGCTACGTAAAGATATAAAGACTTCTTGACCAGAGGATGAAGTCACACTCCCTCTGTGGGTGCTTTTCTACAAGCTGCTCTGTTCATTGTTTATATAGTTGGTAGTGCATGAGAGCTGTTTTCCTTATGTACCTTTGTGGTTATTGTTGGAGCAGTGGAAAGACCTTTCATACACACATATATACACCTTTATGTTGACTCCTGCTCGTGTGAACCAGAAAGTGACCACCAGCTCCTCGTGGGGCAAGCATGAGGACTTGTGATCAACCAAATGCAGAGGAAAAAACTAAGAAAAGACGTAAGAAAAGCAGAATTCACGTTCAAATATCCAAACCTAACTTCAAGGTAAAAACTGAGACAGATTGTGACATTTGTGGAAAAGATTTGTGAAAGTCCAGATGAAACGACCACATGAGAATCCACACAGGTGAGCAGCCATATTCATCAAACACCTGTGGAAGAAGATTCAGTCTGTTGTCAGCACTGAACACTCATATAAAAATATACTGTCAATGATAAGAACACACACAGGTGTGAACCTTTGTAACACCTGTGGGGAAAGATACCTAATGCGATACAGTTTTGCAGTATCTGTGTACTTGAATGTAAAATGTTTCCCATAAAGATGATATGTCAATATAATAGTGTAAAGGTTGCTTTCATTACTGTATTACCTTTATTTCTGTTAACAACAGTATTTCTAACAGTTGTAATCCTCCTAAATCTTTGTTTCACACTGAGGGGACAATTCACAAAGAATAGCAATGTGCCTCATCTCAAGGTTCAATTCACCTAAAATATTACACTAATGATTTGACATTGTTTTTATTGTGTTATTGTTTTGTGTCGTCCAATGTTCATCTGCATCTGTTTGTCCCTGTAATGTTTGTTGTGTACTGGGTTGCAAAAACAATACTTTACACTCATATCAAAATGTTTGAAAAGAGAACTTGTTTTTATTGTCTGTCAACCCCTGTTTGCTCTTTCATCCGTGTCTGTCCTGCGGATGTCTCGTTGTTCTCAGACTGGTGTTGGAGGTGCTTTCACTGTGCGCTCTCTCTTGTGCGTCTGGGTTCATGGTGAGCTGTTTTCTCTCCGGTGCGTTATTGTTGTCTCCACTTCTCAGATAGTGTGCTTGTGACCTCAGGTATCTCCTGTCTAAATGAATCTGCCGGAGCTGGTCAGGTTGGTGGTAACAGCAGGTTTATGCCATTTGCATTTATGGTAAAGAACAACATTGAAGAATCATCATCTCTTATGGACAAACAGCGCATGCTCTCGCTGGAGCCTACAGAGAGTGGAGGCGGGTATTCTGTCGGTCTGAGCTCCGAGCGGCTGCAGCTCCTCCTGTGAGTGTTTTACTTTGAGTGTTGTTTCTAAACTCCAGCTGAAGACCTCCGCACATCAACCTGACAACAAAAGGGTTAAAAAAACGAGACCTGCCTGTGAGAAGAGAAACGGACATTAAGCCAAAGACATTTCCAGGTAAAGTCTTAATTAGTTAGTTAAAGCTAATGTAGTGCTTTCCATCTGGAGTCTCCTGAAGTCTGCCAGGAAAACTTTCCAGCTGTTATTAAAGGGTCTGCTTTCTTCAGAGAAGATGAACATTAGTGAAATGTTCATCCACCTATATGCATGCACTGCAAAACCAGACCAGTTAATTTAGCTTAAAAAAATGGTGCAGAGCAGCTTTAGTAAGAAAAAAGTGACACTTGACTTGATTTTGTATTTGTAAAATGTATTTTTGTAACTTCAAATTACTGCTTTAAGCTGCTTAATCAAGAATCTTTCATTAACTTACAAAACTGTGTTTTACATTAAATTTAAAATTGTTCCAACAATTTTTTTGAGTTAAAAAAATTGACTGCTTTAATGTGAGGAGTTGGCCAGATGTTTGTAATTACCTGATTAAATTGGGTGTATCCCTTCCACAGAAACAGACTACTAGACCTAAAATGTTTAAATAATAATTTAAATAAGAAGATATTGCAAGGAGAAAAACACCCCTAAAAATGTCATAGAGCTCGTACTCAAATAAACAGAAAGAGTGTTCTTTATTGTTGAGTAATAGAAAACAAGTAACCTTTCTACAAAGACATGAACTCTGTGTCTCTCTGTCTTTTATTCTCTCTCTCACACACACACACTGTGCAAATGGACTGCATCCTTCACAGCCAACAGCTGCTGGATTATAAAGTGTGAACACTTTGTCATCACAAATAAAGCATTATTTATCAACATTTATTAATCCGATCATGTACACAAACAGATGAATACACACACAGCTGTGTGATTATTACTGTGGTTGTATCTTTAGGTAATATTTCCTGAGCTGGAAGAGTTGGTCTGAATCCAGATGGACGAATCACAAAGGTAAAAGCAAAATGGTTTGTCATCCTGTCACCAGACTGGTGGGATAGTTTATGTGCATACTATTTTGTGTGTGTGTGTGTGTGTGTGTGTGTGTGTATGTGCATCATTATCCAATCTGATGCCACACAGTGTAAAAGTGCTGGTTTTCTTGACCTTTGGCCTTTCATTCCTTCCACCACCAACAAATATATATATGGAGCTATGGTTGTATCGATTCATATTTCCATTTCCACTGATATTCAGGATTCACTATTAACTTTTATCCTCAGTGTCCTGCAACGGTCCTGAATTCTACTTTCGACTGTCTCAGACTTGGGTGTTTTTTTTTTTCCTTTTACATAATATGTATATATCACATTGTTGTTCTTAGTTACTGTTTCTTTTTTATTTCTAACTGTTTAATTAATAAAAAAAACCTGCAATGCAAATGAAAACCTGTTTGACACTATGCAACCCACTACTGGGAGATCACATATTTGAGTTAAAAAAGTGACTATTTACATTTAGGCTAAGCTATGGGAACACTAATCCAGAGATCCGGGGAGAGAGAGTGAGATAGAAGCTTAATAGCACCTTGTTGTTTGCTAATAATGCATTTTAAGATGTGTTTTGGAAGTGAAGTGAAGGTTCTGATGTGGCGTATAATGTTCTGTAAACCAAACGTATTGATCTTTTACAACTGCCCAAACATTGTTAACGATTAGATTTGAAATCTTCCAGTATCTGTCTGAGGCCCAAGAGAAACAACAGAATTCTGTTTCTGTTTTTTCCGGCTGTCAAAAATAATTTGGTCTCTTTTCTAACATTGTTAGCATGTAGACTGGTTGGTGTTGTTAAACTAGAAGCAGAGTTAAAAGAGCTGCTAGAAAAAATAAGATTGCCACTAAGAGGTAAATGAGTTTTACTGAATTTGAGTTAATTGTGTGATCTTTTTATTAAACAGTAATAAAAGATTTTTCTCTTTTATGTAATTGTGTTGATGCATTTGGGTACACATTGTACCAAAAGCCCTGATAAACTGTCTGTTGCTGTCGTTGCAGGGAGATGGTGGTTCTGTTCGGGGGCCAGTCTTTCTCTGCACTGAGGACGCAGTTCCAACGGTATGGGATCCTGTTTGAAGACCCTCTGTTCCCAGCATCCAACCAGTCTCTGTTCTACCAGAAGAAACGCATCGGCAGAGTCACCTGGAAAAGGCCTACGGTGAGGAAAAAGAAATGTAAGAGAATTTCAGAAATGTTCTTTGTTCTCTACATTGTCTGCTTTACAGGCAACCTCATTGTTTATCCCATTAGACAAACAACAACAGTGACATACTGCAAAATAAGAACATTCTACGGCCAACAAAGTGAAGAGTAATCATACAACAGTTACTATTACTATTACTATTGCTGCACCACAGTGAATGCAAAGCATATAAAGAAGTTTACATGGACTGAATAAGGACAGGAATGTATTGAATGTATGTGTCTGCATGTGTACATGAATATATGTTTGCTCTTTGAACAAATATTTGATGAATAATTTGCAGAATAACTTCTCTATTAGTTACTGAGCAAAGCCAAATTGATTACGATCCCGTCACTTCTCAGTAGATTGAAAGGATTCCTCTTTATCCTTCTAGGAATTATGCAGCGACCCCCATCTGTTTGTGGACGGCATTAGTGCCCACGACCTGCACCAAGGCCAGCTGGGAAACTGCTGGTTCATATCTGCCTGCTCCAGTCTGGCCTCCAGAGAGGCACTATGGCAGAAGGTGAGACAAGAGACAGGATTCATGTTTTATTATCTCTTTTTACTGTGAAGTTAATTTTGTAATCTTGGCTTTGTTGTCTGGATCCACATAAAAGACAATACTGAATATTTAGATATTCAGATCGGCCAACTCACATGAAATCAGACAATGTATTAAAACTTGTATTCTGGATATTCTGAAGAGCAGGATCAGTCCATTCATGGTTGTTGTACCTTTTAAAGAGTAATTGTTGTTTAAATGAAACCTGAGCTTAGAGAAAATGATAACTGAACTTATGTGTCTTTGTCGTTTTTCCCAGGTGATTCCTGACTGGAAGGACCAGGAGTGGGATAAAGAAAAAAAAGAGTCCTACGCCGGGATCTTCCACTTCCGGTTCTGGCGGTTTGGTGAGTGGGTGGACGTGGTGATCGATGACCGGCTGCCCACGGTGAACGGAGAGCTGGTGTACTGTCACTCCACCGTCAAAAACATGTTCTGGAGCGCGCTGGTGGAGAAGGCCTACGCCAAGTAAGCACTTCCAGGATTTGTCTGGTGTGTGTGTGTGTGTGTGTGTGTGTGTGTGTGTGTGTATACTCAGTTCAGTTTTATCACCATGTGGAGAATTTGGCACATTTACATAGCTGATCTTAAGTCCTTGTGTTGATAGCTGATGCTTTTTCATTGCAGGTGATACATTTGATGGTGGACAAAAGGAAGCAATCAATATAAATAAAATGTATTAATTCAAATATCTGTATGTAATTATTAATGATTGCTTGTGTGTGTGTTTGTAGGATGTACGGCTGCTATGAGGCGCTGGACGGGGGCAACACGGCCGACGCTCTCATGGATTTCACTGGAGGCGTGTCGGAGCCAATGGACTTGAGGGAGAAGATGTTTAAAGAAGATGAAGAGCAACGCGACAAGGTGTTTGACAGAGTCCTGAAAGTCCACAACAGAGGGGGCCTCATCAGCGGCTCCATCCGGGTGAGGAGAGGTCGAACACAAACACAGATGAATAGATTTAGGAATGACTGACTGATTTAGAGATTGAACCAGTGTTGTTGTGTCGTTCCAGGCAACCAGTGCAGCAGACATGAAGGCCAGGCTGGACTGTGGGCTGGTGAAGGGCCGTGCATACACTGTAACCGACGTCCGCAGGGTGATCCTGGGCCACAGCCTGCTGGCCTACTTCAAGTCAGACAAACTCACCATGATCCGGATGAGAACCCCCTGGGGACAGGGAGAGTGGAACGGGCCCTGGAGCGTCGGGTGAGGAAGAGGTGTGGAGGGAGGGAGTGAAAGTTAGGTTTAATGTAATTTTTTCTTTGGTGTTTCATGTCTGCCATCCACATTTTATTATCAAAAGAAGACTACTGACTTTTGTCTGCCTGTTTGCAGCTCTGAAGAGTGGCAGAAGGTCAGTGAGAGTGAGAGTGAGAGGATCATCTTCACTGTGCAGGATGATGGAGAGTTCTGGTGAGTTGTTGTTTGTTGGAAACATGATGTGCCTGCATCCTCAGACATCTGTTGTTTGTTCATTCTCCACCTCTCAAGGGTTTATTTGTTAATTTAATAGATCATTGAATCAGTAATTTCTTAACATATACATATTTATATTTTTTCTCTTTGTTTTCTATTTTCTTTCATCATAAATATCTCTGACAGTAAATTCCTCTTACTGTAAATAAACCATATCCATATATCCATATGCTTATCCACGTCTCTTTCTCTCCTTTCTTGCAGGATGACATTTGATGACTTTATTGCTAACTTCACAGACATGATCCTGTGTCGTCTCATCAACACATCCAACCTGAGTTTCCGTAAGATCTGGAAGGAAGCCTTGCTGCATTGCTCCTGGCGCCAACACGACGACCAGCAAAAAAGGTTCAGAACCAGTCGTTATATAGTTAACAATAACAATTTTGTGAGATTATCACATATTTTAAGGACAAATCTTAATCTGTCAAGTATCTACTAACTATAGCTGTCAAGTAAATGTTTTTTCTGAACAGTACAAGTAGACAAGAAAATGCAAATACTTCTTCATCTGTCTATTTTAAATCTGAGAGTCTTTGATTTAAACACTTATGGTTCCCTTTAATTCTGCCTTTTTTAGAATTTTTTAGGGCCAGAGCAGTAAAACTGCTATTGAACTATTGAAACTGCTTGGGCTTTTATTATTATTATTTTAATGCCTAATTAATCACATTTTTGGAGGCCACATGCTTGAAAACTCATGAAACTTTGCGTACAATTCAGTGGTAGCGAAACTTTAAGTATTCTTTTGGTCCTGTACACCACCATCAGGAATCTTGGAGTTATAGGACTGCCTTTTTTAGGATTTATGTAGGCTACTTATGTACTGTCGTGGTCCACACATGATACACTGGTGCATGACAGCCCGACACACGCGGACTGCCAGGGCCCAATCTATGCTGTTTGCAGCTTTAATTTCATGTCTTTTTCTTTGTTTGAGTATTTTCTTTCATCATAAATATCCCTGATGACACAGTAAATGTATCCACCACTCTTTCGCTCCTTTCTTGCAGAATGAAATTTGATGACTTTATTGCTAACTTCAAAGACCTCACCCTGTGTCATCTCATCAACACATCCTACCAGATCATTCATAGGACCTGGGCGGAGGCATTCATGTGGGGCTCCTGGCACCGCCATGGCGACCCGCTTCTCAACCAAGCTGGCGGCTGCGCCAACCACAAACGCACCTTCCTCCAGAACCCGCAGGTGTTATTTTCTCTCATTTATTCAGAATGTTATTTGATGATTGGCAAGAACTCAAGAAGAAGAAGGAAACAACTGTAACAATATGTGTGTATTTAATTTGTTTTTTTTGTTTTAGTACGTGTTTGATGTGAAGAAGCCGGAGGATGAGGTTCTGATCTGTCTGCAGCAGAAAGACCGCAGAGCCAACCTGAGAAACGGACGAGGAAAAAACCTGCTTATTGGCTTCGACATACACAGGGTCAGCCCACTGTGTGTGTGTGTGTGTGTGTGTTTTCAAGATATAGATGTTACAGCAAAATCCTTCCAACTCTAAGAGTAAACAAGACATTGTAACCTTCATGGATGTGAGATTTATTGCAGGTCTGTTGTGTTATACCCCTTTTACAACACATACGTGGTTTTTTAATCACAGGTAAACCCACCTAAAGTAGACAATTGACAGGAAAACAGTTTGTCGTTGTGTACCAAATAACTGAGTGTATATGATGCACTGCAAAATTAAATGTAGAAAATATCGTAGTGAATTGTGTTACCTAGCTACCAAGTCCAGTTGTGTTGTTTGTAAAGTGCCAGTTTAAACACAATAGATGGACCAGATACTGTTAAGTCTCCAGCTGTAACATATAACAGTCTGTGGAGGTTGGAGAGGGAGACATTATTCTGTAAGTCTGTAGGTAAAGGGAGTTAAAACCGCTGTCTCTCTGTGTTCAGGTGGAGTTAAACAGGACCTACCGTATGCACGCCACCCAGCAGAAGGTTGGTGGGAGCGTCTACATCAACTCGAGGTCTGTGTTCTTACGAATCGACCTGAAAGAGGGGCGGTACGTCGTCATACCCACAACCTTTAAACCCGGCCAGGAGGGAGACTTCCTGCTCCGCATCTTCACAGACGTGCCCTCCGACTGCACGTAGGGACACACAGCGCTTCACTGATCTGTTTCCATGTCATTACCATGTGAAATTTACTCCAGCTGACCAAATTATTTCTAAATGCTGGACTTTACTCGGTAATCTAACAATTTTCACAAGATCAGAACACTAGATGTATTTATTGCTGTTGCTGATTATTTAATGTGAATTTAATTCCAACAGATCTGACTTGCACATCAGTTTCTCCAAATAACTTGTCCACTGAGTAGCTACTTTTAGGTGTGAAGTAGGTTTAAGTTGAACTCGAGCTTTATTTCATTGATTTTACAAGACACAGAAACAGGTTTAGATGACAGAACAGTTTCTGAGCACACAGCACTGGGCTTTAACAGACCATGTGATTTTGTTCCAGACTACAATGTTTAAACAAGAGCAAATATAATTTCTCTCTCTCTCTCTCTCTCTCTCTCTCTCTCTCTCTCTCTCTCTCTCTTGTCTCTCTGTCTCTCTCTCTCTCTCTCTCTCTCTCTCTCTCTCTCTCTCTCTCTCTGTCTGTCTCCCTCTCTGTCTCTCTCTCCTGTAGGGAGCTGACTCTAGATGAGCCTCCACAGACCTGCTGGTCCGGATTGTGTGGTCATCCTACTCTGGTCACTCAGGTCCACGTACTGAAGGCTAATGGACTCCCAGGACAAGACTCTGATGAAGGTACATCATCAAATGTAACTTTATTTTTATTATTATTAAGCAACTGTATTATCTAGAAACATAGAGGCATCAGATTGGGACTCGATATAAGCAGATCAAAACATTATATATGTTTTTGTGTCTGTGTCTGTCTCCAGTGTCGGACCCCTACGTGATCATTCGTTGTGAAGGAGAGAAAGTTCGCTCTCCGGTCCATAAAAACACACGCAGCCCCGTCTTCGACATCAAGGGGCTCTTCTACAGGAAGAAAGCTGGACAGCCAATCAGCATCGAGGTGAGTGTGTGTGTGTGTGTGTGTGTGTGTGTGTGTGTCTTGAAGGTGTGTACGTGTGTGAAGCTTTAACTTCCTCTCTCATTGTCTCTCAGATCTACAACCACAACATGTTTGTGGACTCCTTCCTGGGTCAGGTGACATTGCTCACTCAGCAAGGCGACTTCAAGCAGACGCTCCAACTGAGGGGCAAAGGTGATCACCGTGACGACGACCTCCCTGGAACCGTCACTGTCGTCATAGTAACCACCCCATCGCTCACCAACATCTAAGCCATCCATCCAGGGTTGATTCATCTACCAAATGACCTGTTTAGCACAAGATATTTGTTCTCCTGTAACAGTAAATATACAGCAGGAAGAGAGGGTTTACTCTCTGGATTTATAGAAGATCATCAGAGGAGGTGATGAAAAATACAAACACCAGAAGGAACGTGTTCCTCTTGCTTTGTTTTATCTTGATGTATGTAAATGTCTGTTTACAGAATGATTTATAGTACCTGTGTTGGTTGTAGCTGAATATCCTGAAAACATGTCTGAGAGAGAAACTGCAAACAATCTCTAGCTGTCTTATAAAGCGTTCTTTAATTGACCTTTTCCCCTGATTGGATCTTTTATGTCTAATTTTTATTTCAGTTAACTAAGCAGGTTTTTAATACTTTAGCTTTAGTTTAGTTTTAGTTAAGTAAAAACTTTTGCTTCATAATTCCAGCTGCTATCAGTTTAGACCAGCTCATGTTGTAATATACATCAGAGAAAACTGTTCTGTTCAGTCTCTAACATTTATTGCCCACAAGAGGAAAGGTCCAGATTCAGGACTTTAAACCGTTATACACGTACAAATGTGTGCGACCTGTTTGACGTCTTCTGTACTTTATATGTTGCCAAACAAGACACATCAAAATATATTTTACAGCAGATATTGCAAAAGTGTACATTCAATGTTGACTTGTGCTTAAAAGCTTTCAAGGTGTCACATTGGAAAGAGTTTTTACCTCAGTCTCAGTATTACGTTGAATCTCTGACAAGTTTTTTTACTTTTGTTACTTTGTTCAGTTGGACGTTGATCTCGAGACAACTCGGTTTGCTTGTATTCTATATCGATGCAAATAAACCACACGTGGAGTGAAGCTGCTTGATTCAATTTGTCGTTTGTGAGTTTGAGTTAGTATTTTTAGTCATTTGGTTTTTAAAGAAATGAACAACAACCTGCAACAGACTTATTATAAAGTCTAGCATTGGTTCTCAAATGCTTTGATCCACAACATCACTGAATTTACCTTTAACTATTCATCTGAACAGTTTATGGTGGCGTAATGTTTGACCATAAAAACACGGGTAGACTTCACCTATTCTGTGTTATCATGTCTAGTTCAGGAGATTAACAAAAAATACTTTGTTGGGGCCCCAAACTGTCGATTAAACTACCAACAAGAAATTAAAATGAGCTCAACCTTAAAGATCTACAGCAGTAAAATGCAACATTCACATTAATGAAGCAGTAATTTTAATCCAAAAACATTAAATATAAAAGTAAAACACTGACAGGGATAATCTTACTGCACAATGAGAACTTTTAGTTTTCATACTTTATGTACATTTTCCTGATAACACATTTGAATAATTTCTTAAGTTAATAAGTTTTACCATTTACTTTTTATAGGTGTAGATTCAATTTTGACTTGTGTTTAAATGCTTTCCCAAAGGTGTCACATTGTAAAGCCTCCGTATTGACTCAGTTATGGTTGAGTTTTCAGTACTGTGACTTCGGCTTTTCTGACGTCTTTTCTTTGTTTTCTATCTCCGTATTTCCAGTTAATTTGTGTTTTGGTTTTGTATTATGATGCTTTTATAATCCTGATTTAAAGAATGGTGAAATATAAATACGTGGTGTTTGTATCAGAGCGCATTCACACTTTGCAGCCCATATTAGTGTTTCCTATCATTACTGCAGCTCCCACCAGAGGTCAGTGACGTTTAACAAAAGCCTGGAGGCAAACTTCCCAAATTGTTCCAGTAAAATTCTTCCTGCTGTCATCAAATGTTGAGGGTGTTCCTTTATTTCTAAACACATCTGTGCTGTATTTCCTACAATCTGTTCATTTCTCTGGATTCTTTTGATGAGACTTTTTCCGGTTTGTGGCTTCCGTTGTTAAATTATTTAAAGAGGTTGTTTATAACAACTCTCTATTCTACAGAGTTAACTAAACAAAGATATCTAAATACTATGACTGTGACTTATAATCACATTAATATAGACGTATTCTCCAGGTGTTTACTCATTCAGGGGTCCGGTGCACTTAGTGGGGTTTAAAGCTGCAGTAGGTAACTTTAATAAAAATAACTGTTGGTCATATTATTCTGAAACTTTCACTATATCCTGACAGTAATCAGAGACACATCATCTGTGTTCCTCTGGCTCCTCCCAGTGCTCATAATGACATTTCCACTGACTGAAAACAACCAATCAGAGCTGAGAAAGACATTCAGGCTAATTGTTGAGTTTTGCAGGTACTGGCTTTAGGGTTGGTCGCTTGTAGACAGGTGATTGTTAGTTCTCCCAAAGCTTTGTGAGATAATGAGATAATATGAGATTAATAAAACATCTAGAAATTAATATACACTGTCATGGGTACATAACCCGTCCAGTAAGTCCACGAACAAACCGTATGATGAGAACTGTTTTTGGTCTTTTTGGTTGTTTACAGTATATTTATTGTTTTGGTGTTGTGTGTTTGTTTTTGTTTACATTGTTGGCTACTTTGTTAATTGTCTTTTAATGTTTAAGAATCATTCCACTGTCAATATCTGGCTTGTTTTCTGTTTTATTGATACTGTTTGATTTTAAATTGTTGATTGTTATTGTTTTTGTTTGGACCCCAGGAGGACTAGCAACCACTTTATGGAAGCTAAAGTGGATTCAAAAATAAAGAATAAAGAATAAATGGATTGACCAGAAGAACCTATTTTTTTTTGTTGTTGGGTTATTTGTTTTTAAAAGTTACCCACTCTGCCTTGAAGTCGAGGATTCCAATTTGTCCGAGCCGCGCCTGAAGGCATCAGAGAGGCGTTTACTTACTGCAGCTCCTCCTGTGACTGTGTGCTTTTACTTTGAGTGTTGTTTCTAAACTCCAGCTGAACATCTCCGAACATCACCGACCTGACAACGAGACGAAAGGAGTTTTAAAAAAAGGAAAATAAACCCACTGAAATCCTCCTGAGAGAAGAGAAACGGACATTAAACCAAACACATTTCCAGGTAAAGTCTTAATTAGTTAGTTAAAGCTATTTTTAGCACTTTGCATCTCGAGTGACCTAAAGTCTGCCAGGAGACTTTCTCTCTCCAGCCGATATTAAAGTTAAATAGAGTTTATTTAATTGCACGGTTCAAGTTTATAGAGACTGAAAGTGCACGTAGAAACGATTTGTTTGACTTGTGTTGGTTTCTCTGGATAATAAAACATCCCGTTAGCATAGAACAGGAACTATTGAAGTAATATAGGACATCATTTGTCCACAGTTTCATTTCCACGCCTTCACATAAGATTAAAAAAACGATTTGAAAAAAAAAAAAAAAAAAATCGCCATCTTTCAAGTTAGCATGCGTAAACAGATACACTTCCGGCAACCACCTTCAAAATAAAGTGTTAAACTTTGACGTTACTGATGCGGAGGGTTTGCTGAATATTTCCGTAAAAATAATTAAAAATCTTTGTGATTTTAGTAGTTTGGAGTGTGAAGTAAAAACAGTAATGTCTAACCATAGTAAATAGTCTAAAACCACTGGTAGTAAAGCCCTTAAAAGCTACTGCATTGTAAAGTGTATTGTAATCAGTCATGTGTTGATCTTTAATAGCAGTTTGGTGTACCGACGATACTGTAAGAAAAAATAAGATGATTAACAATAAAGACAATTAAATCATATGTTAAAAGGCTGATTAGAGGCAGCTTTAATGTAAACATTTGACCATTTCCCCAATACTGTGCTCTCCTTTCTGTCACATACGTTGCACTTTTACTTTGAAGGCAAAGTTTCCAGATTTCCGGTGTGATTTGTTTGACTAACTCTGGGTAGCTTCACACAGCTCAAACGCGCTATTTCTATAAAATAAGTCTTTAAAGTTAATTTTTTTTAGCAAAGTTAGACAATAAGACTGTTTATCAGAGCTTTATCTGTTTACATCAAACATGTTCAGTGTTGTTCATGTCACCAATCATCTGAAATTCCCACATATGATATATTTTAACGAGCTGTTGTTCAGTTGTCATAGATCTGCTGTGGCATTATCTATTGGTGCCCACATTATACCACACCCATGTTTGGCTGGTTTGCCTCAATTCTTGCGACACAGTCAAAAATCCTCTTTAAAGGTTCAGTTTCATTCAGCGGTCAGTTGTTTGCACACCAAGAAGCAGTGTATGCACACACTGAATGGATCAAAAAGTGAGGTGGACATTTAAAGACGGAGCATATTTACTCTGGGAAAGAGACAGAATGGAAGAAGTTAATCTGGAAAAGCTGCAGACTGTCAGAAAGAGGAGTAAACTGCAGCTGTTGTTGTTGACAGCTGCCTGAACACACCCTCAACACCTTTTAAATTATGTTTAACCACAGTAGTCAGAGTTTTCAGTATTATTTTGGGGCTGCAACTAGCGATTATTTTCACTTATTATATATGTCTGCTGATAAGTAACTAGATTTACAGTACAGAAATGTGCTGATATAAATATGTTAAAGGTGATTTGGAAACATGACATAGTTTAATGCATGCAAGGTCTGTAGTATTGCAACAGTCCCTAACATAAAGAAAATAGTTTCTTTATGTTGTATGTTCATGTAAAACAAATACAAATTACCCTAGATGTTGTTAGTGAATCTTTAAAGTATTAAATATTGATCGGCCGGGCTATGCTCATTGATTTTCAGTTCACAATAATGTCAAGAAACAAATCTTTACATCTGAGAAACTGTAACCATGTGTTACATTTTTGCTGTTTGATAATTGACTTATAGTTTAATTGTTTTTGAATAACTTTTTGTCTGTAGACTAATGGAGTACACACCTAACTAATGATTTCAGCAGCAGATGTTTTCATTAATAAATTAGTAGGTCGACAGGAAATAATATTTCAGACTAGGTTGTCATTTATCAAGAGAAACGCAGCTTCTCAAAGAGTATTTACTGCTTTTCTCTCTTTTTTTGACAATTTAAATAGAATATCTTTTACTATTTTCTTACGTTTCATAGACTAAACAATTAATTCATTAATCAACAAATATCTAAAAGACTAATCAAGGAAGAAATGAGCCTCTTTGTAGAGTTTGAACTGTAGCATTACATATATCCTGACCACTTCTCATCCTCCTTAAGAGCTCTTATTCTTGAACCTCAACCTGATTATTCTGAGTGGTCACAACTCTAAAAGGGTTGAGAACCACTGCCGTTGTTAACCACCTAAACAACGATCCTTTCTCAGAATCAGTTGACCGTGTGAGCTGTTGTTTAGTGGTTATATGTGATAATATTAAACAGTTATACAGTAAACCACAAACCCAAGCTTCTGTAGGAAGTACCAAAAGCCTGATTCACCCAATCACCAGGATGCTTTCGAATGATTTATTAACAAAAACAAAAAGATTGTGTGAGAGGTTTGAACTTGAACACAATTGAGGGGTGATCCGACTCCTGAAACTCCTAAAATCATATTAACCTTGATCAAACAATCGGTTCAGGCTCTGAGGAAGGGGATTAAGGTCACGTAGCGGCATCCTCCGGATCTAACCTGGCGACAATTTTGAGAATATTTTGAGAAACAATAGTACTGACAATGTGCCCCCCCACCAGGACAAGCAGAACAGAAAATGGATCAGTTTTTTATATTTTACTTTCGATATGCAGTCTGATAACTAATCACAATATAACAAGCCTTTTTTCACTGACACAGTTTAAACACATGATTGTAGTGCTGCTCATGCTGGCTCAATGGACACTCGTCATTAGTAACGTCTCTATAATATGTGTGAATACTAACTGCCATAGTAAATATTAAAGGACCAGTGTGTTGCAGATTGCAACTAACTGACTACAGCTCGCATTGACAAGCGTGTAGGAGGAACTACGGTGGCTGCAAAACACTCTAAAAAAAGCTAAAAGCCCCTATCTAGAGCTGTTCAACATGGTGGCTACCATAGAAGAGGACCTGCTCCCTCTATAGATAAAAACAGCTCATTCTAAGGTAACTCAGACACAACGATTCTTATTTTCAGATGATTATACACTGATGAAAACAAACCTTTGAGCCACCTGAATGTCACACACTGTCAGAGCAGCTTACTCACTGGCAGTCTGGTGTGAATGGGGTCATTAGTTTGCAGCTACACATGTTCATAATGTTGGTAGATATAAGAGTGGCCAACTAGTTCTGGTTAACATGCACATACACATAAACACAGGAAAACACCGCGTCGCCCTCCCCCCTCTGATGATGAGTCATGTCTCAGTCATGCTTGTTGTCTTCAGTAAAAAAAAAAAAAGTCAGTTCAGTTTCTTCGAACCAGTCAGCTCGCTCACGATCTCTCGGGGTCGGCGTGTTGTTTTTCATTCAGAAATGTCTTTTATCCACTTTACTCTGTCCTTCAAATGTACAAACTCTAAAGCTTTAAATGATCTGAGGAATGGTATTCTCTCTCTATCATCCTCTGCAGTAGACGGTGGTTAAAAACCCACAGGACCACATTTCCCCCTCGTTACAAAGAGATATACTTTATATTCTTTTACTCTCTAAGCAGTTTGATGTGGAGGTGGATAGAGCTTCAGTTGAGGATTGATCACAAATGTTTACAACAGATTTAATCTTAAAATTACTTCTTAGTTTTATTTTTAGTTTCACTTTTTAAAATGTTCTGCATCAGAGAAGAAACTCCATTTATATAACAGTGGATGGAGGCATTTATTGAAACAGACCACCAAGTAGATACTATTTGTTGAGGACAACTGAAAAAGTCTTTCTCTTCCACACACACACACACACACACACACACACACACAGAGAGTCTTTTGTCCACTCTGTTCAGTATCTTCTCTGTGTTTAGTGCCTTTAATTGACACTGATATAATTACTGACCAGCCTGATGAACAGTCTCCATGGCAACCAGCATCCTTGCAGCCAGTGGTGGGAGAAGTAATCAGATCCTTTAAGTACTTAAAAGTACTGATGCCACACTAGTGCAAATACTCAACAGTAACAATATTCAAAACCTTAATTAATGTGAATGAATGTGTATGTTGCATTTTACTGTCGGGCAGTTTAATGTTTCTGTAAGATCATCATATATTAGTAGCAGGAAAGACAGAAGAACAGCCCTGTTTTATGACAGAATGTACTTTAATTATCAGGATGAATAATGATAAAAGTGTAACATTTGTCCTCCCATGTCCCCGTCCTGAACAGAGCAACACTCAAACACGCACACACTTCTTCCTCTTTCTGTTGTTGTTTCACTTTATGTGGAGACAGGAAGCTGCTCACCACCATTACTCACCAGATCAGGCACTTAATGCTACTGCTTCAAACACACACACACACACACACACACACACACACACACACACACACACACACACCACACACACACACACACACACACACAGAGTCAGCATACAACTTTCATCATGTGTTTGCTTTGCTGGTGATCCGTAGTCAAACATGACTGTCGGAGTTTCTGTTTGTCATCCTGTCACAAGATTGGTGGAATAGTTTGTGTATTAGACCATTGTGTGTGCATAGTTTTGGGAGTGTTAAAGGTCTTATAGGAGAAGTATATCTATCTTACTAATTCTTATCCACAATGTGAAGAGTGTCAGGAGATGCATGTCCACTGTGTCCTCTTGGACTGGTTTGAATTATCCTCTAGAATATAATTCTCATTTTGTATTTTTACCTCTTTTAAAGTGACAGTGTTGTTCAATATTTCTTTCTTCAGTATTTCCAGTGTTGCTGTATTACGTCATGTAAAGTGTATCTGAACTGTTGTGCAAGTTCACATTAAACAAGACCTAACTTAAAGCTCAGTTCACACAGGTTAAAATGAAGAAGTTCACATTCATAGTTCACAATTTTGAATTTGAACCGCAGCAACCTGGGTTTGATTCCAGCCAACAGGCCATTGCTGTATGTTGTCCCTCCTCTCTGGGACCATTTTTCCTGTCTGTCTTACACTGTCCTCTCTGATAAAGGCTAAAAAGACCTGAATACATCTTTAAAATTAATTAGTAATTTGAGTTAATGAAAAGTTCATTATTTGAATGCACACATTCAAATGTTTAATGAACTCACTCTTCCAACACTGTCTGAACTTTTTGACAGTTTGCAGTTTGCAGAGATGGACTTATTGATCAAACAGAAATAAAGAAGAAACAGTAACTCAAGATGACTAAAAGAATAATGGAAACTGATTGTGGTCAAACTCCTAATGTGATATAAACATGGTATGTAAAATAAAATAACGCTGCAAATGCAAAACTGTTTCTGATTGGTATACAGCAATAAAAATGTGCATACACACACTTAACAATTAATATCTTTATTTAGCCAAATAATCACAACTTCACTGCCGGGACATTGGATATTAAAGTTAAAAAAGTAAAAATCTACAAAGGGAGTGAGAAGATCAAATGAACTATTTAAATATTTACAAGCTCAAACTAACTATTTACATATAGGCTAAGCTTTAGGAACTCTAATCCAGAGATCCGGGGAGAAAAGAAGTCGCTTCACTTTGTTCAGTCATGTTTATCCAAACCAACCAAACAACTTTACTTAAAGCTGCGTTTGACTCTTGTTTTGCAGGCTGAACCTCTCAAAGCTGTTGTTTTCTTCTGTAAACGTATCAATGTGGGCAGATAAACACACTCAAACACCAGATCCGGTTCTGGCTGTTAATGTTCTCTTTTGTAACACTGTCAGCGTGTAAACTGGTGTTATTAAACTAGAAGCAGAGGAACCCACTTGGCTGTGTTATCAGATTTTCACTGAGAGCTAATGTAAATAGGTTTTATTGAATTTGGCAATCTTTTATTGATTATTTCAATAAGTTTTTTTTTTCTTTTGTGTAATTGTGTTAATGCATTTGGGTGCACATTGTACCAAAAGCCTGTTGCTGTCGTTCCAGGGGGATGGTGGTTCCGTACGAGGGCCAGTCTTTCTCTGCACTGAGGAGCCAGTGCCAGGACAATGGGGTTCTGTTTGAAGACCCTCTGTTCCCACCTTCCGACCAGTCTCTGTTCTACAATAGCAACCGCCTCGGCCAAATCACCTGGAAAAGGCCTAAGGTGAGGAAAAAAGAAATGATTTGTTTAATAGGGAAGCAAGATTTCCACATATTTCTGCCAAGAAATGTAAGAGAATCTCAGAAATGTTCCTTATTCTCCACATTGCCTGCTTTACAGGCAACCTCACTGTTAGACAAACAACAACGCTGACATACTGCAAAATAAAAACATTCTAGGGCCAAAAAAAGTGAAGAATAGTCCTAAAAAAGTTACTGATATTCACATCTGAGATGAAGGCACAGCTATTGTTGCACCACAGTGAGCTGGTCAGCTGATTCACAGTGGAGGGAGACAAGAGACAGAGACAGGGGACAGTAGGTGGGAAAGGGGGATGTTGGTCATGAGACAAGTACAAAGGAGAGCATGCATATAAAGAGAGGAAGGTTACATGGACTGAATAGGGAGAGGAATTTATGGAATTTACCCAATTTCACCTAAAAACTTTTGTTTGTGTGTCTGCGTGTGTGCATGACTACATGTGTTTGCTCTTTGAACAAATATTTGAGCGAATATTTGGACAGCAGAATAACATGTTGAGATGTTGGTAGTTACTGAGCAAAAGTAAATTGAATTTGTCCCACAATCTGGGGCTACTGGGATTGTTGGACTGAAATATATATAATATGGCTCAGAACAGACGTGGACAGTGTTCAGATCTTTGGCTGGAACTAAGTGTAAAATGTAATAAAAGTGTGTTGTTGGATGAAAAGTAGTGAAAACCCCAAACTGCACCATGTTCACTTCAAATGTTGCTGTGTGTAGTTTTATATGAACTGGAAGACCATAAAATGGCTACTGGAATTATTTTTACAGAGTAATTGGATCATTGATATATATGATCTAAATTTGGTAATTTACTGTTACAGTGTGTCAACTGAGTCTTAAGAAGTCTAAAATATGAATTAAATATTAATTTAAATAAGTAAATTAACTTAAATATGATGTTGACAGGTCTTAAAAATTGATTGGATTAATGAACGTAATGTTACTTGTTTGAAGTTTAATTTTTCAGTCTCACTTTTAAATGTGTTTTGGGAAGAATTTGTATTGATCACACTGTAACAACTACAAAGCCAAACCAACCAGTACTGAAACAATATCCATTTCTCGTCATAACCTTCATTCATTTCTTGGAAGTATGGGCAAGAAATAGTTCTTAAATTGCCTTAATAATCTTAAAAAGATCTTAAATTTAAATTTAAATTGAAACTGGCAGAAAAACCCGGTTAAATAGTTATATGTTGTACTCTATATGGAGTTGGTTAGAGTTGTCATCTACAAGGATGTAGATGTAGATGTGTGCAGCAACAAAAGGTTATTGGCTCTCTCCCACAAACTCAAGGTTTCCAACACACCTGAGCAATAAGGGAGATTATTATTAACTGATTTCTGTTCTCTTTCCATCCAAGTTCAGTTTCATTGGAGAAATCCAGCTACATTTAACAGAGGCTACCTAGAAAAGAGATACCTAGAAAATGTTGTAGATGAAGGATGTACGCTTCTGTTTGAGCCCCTGACCTTACCTAACCTCTGCATCCAAAACAGTTTATTTCCTTGAATACTCAAATCCACTAAAATACATTGAACAGTCCAGCAGAGGCTTTCCCCTGATGTTCACTCTGAAACTTTCAATGGAAGCACACCAGAACACACTGAGGCCTCTTGAAGGGATATTTTCCCTTCATCTCAAAGCTAAAACATCTTTAATGTTTTATCCCAAATGTATTTTATCCAAATTTCTGTCAAGGGAAATTCAGTCCTTGTGAAGTTCCCATTTAAAAACATTTTAATACAGGATACTGGCAAGTTTCTTCTGGTACCATCATTGCTCTCAAGGAGCTAAACTATTGATTACTATAAAATAAACAGAATAAGAACCTGGTGATTATTATGAGGCCAACTTACTGAAACATCATCACAAGAATAATGAACAAACGGTTTACTGCTAGAAGGTCAAAATGACGATGATTATAATCAGAATTTTATAAATTATTGTTGTTACAATGTCTTCCTGTAACTTTTCAACCTGCAGTGACTCAAGTTTGTACTTTGGGTGGAATTATAAACAGTTGGGTTGCGTCTGGAAGTATTAACATTAATCCCAAAATATAATATATCTGTGTTCAATGTGAGGACCTGGCCTGTTTCATACTGACACAACTAACATAGGAAAGTACCACGATTAGTATGTATGTTTAATATATGTTTTAAATCAGTTTAAGGGTGGTAGATATTTCCATTTAATCGATAACTGATTTAATGCCAACAGACGGCCTCAGTCTAGAATAAACATTGAGATTGTTTGATATCAGAGTTGTTAGCTTAAACTGCCAAACTTTACTGGCCTCAGAGACTTTGAGTCAACCTCTGCATTTCACTGAACCGGATTTGTTTTTAGGAATGTTTTCATGCAGTGCAACCAGTAACCACTGTGTAGATGATGGAGAAATATGATGCTCATAATGGAATTATTGCTTCATAGCTTTCCAGCCTCTATCTGCAGCTGTTTATGCTGTTCACTCTTGTCTCTGTGTCACTTCTTTGCTTTAAAAACTGCAGTGAGATAGAAAAGAGGAGTCTCTGTCCACTTCAGCAGACTCTGGTGAGGTTTCAATATGTTTTGGGATGAAGATGAGATTTTTTAAATTGTGTTAATTACAGTTTATCTTTTGGATTAATTCTCTTGTGAGTCTGAAGTCTTGTACACCCAGCTCAAGCCTGAACTATATGTGTATAAATGCTTTTACTGTCAATCATTGATGACCTGAGCTGCTTAATAATTAAACAGGAAACCGAAAGCACTCCAGTTGATCAATATTATTGATTTGTCCAGGGAGTGGAGAGAGAGGAAGCATTCATATCATTTCACACTAAACTTAAACGTCTCTCTGAGTTACCAAGTGAAACCACAGATTCACAAGAGCTTAAAACTGATCCGCCTTCTTCTGTGCTCCACACATCTTTGGGTCAGTGTCACTCACTGATTATATCCAAACTTGCTCTACTTCAGCCTCAGTGTACATTACTATTGTTGACTATTGTTGTGGATTTTTTTGTTGTGGAACATTATATCTGTGGTAATATTAAAAAATAATGGTTACTAAAGAATTGTGTGAACTGAATGGGACATTTTACAATTAGAAAATTAACTAATCATTGCTCTCTGGTGGACAAACTATGAAATATTGTCACATATCTTAAACCCACTGATCAAACTCAGACTACAAAAGCCTTATTTTAGCTTCTGCTAAAGTTACAGTAGATTTACACAGAAGGAAGACTGTGGATGTTGTCTGTCACTTACATAGAAATCTCTTTAGGAGGAGATTTCTACATTAATTATGTTTGCAATGTTGTGGATGAGCCAACATTGTATGCAGGGCTCATCGTTAAGGTTTCCCAGTTCGGGCAAGTGGGTCAGAAATCTACTTAAGTAAGTTCTTACTTGCCCCTATATGCCTCTTAGCTGGTTATGGCACTCCAGCTATAACTTCCTTTTGAAAAATTACCCAATTCTGCCTCTTTGCATAGTTGGAATTTCACCCACATCCTAGACATCATCCAGCTAATCTTTCCAGGACAATTAAAATGTTCACTTGGGCTCCAGCTCATAAACTTTGTCTTTAACCGCCACCATTTTCTTTCTAGTGCCTTATTGTTGCTTCACATGTGCAGCTCTCAATAGAGATTAGAAGAGATGGTTCATTCCTTACATACTTCCATCATCAGCTCTGGAAAAACAATGTCTTTTATCCTTTTTTACCAGGCAGGTGAGTTGCTAGATTTAGTAGCCCGAAGTGGCATTTTAGTTGCCCTGGGCAAGTGGGCAGTCCGCGAGAGAGGAGGATGAAGAAGAGTGTGGAAAGGAGAACCACAGAGGCTATTTCTTTACTGTTGGTGTGTCTTTTTTGTGGTTTAACGGATGAGAGCGTGTGTGGCATATACAGTATGTGTACTTGAAATAGTGGCTTCTAATTTTGAGAATGAACACACAGAAAGGGGCATTCGAGGTTCTTTCTGGTTTCTTTATATACATTGGCCAGTTTGTCGTGTGACTTTACAAAAGAAAATACAACACAGACAAAGAGTAAATGTAAACACAATGTGTATATATGTGTGTGTGTGTGTGTGTGTTTATGTATATATATAGCAGACAATTAGCTTATCTTAGCACAAACACTGGAAACTGGGGGAAACATCTAGCCTGACCCTGTCCGAAGGTAACTGCCTACAAGTGAAGCTCACCTATTAACTTATTATATCTTGTTTTTTTAAGATAAAACATGTTAATAAGTGAGCTTTATGTCAGCCATGTGTATGTCTGTCTCTACATGGTTAGTGGTCTTGCTGGGTGTGTGCCACTGGTTTATCCCAGCACTATCATTTGGCTGCCGTCCTGTTATATGTTCTGTGGTTTGTTTTTCTGCTTTGAACGTTCAGAAGGGATTTCTACTTAATCAGAGAGTGTTTTTACCCTGTATTTACCTTATGATGGTTGACTTAGTGGTCTGGTTAACGCCCTGCTTTACATTCATCTACGCCTGGCAGCTGCCCAGTATGGCCACTTCCTTCTACTGCTGGTCACTGAACAGCTGCCGTGCTGCAGCAGGTAGAAAAGTACTATAAAAGTGGACTTTGTGATGATATAATTAAAACCTCTTTAGCCTTTTTCTACTGGGTTTCTGTTTGTGAATCAGGGGAATTAACTATAAAAACTGAACTTATTAAGGGAACTTTGAAATTATGTCACGTTCAAAAATAATGAATTGTTCAGTCATTCTTTTGTGGGTTATTATTTTGTTTAGTTTGTTTTGTCTTGATGTTTGTTTTGGACCTGATATTTCCAAATGCAACTGGAGTTGGAGTATTTGTAGTTTGGAAGAAGTCAGAAACATAATACAGTTTATTTGAAAGAAGTAGAAAAAGATTAACACTGATTGCAATCATCTTTATCCTTCTAGGACTTATGCATCGAGCCCCATCTATTTGTGGATGGCATTAGTGCCCACGACCTGCACCAAGGCCAGCTGGGAAACTGCTGGTTCGTAGCCGCCTGCTCCAGTCTGGCCTCCAGAGAGGCACTATGGCAGAAGGTGAGACAAGAGACAGTTTCCATGTTTTATTATCTCTTTTTACTGTGAAGTTGATTTTGTAATCTTGGCTTTGTTGTCTGGATCCACGTAAAAGACAACACTGAATATTTACACATGAATCCATCAGAGGAGCGGCCAACTCACATGAAATCAGACAACACAATACAACGACCAGCTGAATGGATCGAGCTGTATTTTATGACATTGCTGAGTACCACATCTCAGTTAAAGATTTGGCTGTGTGTGTGTGTGTTGTGTGTGTGTTGTGTGTGTGTGTGTGTGTGTGTGTGTGTGTGAGAGTGTGAGTGTGAGTGTGAGTGTGAGTGTGTGTGTGTGTGAGTGTGGTGTGGTGTGTGTGAGTGTGTGTGTGTGGTGTGGTGTGAGTGTGAGTGTGAGTGTGAGTGTGAGTGTGAGTGTGTGAGAGTGTGAGTGTGAGTGTGAGTGTGAGTGTGAGTGTGAGTGTGAGTGTGAGTGTGTGTGAGTGTGAGTGTGAGTGTGTGTGTATTGATGGGCGTGGGCATGTGTGTCCAATGCAGGTATATGGCTGTTACATTTGTGTGACTGGGTGTGTATTTACTTAAGATTTGTGTGCAGTATCTGTAAACACACACACACACACACACACACACACACACACACACACACCCATTGGCACTGTCTGTATTGGTCAATGGTTGTGGTGAGTTGGGTTCAAGGCCTCTGTAAACACAACCAGATTCATGTTAAAATACATAATTAACACTTAAACCAGCATGCGTACTGTTTTATGTGTGTGTTGTAATAGTGCTCATTAGGATTAGGATTATTTAGGTTTTTAATAATGATGCATGTCACAGCTCATAAATCATTATCAGTATCACAAAATGAGCCAGTCAAGGCACATTTTGTGATATTGAGAATGAGCCTTGACTGATTGACAAGTGAATTTGTGTAACAAAGAGACGTGAAATAATGTTAAAAATGAATTTAATTGTAATACAAACTAAAGGACTTGAACTGGATGCTGCAGCAACCAGGAAATAACATCTTTCATCCATAAGGTGGCACCAGTTACCTTCATTAACAACCCTGTTATTGAATATAGGTTTACAGGCTGCTTATGTTTCAGAGTTCAGACTTTACATTACTTGTGTTACAGCAGTGGTTCACAACCTTTTTGGTGGCAAGGACCCCCAAAATGATACACATCATGCAGTGGACCCATATTTGATAAGATGTAGTCTCAGGGTTGCCTGTCTGATAAGATTTAATTATTCCATATCTGCCTATGCTGTAGATCGGCAGATAAACAGTGAAGAGTGTGAAACATGTAAAGAGAAATACTATATAGTCATTCTTATACACTCTTATTGGGTTAACGTTCAGTCAATAAATTATAGAGAAACTAAAATATTCCCTATTTTCTGGGGACCCCTTGGAACCCCCTTAAGGTCCTAAATGCCAGGTCATCTTAATATGTTTCACGTGTGTGTGTGTGTGTGTGTGTGTGTGTGTGTGTGTGTGTGTGTGTGTGTGTGTGTGTGTGTGTGTGTGTGTGTGTGTCCTCAGTGTTTTTTCCACTGTTGGTTACCTCATTCCTCCTGTCTGGTCTCGGAGGTCCTCTCCAGCTCTCAGTTTTCCATCAGCTGAAGGAAACTGAAGCCTGTTGAAGGTGTTGTTGCCTCAGTGGAGCAGCCAGTTGTCTTGACACCCGTCAGTGGTCCAAACATTAGTTCTAAATCACTTATTAAGCCTCTAATGTGAAACTATACAAGCAGTTTGACAACAGTTATGATAAGTGAAGACGCCTAGTAACCATCCTGTAGGACAAATTGGGGGGAAATGGTTTAAAAACTCACATAAACTCACAAGTTAAAGTTATAATCCTTAATATTTTCATTGCTTACAATAATAAGTAATAGCTTTGTCATTTATTTAATAATGTTGATAACATGCAAATGTATTTACTACTGAGGTAGTGAATCATGCATCTTTTTCTTTGTTGTGCTCTTTATTGTAATCTAACCTGCTCTATTTTATAAATTCCTAAAATTTGCAATCATTGCAGTTTTTGACTCATTATGTACAGATTATAAGTGAACTTTAAATATATAGTATCTCATTTGATTTTTGATAATTTCAGTATATTAGTTTCTTCTGCACCCTAACAGGTCCTTAAGGTCCACTTACCTTCTCCCGGACTCTCAACTCTATTTCTGAAACAAGAAAGCAAAACCTGCAATGATGTTTTCTTGTTAGTTATGTCCTATTTCTGTCCTTAAAAAACAGCTCTGACTGTCTAATTCACCAGGAAAAAAAAAAAAAAAAGCATTATTCAGTGTAAAACAAGTTGCATCAGAAAGAAACTGATTTGTCTCCAGTGAGGTGGAAAGTTTGACTGGAACAAAAATCGTAACTATTGTAACTGATGACCAGATACTGTAGCTGTAACCCTGACATGCTGGAATTTCTTCAATCCCGTCCAAATAAAAAGTAGGAAAAAATCAGGAGACTTGAAACTCAGTGAGAAAGGCAGAAAGCAAATGGGGTGCGTATTCATCAGTTATCAGAATCAGATCATTATCGTGTATAAAAGTCCTTCCCAACCTTTTTCCTTAAGGGACCACTTTTCTATCATTGAGTAAACTGGCAACCTCTGAATGTGACATATTTCATGGATATTTCATATTATATTCAATGCATAACAATAACAGTACAGAACAACAAACAGTGAACACAAAAACTGCAGGAAGTTTGTGTAAAATAAGCAATTTTGATGAATTTTGAGCAGATTATTTCCTGTAACGTAAGTTTTCCTGATATTTTTAGGAAGGTTTTATACAATTCTCTGTCTTATGTATTTTTTAACAATCATACATACAATTTAAACTTAAAGAAAAATACAATTTAATTTAGTTTTCTTAAGAAGTGAACCAGATTGCGGAGATATTGGTCTACTGTGTATATTTTTTTTGTTTTCTTACACCCCTATAAATCAAGAAGGACCTGTGAAGTGAGTGGGGATCCTGACCCACAGGTTGGGAACCACTGATGCATAATATATAATTTATATCCTTTATAGTAGATTATCAGTGTGTTCTTGCCAGATTGCTCACAGGAAGGCAAAACTATCACTCGTTCAACTGTTGTTCTGGTAAATCATTCATCTTTTTTATTTACGTGTAATAACTGAGTAACTGTGTTTATTAAAAAACATGAGGTGAGAGGGTGATAATCAAAATATGTGTCAGTGCAAACACATCCTCTCCCCCTGAATCGAGGGTCTAATCATAAAGCTATTTAAGTTTGTGATTTTGGGCTTTATTTATAAACCCGACTTACAGTCCTCTCCTCTCCTCTCGTCCCCTCCCTCCCTCTGTCCCTCCCTCTATCCCTCCCTCTGTCCCTCCCTCTGTCCAGTCACACCAATAGTAATCAGCACCAATGAGAGCACACAGACAGCTTTCAGTCGATATTTAATAGATGTCACTCCATTGATTTCTGTTTTGTGTCAGGCCGACAGTCATGCAATGTGAATATTTGATATTCCATTCACTGCCTCTGCATCTAGCTGTTGCTCCTGGGAGCGATGAAAGATTTCAGAAACAAAATACAACAACAACAACAAAAACAACTCAAAAAGCTAGACACACATACAATCACAATATGCAGCTGATCAGTAAAGACATGTTTTACTTACAGGAAGATTAATTGTTCCTTCAAATCCTCAGTTTTGTTTTCAAAAGTAAATTATTTCATTAAAAAAAATGTATATCATTTTATGAATGAGTTATGAATATTTTAGTTTTTGATTATAATGGTTTCAACATCATCATCAAATAATATAATGTAAAGACAGTTGCTTATGTTTCTGTACAAATTAAAATGTTTTTAATTGATGATTTATGTTGATGACAGATTTATCTTTTATGCAGCACCAGGAAACATACAAGAGGATTAGTTCCATATTACTTTTAAATAAAGTGCACTTCTTCATCCCAGGATCAATATTTTTACTATTTATGTGTGCTTTGTTTTGTGAAAAATAATTTCTTTAAAGCTTGTTTGCGATAAGTCCTTACATTTTTTTTGACTTGGCTGTTGAGGCGACATTAAAAGTTTGCTCTTTGTGCTAAAATGTTAGAGTGAATGGTAGCAAATGATGTTGTGCACAACAAGGTGGAACTACAATCTTGTCACTGTACAATTACAGGTTAATCACTGAGTGTTTGAGGGAGAATTTATAAACTGATTCATGTAATTGAAAAAAGATGCAGTTTTCAATCAGCTCTAGCTGGATGTTTTTTAAAGGTCAAAGATTGAACAAAATATTGCGATGCTTTTCCAGTACTCTAACTGTATTCTACTGGCAAAAAGAGAAGAGTCAATTATCTGGTGTGAACTCCACCGAGCAGCTAAGATTCGCCGCCTCTGCCCCATCCTTGAAGGCAAACAGGAAGTACATGACCTTCCTGACCTTGGCCAGCTCAGCAATTCTTTCTCCAAACTCCTGCATGTCCGCCTCCAGCCATTTGAGCGGTGAATCCTCCGGGTCATCAGCGTTTCGCCAAATCGTTCCGATCGGTTCCAGTAGCTGACGGGTCATCAGGTTGGTGAGGTCAGGGGTCCAGTGTTGGGAAATGCCGGTGATGGTGACACGACCGTAGGCGATGAGGGAGAAGTACCAGCGGGAGAAGTTCAGCTCCTGAGTGGAGAAGTCCAGCCGGTACACGGCCTCATGGGGAAGAAGCAGACGCTCGCCATCCTGACGCTTCTGCCCTGACCGCTGCAGAGACGACACCCGAAGACGCATCATCTGCAGAGGAAATAAAGGAACACACAGGAAGAGAAAGATGAAAGAGAAATTGAGAAGGGCTGGAGAAGAAGGAGTAATGTGGAAAGGTGTGTGTGTCAAATGTGATTTAGTCTGTAGTTGTGGACCCACCACTTAAAAATAAGAACAGGAGGCCTCGAACAGGGGACTGATGAGCTGTGAAGGGATCTATGCTGGAAATACATTTTCTAAACATGAAGTTAAAACTAGATCTGAGAGTCTGTTTAGTCTTTAGTGGAAAAAAGACATTTGATATATTATAATAATAATAATAATATAACCAACAACACATCACAATGACAAACCAAATGTGTTTTTAGAATCTCTGTCAGACTAAAAAATGAATTACCTCTTATTACTTTTGGGTCTTTTCACAGATTTATTTATAGTGTTTTGGAGAATTAACTTGGCTACAAACTAGTCCTGATTCAGCTTCGGGTTCTTGTTCTGCGTCAGTATCAGGATCCCAACATGATACAACAGCACCATAATCACGCTTTCACCTGCAGATGGATGTTTTCCTTTTATAACTCATTGTACAGACATAGAATCAGTCAGAACAGGAAGCATTTACATATGGAGTATTTATGTTTTAATACATTGGCTAGTATTTCTAAAACCATTACTCGTTGAGGGGCATTGATTGATTTCAAAATGTTCTAATTCATATGAAGCCTATAATGCGATGTGGAAAATATGAAAGAATCTGAATACCTTCCAATTTCTATATTTAGTTGATCTAGCAACATAAACCTCTGACATTTCCAGCATCTAATGCACACATCACTGTCTCAATCATCAGATTTACACAGTAACTACATGCCTTGTTATGGTCAGTAGTTGCATGTTAACAAAAACTTGTGGCTCTTTTCTGAATCCCAAGCCACTTTGGCTCAGGCTAACTGAACTCTGTCAAAGTTAAACTGAGCAAACTGTCACATTAAGATATTCTCATCAAGTAAGTGAGCAACCAAGGAAAGGCGTGTATGACCTGCATCCTAATGGAAGTAGGATGTGATAAAAACTTTTACGCAGGGCAGTAACCAATGCGTATGTTTGAGGACACACTTAATTGATCTATAAAATGTCAGAAAAAACAACAATTTCCAAGAGCCTAAGATGACTTATTCACATTGTTTGTCCGATAAACATTAAAACCCAAAGACATTCAGTTTATTATGATATAAAAACAAGAAAAGGTTTTCTTTTAATTGAATAACTCAAATAATATCTGAGATGATGTAGTCAAAATGTCTTGTGTTATCAGTCTCTTTTTTTTTTCTTTTGACCAATCGTTCTTTCTCTAAAACTCACTTCTCTCAGCAAAGCAAAGGTGCACATTTATATTTGATCACAGTCACAAAAGCCCATGAGCTGTTGACCTCCACTGTGGCTGCCAGACGGTTGGTTACATCACCCTGAGTGATACCAGACAGAAAGAAAGTTGTGTTGAGGCAGAGTGCCAGGTTAGTAGTCAGTGTTTGAACTCTGGCAACTATTGATCATCACACCAGAGACCAAAACTTTAAAGATCCCCTCAGACATGTATTAAGATAAATATAAAAAATAGTCTGCTTGGAACAATAATGTTTTGTCTCACAAAAAGGCATCATCTCTACCTCATTAAAAATTCCTGAATCTATGAATATGCACGTTTTGTATTAATTAAGTTTTCCCACCGGACACAAGTCTCCTACTGCACTGTAAAGTCCATTCTCAGTGTATGTGCACTGTTGGCTTCAAGTTTCTACATCACACCTGTATAAGTTGCATAATGGATTGACTTCTTAACCATTTGTGATGTCACCAATCATGATTGTAGGCCCCGCCCCCTTAAAATCAGATCAGAGAGCTCAGAGAAACTTTCCACTTTCAGCAGATGAATGTGAAAACATCCTTCTGGTGTCAAACTCTGCACATACATCATTCTGCACAGTGAAGCTCAAACATCCAACTGTAGGAACGAGACAAAAAACATATTTCTGATTCGACTAGAACTTTAAGAACAGATATTATAAAACTGAATGTTCATCAAACCAAGTTAACTGATGTTGCTGGAAAACATGTATCTCCAAAACATCACATTAGAAAAGTTGGCCAACTATAACAAAAATAATAATACACTAGATTTCAAACAGTTTTGTTACAAACCTTTCTCAGTATATAAAGAACTATGTCAGTATTTCTATGTTAAACATGTCATCAGCAGTCAATTTCACACTGAGTGTGATGTAACTAAACACACATGTTATGATAATAGACTCTGTAGTCACTGTCACGTAGCTGGAAGTGAGAAGTTGTCATTACACAGTGAGAACCTCACCTCTGTCAGTGCAGTGTCTTCTTTAAATTCCAGCACAATTGCGTTGGAGGGAGCCTTGGCATTGTCCATGTCCGACTTCAAGGTTATAATCCTGGGTTAAGGAGAGGGCGAGGCCTGGCAGTCTGGATGGATGCTGTGATAGATAGAGCTCTGCTAGAGTTTCTGATTTAACCCCCCTGTCTGTCTCTCTCTGTCTCTCTCTCTTCTCTCTCTCTCTCTCTCTCTCTCTCTCTCTCTCTGTCTCTCTATCTATTTCTCATAGGCTCATACACCTTCTCTGTCTCCCCTCCCCTTCCCAACTATTTCCATGACAGTGTTGCAGTTTCTCACTTTTGTCCCCAACCTACTCCCCCCCCCCTCCTGCCCACAGGGTAGTTTGGTTAGGAAGCATTGATTGGCACGCCACATAAAGTGAGAGAGGACAGGGGAGAGCATTGGTAGATGAGATCAATGCGAAAACAGCATCAGTCAGACTAATTAGTTGTCTTCTTGTGTATTCAACCCCGCTACACTTGTTTCAGTGTTTTAAAATATGTGGCGTTTATGCACCAAACTGTTTATTAATGTGTTTTTAATATGCAATTCGACATAAGCATTTGTGCCATCGTGGAGGAATTCTGAACACTGGAAACCAGAACAGCATTTATCTGAATTATTTCATAAATAATTCATAAAATCAGAATGAAATAAAACCTCATCTCTGCCCGCAGTAGCAGTAGTACAATCATTTATCCTGGGATATTACGTATTTTTATTTGATATTCAGACATTTAAAAGCTGATTTGAAATGTCTGAATATCAAATGAAAATATTCTCTAAGCTTTTTCTTAAAGGCGTTAAGGAGGTGGGTGATGTGTGAGGGTGCTAGGCAACAGGAGGCGCTGATGACGTACAAGAGGGAACTCTGGGAGTTTCCTGAGGGCTTCTGGGAGCTCGACTGGTCTTGGCTCAATGGATCAGTTATTTATTTATATCAGTTCACTGAGGATTGTTATGTTTTGTGTGTGTGTGTGTGTGTGTGTGTGTGTGTGTGTGTGTGTGTGTGTGTGTGTGTGTGTGTGTCAGTGGATGTCGGTGTTAATGTGTCGTCAGTTGGGATCTTGGCACAGGATATGGGTGGATGGCATTCCCTTGTTAAAAACTATAAGTCCTCTGACGCTCTTGTTAATTATAGATGCTGGAGGTTAATTAAGGGGAAACAAACGGATAACTTAATGTTTTTAAACTTTTTAGGAACCAACAAATGGATAGCTGTTTATTTCTCAGTTTATTTAGTGAGTTATTAGTTTAAGTATGTACAGATGGACTGGCTGTTGTCAGAAGTGATGATTGAACTTAAAGAATCTGTAATAAAGCAACTTGGCTGATGCTTTGGCTTCTAAATGATTGTTTTTACTTTATTTTAAATAGTTTCAGTAGACTCATACCTGTTTTTTAACATTTGTACTCTTTTATAGCGAGCAACGGTTGCATTTATAATTTCTGTTGCCTATTTATTGATGTACTGTTCTCATGTAGAGATGCTATTCTTAGAGACATTTTACATGATTTATATTAGTTGTCACCCTACAGAGGAGCGTCTTTTAGTGGAATTTGAAAAAAAAGACTACAGATTTACTGACATTACAGTTTGTATGAAGTAAAAATCTGGTGAGTAATGTGGCCTATTTTCATAGTGGTGCAACGAGCAGCACATGAATTTCGGTTTGCCTGATATATTGGTATCTGGTATTTTGTTGACCAGGTGACTTTGGTTTGCATTAAGAGTGAAATTTACTAGAGATAATATAATTATCTCTCTGAAAACTGGCCTTTTCTGCAGAGAGGTCAAAGGTCAGTGTCAGTCACAGAACAGCACACAGCGTCTGTCTTTTTCTTGTTTTTATTTTTTCTGTTCATGCAGGATCCCACAAATACAAACCGCTACACAAATCTGACTTCATATTTAAAACCTGAGCTTTGATGAAATGGTGACCAAGCTCATGTGTCTTTTTCGTTTTTCCCAGGTGATTCCTGACTGGAAGGACCAGGAGTGGGATAAAGAAAAACCTGAGTCCTACGCCGGGATCTTCCACTTCCGGTTCTGGCGGTTCGGTGAGTGGGTGGACGTGGTGATCGACGACCGGCTGCCCACGGTGAACGACGAGCTGGTGTACTGTCACTCCAATGACGTCAACGAATTCTGGAGCGCGCTGGTGGAGAAGGCCTACGCCAAGTAAGCACGTCCACTATTTGTGTGTGTGTGTGTGTGTGTGTGTGTGTGTGTGTGTGTGTGTGTGTGTGTGTGTGTGTGTGTGTGTGTGTGTGTGTGTGTGTGTGTGTGTGTGTACATTCAGTTCAGTTTTATCACCATGGGGAGAACTACACACTGTGAAAACACTTGTATGATGTCTTTAGTGGCTCTGGAGGAACTTGGTCAGGTCTGACAAATAGCGTTGATGTTGTCATAGTGATGTCACGGGACTCTCCTGAGTAATGTGATGATCCTGCGTGTTTAAGTTATGGCATTCAGTTTTAATGGATGGCAAAAATTTGATAGCAAATGCTTTCTCATTGCAGGTGTGAACAAAATGCTATAGTTGCTGCATTCGTGCAAAATTAACCCAAAATCCAGAAGTGAATTGATTTCAAAGTCCAGTGTGTGACATTAAGGAGGTGTTTATTAATGTACAGTTGTTTGTAATTATTAATGATTGCTTGTGTGTGTTTGTAGGATGTACGGCTGCTATGAGGCGCTGGACGGGGGCAACACGGCCGACGCTCTCGTGGATTTCACCGGGGGCGTGTCGGAGCCAATGGACTTGGTTGAGATTGGATTAATCGAGGATAAAGAGTTGCTCGACGAGCTGTTTGATACAGTCCTAAAGGTCCACGACAGAGGAGGCCTCATCAGCTGCTCAATCCGGGTGAGGAGAGGATGAACACAAACACACACTGAGTGGTTAAATGAATAGATTTAGGAATGACTGAATGATTTAGAGACTGAACCAATGCCGCCACTTGTTGTGTCGTTCCAGGCAACCAGTGAATCAGACATGGAGGCCAGGCTGGACTGCGGGCTGGTGAAGGGCCATGCCTACGCGGTGACAGACGTCCGGAAGGTGAGGCTGGGCCATGGCCTGCTGGCCTACTTCAAGTCAGACAAACTCAACATGATCCGCTTGAGAAACCCCTGGGGACAGAGAGAGTGGAACGGGCCCTGGAGCGACAGGTGAGGAAGAGGAGGTGTGGAGTACGGAGAGGGAGTTTAACAGAGTGAAGATGAAAAGAACGAGATGAAGGAGGAGTTCTGGATAAACTGTATCAGACTATGTGTGTAATTCAGGTTTTGACATCAGCCAAATCCTCAGGTTGTTCCATTGATGATCAATCAGGACACTGACGAAGAAGTACTCCATTACTTGCCAGAAGGAAATTTAATTTTATGTTGATTGAATCCGAATGAATCCAACCTGGTGGAAGGCATTAAAATAACTACATAGATTTAGCCAATGTTAGTTTAGGTCATATAAACGCATCAGTATTAAATTAAGACGGTCAAGAAACTCCTGGTACAACAATGTAGAGATAATCCATTACATGTGAAAATCCATTAAAACTCCTACTTGGGTAATAAGTTTTAAATGTCCTTAAAGAATAATCCTTTTAGCTCCTTGATTCTTGTTTTTAAACCATCTAAAAAGTTTATAGGGGAAACAAAGACATTTGAAACATGACAAGGAGTGTCAGCTAGACACTGTCGCTAATCAAAACCACTGCTTTAATCTTTAACAATAACAATTTTATAAGATTATAACATATTTTTGAGGGAAAATCTTAATCTGTAAAGTTGTCAAATGACCTCTGAGAACCTGTGATTTAGATTCTGTCATCCACGTTTTATTATCAGAAGAAGACTAGTGACTTTTTTTCTGCCTGTTTGCAGCTCTGAAGAGTGGCTGAAGGTCAGCAAGAGTGAGAGGGAGAAAATCGGAGTCACTGTGCAGGATGATGGAGAGTTCTGGTGAGTTTTAGTGCAATGCTTCCCCCTGTTGGACATTACAAGGTGCCTGCATCCTCAGGCATTTGTTGTTTGTTCATTTTCCATCTCACAAGGGTTCATTTGTTGATTTCATAGATAATTTTACTGATTCTTTGGCAATTTCTAAACTACTGCTTCTGAATTTAGACCTCTTTGTCTTTCTTTTCTATTTTCTTTCATCATAAATATCTCTGATCTTACAATAAACTCTTGTTCCTGTAAATAAACCATATTTTCTGCTTATCCACGCCTCTTTCTCTCCTTTCCCGCAGGATGACATTTGATGACTTCATTGCTAACTACACAGACATGATCCTGTGTCGTCTCATCAACACATCCTACCTGAGCTTCCATAAGACCTGGGAGGAAGCCGTGATTCGGGGCTCCTGGCGCCAACACGACGACCCACTTCACAACCGAGCCGGCGGCTGTGCCAACAACAAGTACTCCTTCCTCCAGAACCCACAGGTGTTATTTGTTCCTGTTTATTCCGAATTTCTCAGATTTAGTGTCAGTTGTTGAGCAAACAAGTGCTGAAAGTGTAACAATATGTGTGTAAATCTCTCCCGTGCTGTAGTACATGTTTGACGTGAAGAAGCCGGAGGACGAGGTTCTGTTCTGTCTGCAGCAGAAAGACCGCAGAGCCACACTGAGAAGTGGACGAGGAGAAAACCTGCCTATTGGCTTCGACATACACAGGGTCAGCTCACTGTGTGTGTGTGTGTGTGTGTGTGTGTGTGTGTGTGTGTGTTTTCAAGACATCCATAGATGTTATTGCAAAATCATCCAGTTCTAAGAGTAAACAAAACAATAAAATCTTTATGAACGTGAGATTTACTGCAGGGTGGTTGTATTATAACTTTTTTACACTAAAATAAGCCCATGTTTTAAATGAATGCTGCGGCTTTAGTTAGCGTATAACAGTCTGTGGAGGTTGGAGAGGGAGACATTATTCTGTAAGTCTGTAGGTAAAGGGAGGTAAAGCCGCTGTCTCTCTGTGTTCAGGTGGAGTTAAACAGGACCTACCGTATGCACGCCATCCAGCAGAAGGTTGGTGGGAGCATCTACATCAACTCGAGGTCTGTGTTCTTACGAATCGACCTGAAAGAGGGGCGGTACGTCGTCATACCCACAACCTTTGAACCCGGCCTGGAGGGAGACTTCCTGCTCCGCATCTTCACAGACGTGGCCGCCGGCTGCAAGTAGGGACACACAGCGCTTGTTTCCGTTTGCATTCAGCTCCATTATGTGTCATCAACATCTGATATTGTTCTACATATATCACATATTTTTATCCAGCAATTGCCAATAGATCATCTTCATTTATGTATTCATTTCTTCATCCACTGAATAGATACGTGTATTCTTTTATTAATACTGCCAGGTCTGCAGCAGGTTAAAGTTAAACCTCACATACAGTTTACTCACTGAGGACACAGCACTGAGCTTTAAGGAACCATGTGATTTAGTTCCAGACAAAAAAGGTTTAAACTGCACACTGCAGCTCAATTTGTCATTATTCCTTAGAAGAGCAAAACCTTTGCACACCTGTAGATTGACAGGTGACCATGGGTTGACAATACAGAACAATTCACTTGCAGTCAGAGATATTTATTAGCAATGTTTTGGTGCACAGACCTTCGTCGGGTAAATCGCTATGGTTAAACTAATCTGATGAAGGTTTGTGTACTAAAACATTGTTAATAAATACCCCAGTCCCTGGTCTCTTGGATGCCTAACAGGCACATAATTATGACAAATTAGCAATAGAATTGTTATTATTAAACTCTCCTTTATGTGACGTCATGTCCACTTTCTCTTTCTTTAGGCGGACATGTTATAGGAGTTTATACTATAGACTACCTGTACAGTAACATTTGAGTCGTTTTTGTTTTTCCATTTCTTTTGTTAAAAAATGATTTTCCATCATTCACTGATGTTGCCAACCTGCAAGTTTCTCCTTAAACCACAACACAAGATACTAAAGAAACACTCTCTCTCTCTCTCTCTCTCTCTCTCTCTCTCTCTCTCTCTCTCTCTCTCTCTCTGTCTCTCTCTCTGTCTCTCTCTCCTGTAGGGAGTTGACTCTAGATGAGCCTCCACAGACCTGTTGGTCTGGAATGTGTGGTTATCCTTCTCTGGTCACTCAGGTCCACGTAATGAACGCTAATGGACTCATAGGAAAAGACTCTGAAGAAGGTACATTTTTGTTTTTAATCAGGTCAAATTGAACTTTTTCTTTACGTTTTTTATTATATTATATTACATTATGCAGAGATTGGTATCAGGGCCAATCAAGGCATTTTTAACTGATCTATATTGGCCTATATTGACTTGATTGGGTCATCTCTATTATACAGGGTATTTAAGGTGTTCCTGTGGCACTCTGTGGACATTTCAGTGTTAAGTGTTATACCCTGAATTATTGTCTTAGTTTGTACTATTACCCTGAATCAGCTTAATTAAGTTTATTGGTGTGTGTGTGTGTGTGTGTCTGTCTGTCTCCAGTTTCGGACCCCTACGTGATCATTCGTTGTGAAGGAGAGAAAGTTCGCTCTCCGGTCCATAGCAGCACACGCAGCCCCGTCTTCGACATCAAGGGGCTCTTCTACAGGAAGAAAGCCAGACAGCCAATCAGCATCGAGGTGAGTGTGTGTGTGTGTGTGTGTGTGTGTGTGTGTGTGTGTGTGTGTGTGTGTGTGTGTGTGTGTGTGTGTGTGTTCGCTCAGGTGAAGGTGTGTATGTGTGTGAGACTTTAACTTCCTCTCTCATTGTCTCTCAGATCTACAACCACAACACGTTTGTGGACTCCTTCCTGGGTCAGGTGACATTGCCAGCTGAGCAAGGCGACTTCCAGCAGACGCTCCACCTGAGGGACAAAGGTGATCACCGTGACAACGACCTTCCCGGAACCATCACTGTCGCCATAGTATCCACTACGTTGCTCACCAACATCTAAACCGTCCAGCCAGGGTTGATCCAGCTGTCCGATCTCCATTAAAGTTTACCAAATGACCTGTTCAGCACAAGATATTTGTTCTCCTGTAACAGTAAATATACAGCAGGAAGAGAGGGTTTACTTTTTGGAAGACAGATTTATTGTTGTTTTATCTTGATTTATGTAAATGTATGTTTACAAAATGATTTACAGTACCTGTGTTGGTTGTAGCTGAATATCCTGAAAACATGTCTAGCTATAAACTTTGTTTACAGTTCTTTAGGTTTTCCTCTGATTGGATCTTTTGTTATGTCCGTCAGCTATTACTTTGTGTAATTTTTATTCTACTGTTTAAAAGGTCTTATTATATTTCAGCTTATTTTTATCTTTTATTTTAATTTACTCTTAAAATATTATTTTTGTCTTTTTATATTCCCTTTTTTTAGATCCTGTCTCTGTCTCTCATGTCTTTTGTATCGCCTTGTTGAAAGATGCTTTACAAATAACCCAGTAGCATAACGCTATGTCTAAACACAGAAATCTTCCACTGATGCAGTGTTACAACCTGTTGACGTCCTGTAGTTAACCATGAACCATACTGAGCTGCGAGGTATTTTTATTGAACTTACCGTTTTAACCACAAACAGCCATTATTTTCTGGGTGGCTCAGTATCATTGACCGTGCCAAAAGTCCCAGTGTTTTCAGTAAAGCCCTGGAGGTAGGAACCAAAGACAGAGACTGTCCTCTCTCCCGTTACCTTTGTGTTCAGCCCGGGTCACTGGAGCACCTGCAGTTTAAATCCAGAAAATAACACATTTGTTCAATGTGTAAATTACTGTAGTGAAGAATTCCTTCATAGACGGCCGGTGGCTCACACCTGTGTTGGGGGGTGGAGGAACGGCCAGACGCCTCGTGATGCTGTAAATGTAGAACCTGAGTTTATTACTTATTACCAAATAATAGTTATTATAGTTTTGTATTTTTCATTAGTTTTTGTTTTTATTTTGTTTGTTATTTTTGTTCCGTTAGTTTCTAGAGTGGGTTTGCTCATTTCAGTTTACTTCTTATGCTTTAAAAATGCAGAGACTGACTCGTGTGGACATCAAAGTCATATTCATCATTCTTCCTCATGCTTGTTGTTACCAAATTGACTAAAACTAAAGACATTTCCTGTATATTTTTATTTTTAGATGATTTAGTCAGTTTTGTCATTTTTTTCCTAAACCTTATTTTTAAAATGTTTATTCATAACTACTTTCAGTTATGTGTAATAATCTTGATCCAAGTCTTTGCTTCATAATTCCAGCTGCTCTTAGTTTACACCAACTCTTGAACGTACAGTTCCACATGGTCATATTAACTGTTTGATTACACTCATATTCAACAATAACTGATTAAAATCATCAACACATTTCTGTCCAATCTCTGACATTTATTGCTCACAAGGGGGACGGTCCAGATTAAAGACTTAAAATTGAAAGCATATTAGGAAGAATTACTCTAACATGTAATTGTAGTCATGCTGAATCCATCATGTCAAGAACTGTCATAGACCTTATACCAACATACACTTTCAATGTATGTATCCAGTCAGTAACGAACTGAGGAAACATCTGAAGCGCTCTGAAATCATTTAAATGATTCAGATGAATGTTTATAGAGGGTACTTCTTTTTAATTGGAAGAATAAATGTCAAATGATGACATTGTTGGATTTGTGACCAACTTCAGGTGAAGATTTTACTCTGAGCAGCTTCATACATAAAGACCTAGACCTCCAACAGTCGGAGGTTGTCTGTGTCGCCTTACAGTGACAAAAGTGTCTGGAAGTGAAGGAAAGAGAGAAAGCAGAAATCTCTTTCTTTACAGTCGTCTTTATTTTGCCAGGAAATAAATTATTCAACTTTAAAAAATATCTGAAACAAGCAAAACAACGCAGCACATGAAAGTAGTTGAACCACTCTCCTCCCGCTCCAACCACACAAAGTTTAATGTCTTCACTCGATGTAGTGGCAAACATTCAGCTGGTTTACGCTGTGACTGATTGTGTTTTCGTTCAAGTTTTATCATTATGCAAGGCTACAGGTAAGTCTGCCCCCCCTCCCCCCCGTGCAGGCCGGGCTGATGGGTGGGCTTCAAATGATAAAAACACAGTAACCATAGCAACCACAGCCCGCTCCACAAACTAAAAACCACCCACAGCTTCTTTAAACTCGACTGAAGTTAAACCAGATGTGTCGGACCAGAATCGATTGACTGAAAAAAGCTACAGAAAGGTTTCTGTTTCACCAGCTAATACTGATTATTGATTGGACGAAATATAACACATTCAACTATTGTTTAACAAGGTTTAAAATACAGAATGTCTAATAAAATGGGCAGTAAAATAAGACCAGTACCTGTATTTAAAAAAACAAACAAAATGTTACAATGGAGGGAAGTGACACCTTTGTATGCTGTAAATACATACTTGAAACATGTTTTCTGTTCGGTTTGTTTTATAAAATGATTGCTGAATATCACTTCACACACACAATCGCACTTGTAAATGGTCTCTCTGAAAGGTTTCTGTGATTGTTAGAGCTCCACAAAGTGCAGAATCCATTTGGTTAAATAAACCTCAGACAAAATAAACCTCAATGAATCTGGAGAGGCCAGCTGTTCATACTGAATCATGAGCAAAATAGAAAAGAGAGGAAGGGGAAATGCTCAAAGGAAAAATCCACCCCAAAATATTTTTATTTGTGTTATTTTATTATTTTCCTGGTGTTCCTAGTTTACTTTTTCATGTCAAAGATCCCCAACAACAGAAGCACGTTAGACCACGGACTCCTAAATTGATAAAGGAATCTTTAGGTTTGAAGATAAAGTCTTCGATATTATCAATCAATGATCAAACTGGAATTATTCTAAATTACAATTAAACATAGCCAACTTCCCTAAAATGTGATAAGTTATAATATTTCCCAGACCGTAGTTGAAAAACCACTGTCCTACATTTCCCAGAATTCCTTACACTTTAATTCTGCTGCTTTCAATCATATTTGGATGTAAGGAAATATAAATATAGCTTGCTGGCCCATTTCTGTACAGTTGTTCAACTCCTCACTTTCTGATAGAGAATAAACCAAACAATAAAACAGGCCCAGCCGCATACAGTCACTGTTTTAAAATGGATTTTTTTCACTTCAAGCTGTACAGAAACCGGCTCCACTGGCTTATCCACAAATTATCTTTTAAGAATTTGTTTACATTTGTTGGGGAAAGTCAAATGAGAGGAGTTAAAACTGTTAAACTATTTTTTGATTGCAGAAAGAAGGGAAAAAAAGCATATTGAGGTATTGACATTCGACAAGTCTGAATTTACTGGGACTCATTTCATTGTGTGTTCTCGGGATGTTTAAAAACAGGAAATCATCTGCAGAATACTAACTGAGCCAGGTCTGTGCATAGAGAATAAAACTGCATAATGTGACATTAGTTTCATCTCAGGTAGACTCTTCCAAAATAAAGTGTCACTGCAAATGTGAGTCTAATTATTACAAACATGATGGACTTGCAGTCACAGAAAGAGAAAAAAAACATTTTAGCGTTTTGACAAACTGCAGGTGGAAATCGGATCATTACAGTTAAATACTGTGTCAGCTCTGTGACAAAAACAAAAAACATCTTTCCAAAAACAAAACATGAAAAGGAAATTAGATTAGATTTAAACTGACAGAAAGTAACATTCCTCATAAATATAGAATATAAAAAGTCCAATCCCACCCATTCACTGTTGTCCTTCCTCTTCCTCTTCCTCACTACTCCACAGGACATCCAACATCAGAGCTGAACAACACTCTCAAAGTAATGTCACCAAGTTCAATCGTAGAGTGATAAAATCAATTATTCTAAATGGACCTATCCTATTGTTTTTTTCCCTTTCTGATTCATCGTATTAAAGTTTCTGCAGACCTTGTATCCACTGAACATACAGCACCCTAAAGTATTTTAAACGTCTGAGCAGCAGCAAGAATGTAGTCGCACAATGCAGCAATCAACACAATGCCAACGTTGATGTGACAACAGTTGCTTTAAACCTTTCAAATGAGTTTTTAATATTCATTCAGCCCTCAGAGGACACACAAACACCACGTGTCAACTCCCAATAATTCCCTCTCAAGCAAAGCACGTTAACACTGGAAAAATGTGGAGTCAGCCAATAAGAATTGTGCGAGGCTCTCAAGAATAAAAGCTGTGAGAAACAGAAAAAGCGAAAGAAAGGGACAGTGTCTTCATTTCCTACCGGCTATTCTTCACATTTGTCTCAAACAGCCGACTGATAATTAAATCCAAAATTAAGAAATAGATTGTATGACTTTGTGCAGCCTTGAAACAGAAATTGCTATATTTTCATTTTGAACTGTAATGCATAGAAAAAATATAAATAATAAGTAAAAGCAAACAGTTTTATCTCTGCAAGCAGATAAACAAGCCAGATGAGTCATGATTTAAAAACTGTGTGATTCAACTTAATGCCAGAAATCATTATTATATATGTCTCATTATTAAATCTCATTTTGGAATAAAACAAATGGATTGGTTCAGATATTATCTTGATTTTATACCCTCTGTCCAACTGTATGTAGAGAGCTTCCTCAGTCCCAATAATTCATCCTCCTCTCCCTACAGGCCTCCACTGTATAAAACAAAAAGAAAGACACAAAATCCAGTTCTTGCAAAGACGCCATCCAACGTTCAGCTGAAGTGCTCTGTAGTGGACAAACTATGTAACTATGGAGGCATTGTTTCTAAATTACTTCCAAAAATATCTTTGGCAATTTGTTGCTTGTTGACACTGATGATGTCTGTGATATGTTAGCACCGGCTCAGTATAATGAGGTCACTGTTACAGGTAACAGCTATGAAAACGTATGTGACTCTGAGCAGCTTGTCTGTTATCTAAAGGGTTAATTCTCCTGTCCGCAAGTCAAAGTGCCTTTGAGCAAGACACAACCCAGTGTGTGTGTGTGTGTGTGTGTGTGTGTGTGTGTGTGTGTGTCTGACTTAAGACAACACATTTCAGAGTAAATACCAGTTCATTTGGGGCGCAGTCACATCGAGGTTGTTGAATGCTTTGATTAACATCTTTTAATGGGTTATTATTGACATGTCGCAATGACTGATAATAATGATGTAAACTAATGTAAGTGTCATGTCCCCAAAAGTGACCTAAGTAAATGTGTGTGTTGTTTTTGTGTGACTGCTGAGGTAGAAGAGTGTAGCTGAATAGCTGAAACTACCAATCCCACCCGACTGAACTGGGTCAGTGAGACTTCTGCAGCATCTCATCAACTTCAGCTGGATATTGGAATGAGTTTTGGATTGGACTCAACGACGCTCCCCACACACACACATATATACAGCCACGGAGAATAAAGCCAAAGTAAGTCTGAACCGATCCTTGCTGATGCTTCAGAGGAATGTTTGTAGATCGTAGTGTATAGCTTCTCCACTGAGAATGAACCAAAAAACAGAAGAGGGAACTCAAATATCCACCACATCAACATCATCATCATCATCAACATCATAATCATCAATACCATTTAAACCGCAGCTCATATGTTAAACATACACCTTTCATCTGCTTCGCTTCCACGCATTCACTTGATTGGGCAACATTTCTGTTACAGTGTGGCGTCTGTTGGATCTGTGAGTTTGTGCAGAAAGGGAGAAGAGGGCAACACACACACACACACACACACACACATTACGATGGCTATATGAACTCAACAATAGCTCAGACAGTGTTCTCCTTGGGGAATAAGACCCCCCGAAAAAGCAGCTCACTCATTTAGTTTAACAGCATTTTCCTGTTACTGACACTGTGCAAAGAATGACACACGGGAAGTGAATTAATAAAAGAGGGAAATTCAGTAATGGGGCTTCAATCATGTCGATGTATTTGTTATTTTGTTCCAATTTTAGACGTGTCCCTCTGATGCATTCAGCTCGTATTTAAGCACACCAAATAAATAGTTTGCAGAATGATAATTTCCCAACACAGACAAAGGTCTGCAGACAACCTGCCACAGGGGATGAAAAGAAAAAGTCAAAAAGTATCAGCATTAAATAGTGGCAGGTGTAAATCTCCCAACCACAAAGTGTGACAGATCCTCCACTAAAAACAAAAACAGACAAAAATCATAAAGCAGCATGCTGTTGAAAGTGCCACACACACACACACACACACACACACACACACACACACACACATCTAAAAAGACCAGATACACACCATGCACCCAAACACACACACATACACACACACACACAATTTGGCAAAATACTCCTCGGTAGTTTCGACCAATCTCTCCAACCGTGTCCGCTCCTCCTCAATGGCAGCTGTCACTCGCGGCTTTTTGCATTCCCAGTTCAAAAATAAGACAAACGTAGAATTGGAGGGATGCAAAATGGCGGCCGCTAAGATGGCTGCTGTGGCATTAAGTGAAAGCAAAGGATTGATATCAGCTTGTTACATTTGTCCTCCCTTCCCTCCTCACTGCTCCTCCTCCTCCTCCTCCTCGTTTGCAGTCTGTTGCTGATGAAAGTAAGGCAGGAAGTATTTAATTCAATAATGTCACTATTTTTTTTTTTTTTCTTCGGGGCTGCTGGCAGACGGCGCACGCTGCCGTCCCTCTCCTCTGATCGACACTAGAGGGCAGCAGAGACAAACAGACAGTCCGACTCTACACCTCGAAAAGACACTTCGATAACACACTGGTGTCTCACGAACACAAAAAATATCCACACTTTTGTTGAAAAGGCTCTTCCTCGTCCTTATCATCACCCCTCTGTTCTTCGTCCCTCTCCTCTCGCAGGTTTTTAAAGCGCCGGTCGCAGGCCTGGAGTAAAAAACGGAGCAAGAAAGCGCTCCCTGCTTCTCTTGCTGCCTATGCCATGTAGATGAAGGTGTTGATGTCTGTCTCGTCCCTCTTTATGTACTTGTGTTCGATGAGCCACTCGATCTGCTCCTTGATCATCTTCTTCTGAGGCAGAAACATGTTCTTCAGGATCTCCACCAGCTCCGTCTGCAGCTGGGCGTTGCTGATCCTCTTCCTCATCTTCATGATTTGGATGATGGCCTCCTGGATGAGAGAAAAAATGATAATGTTACAGTTTGATAGTACAATGACGATAGAAATACATGATAGAAATTGTTTGGTGAAGCCATATATATGCTTGCATCAAACAAACCCTATTTCAGTCGTAATTCTACTGTGTGTGACACAACAGCGTTTGATTTCAAGAATAAAACCTGAAATGATGCCCCGGATTGATGAGACAATGTGATGTCTCCCACATAAACAGCAGAATACTGAGTTATAACCAACCAGTCTGATGTGTGTAGAGGTGCGTGAGGTTCTGTTGTAGCGGCTTGGTGTGATTTATTTAAGGTAAACATAGTGGACAGCTGTGCAAAATGGCTCTGCATTCCAGTGCAGCACTTCTCAAATCAGAGGCTGGAGATTTATCCACACATCTGTCTTGCAGGTGTTTGCAAGAGGTTTTCATACAATATTATGCTCACTCTGGTTGTTGTCTCACCGTAGAAATAGGGTCTTTGGTTTCAAGAGAACAAAATACAGAATGAACATGTTTTCTGCCTTTAGGCTACAGTCTGTCTGCATCTTTAGACTCCACCATCTTTAACTTTAGAAGTAAATATACAACCTTCAAAGAAACAAAAATGATGAGATGGGGGGGGGCAAAAAAGTCAACAACATCTAAGCTTAGTTCAGCTACAAGTTGCTCTCTCCTTCCATTTCCTCGACTGCCCATCATCTCCTTCTTAACCCTCAAAGACAATGTGAGTGTTATATTTTCGTACCTGAGTTCTGAGTATTCTGAGCTGAACAATTCCTTCATTCTCCTCTTCTCTCATTCGCTCTGTGGTCAGCTGCAGCCGACCAATCAGGTTGATCTTTCCCCGCTTCTGGACTTTGGAGTTTTTGCTGAGAGAATTAACGGACACAGAGATACAGACGGTAACAGTCGTAACAGTCATTTATAGTGAAGTGTAAATATTCCTAATTTTAAATTTAATTACGTTACTTTGTATATCAGTGGCGGTAATATTGACACCTTTTGCATATACACTACATCTCTTGTAACCCAAACGTCCACATTCCACGGTATCACAAGTTCTCAGGAGAATAAAAAAAGAGACAGGAAGTATATAACATCTAATATCCAGAAAGACCATAACGTACATGAGTGAGAACTCCTGGTTGACGTAGAAGAGCGTGCTGTCTGTGAAGTCTTTGGGCGAGCTAACTGGAGGATCGTAAGACAGCACCTGTCTCTTCAGCTTGGGGAAAGCAACCAGAGACTGCACAGAGAGGAGAGAAGAGAAAGTCACTCACTGGCAACCAATTCAACCTGCCACTGCTGAACACAGCGCACTCTGCTGGATAAACTTTGCAGTGACACCAATATATTACCACTAGCATCTTTTCAGCATTATATATCAGATAACATAACACAGATATCATTACGATACAATATGTCTGTAATAATATCAGTCGACGATGTGGCTCTAGATGCAACCAAGTATACAGTCACCTTGCATTATGGTACCACCATGACAGTGTTGTTGTTTGATTACCACTGCTTTTAAACATGTTACCAAGAGACATAATTATGCACAAACATCCCTTAATAATGCCTGAATGGTTTAATATCTTTCATGATGTAACTACTCTAACACTGCTGCTGTTATTTTTTTGTAGATGAAAGAAGTTTTGATCCTGTACATGGAGGAAGTTTTTTCTGTTAAACTGATCCAGTATTAGTCCCTGCTTGCAAGCATCAGTGAGTTAGGATATGAATGTAGATTAGTGATACTGATATTTGGCAGCCTTGGGCAAGTTCATGAGTTCAAAAAGTATATTTAACCTCAGTAAATATCTTAATCCTGTATACCTGTACTGTAATAAATGGATTTAAATCAAGCATTTAAAGTGTTTCTTTTGGTCTGACCCAGAGTGTCCGGCGTAGCTCGGCATCCGGCAGCTCTGTGGCCAGTTTGAGGTTCTCAAAGCTGATTCTCTCTCTGGGTCGCTGGTTCCAGGCAAACAACACCGCCAGCTGGAACGTCGTCACCTCCAGGTCGTACTGACCCACCTCATTTTTAAATGTGATCTGAAAGCAGAGAAGATGAGTTGTGTCCTCTCACTGGCAACATGGAAACACAGTTTTGTTTGGTTTGGAAACCTGACAACTGCTGAAAAGAATACATTATAGAAAATACTCAAGACAACATCTAAAATTACTTCTCGCTCCCTCCCATCTTGTTCTTCAGTTCATTAAGTTCAGCTTCACTATAATGCTGCCAGTACACTACTGCTTTCAAGGTAGCTGAACAGTTGTGGATGAGAAAAAGACAAGAAGAAAAAAGACACAATGAAGAGGAGTGAAGTAATAGAAGATAAAGGAGAAGAGAAAGAGAGATTACATGAACAAAAGGAACATTTATCCCAATAATTATCAAAAACAATTCCTATATTCCAGGATTCCTCTTTATGGCAACAGGAACGCTGAATGTTCTACTTTTATAGCTCACTCACAATGCCGTTGGACATGAGGTGATGCCAGTGGAGTTTGCGACCGCTGTGATTCCTCTTGTAGAAGTCTTCCACTTCAGGGATCAGGTCCTCCAGCTCCGTGGGCAGAGAGACAAAAACCTTCTCACTGCTACGTGACCAAGCTCCGGCATTCAGGATCTTAATGTTCACACTGTCCGCTGCGAAGGGAAAGGGGGAGAAGAATAAAGTACAGCTTTTAAACATATTCTGTCTTCAAGAGCAACATTGATGTTTAGGTAGTGAGAAGTTTTATCTGTGCAACAGTGTGTGCACTTAAACTGATAGAGAGGTTTACAATTTACTGAATTTAGTGTTGTTAGTGTTGTTCATTTACCAAAGACTTTCACTTGTGGAGCTATTTTGAGAATGGAGGAGAAAAGAGAAAAAGACATGGTGGGGTTTTGTAAAGAAAAAAATCAAGTTTGCATGATTTATAGTGACGAGGTTAACAAAGTCTTAAATGTACTTAAATGCTTTTATCAAAAACCCTTTTCAATTTGGCACTCATTCACAAACACACACACACACACCATTGGCAGTGAGCTACCATGCAGGACACCGGGCTATCCATCAGGACCAATGATGATGTGATCAGCCACCTCTGCTATTCTTTCAATGATCGTATCATTAGTCTTTATTAGTTACAAAGATGCACCAAAATGAAGCTGTGAATGGTAAATATCCTCATATCAAAATACCAAATCCCGCTCTGTTCACTCAAACCAGACTTGTCTTTAGTTTCTCAATAATGTTTAAAATGCAAACATTTCAAAATACATCAAAACCCTGACTGAACAGTGTCATTACTCTAATGTAGCTGTGTTCATGTTCTCACAGGTTATGGTGTCTGCTGCCTGAAAGGAGTGATGGAAAGAAAAACTGATGAAAGGGACACACTACTGCAAAGTTACATTTAAAACAATGTTCTACTGATTTGGACTCTTGTCACCATCTGGTTTATGTGTTTTATGTAAAGTGATCTGTTTCTATGAGACTAAGTGGAAGCTTGTTTTGTGCCTCTCTGTGTGTGTGTGTGTGTGTGTGTGTGTGTGTGTGTGTGTGTGTGTGTGTGTGTGTGTGTGTGTGTGTGTGTGTGTGTGTGTGTGTGTGTGTGTGGAGGGGATGGTACCTGGCAGTGCCAGCTTGTTGTGTTTGTGCATCTCTTTGAAGACCTGATTAAGGTCCTCTGAGACCTTGATGTCCTGAAACATCCTGGCCAGCTTGTTCACATAATCGGCAGGCATTCCTACTTCCTACAACCACACGAACAGACACACAAACACAAGACACCGAACAACACAAATGAAGAGAAAAGAGGACAACGATGCAAAGGAGAAATGAATTCACTGCATACCTATTTTCATACATTATTCTTTTAGCTAGGGTTTGTTACCAAAGCTACATTTTAATTAAGGAACAAAATGTTTCCACAGCACAAAGTAACTAAAACTGTCAGAGGCTGGTACATACTGTCTGTCTGAATGTCTGGATAAATAATTTAAGAAAAGTGTAACTCACTCTCAGCCACTCCACCATGTTCTCTTCAATCTCACTGTCTGCTGAAATGTCCAGAATCAGGCGCCTGGTCAGGTGAGCTTTGTGGTAACGCATGAACACGTCTTTATTCTGAACATATTTCAAAACCAAGAGCTGAAAGTTGAGAGGATGAAAGAAGAAATCAGTGTGAGAATAGTGGAAAAGGCAAACAGCCAGACAAACAGGGCAGAGACTCACCACTTCTTTGAGCTTGAGCTCGATTTCCTCTGAGGTGAGTTTCTTGCTGAGAGGAGTTTTCCTCAGCAGCATGTCACAGTAGTTCGCCAGCAGCTCGGGACACTTTGACTCGGGCTGAGTTTTCATACCCACACTGGTTGGATGGAAATACACACACACACATTCAAATACACACCACAACATTGTGGACTAAAAGATAATCCTGCATTCTCAGTTTTGGACAACAACGCTCGACTGGGACAAAACAGATAATTCCACTCACCCTTTCTGTTTCAAAGGCAGCTCCAGCTTGAAGATTGTGGCGTCATTGACAACAGCCTTGTAGGCCTGCGGGGTGAGGGGAGCAGAAAACATTACCACCACTGTCATAACAGAGCAGAGCACAGCAGGGGACCAAACAAGTAGGGCTGCTACTAATTGTTTACATCGTCTATTAATCAGTTGGTTATGTCTTTAAATAATCAATTATTCATTTAGTCTATACATAGTCACAAAATACCAAAAAATAACAGTTTCTCCCATTCACACACACACAGACTCAAATGTTCATTGTGAACTGAACATTGGTCACCATAACTCAACTCTCAACAGTCTCCACTTCGTGCAGATTAATCACTCAAATGCCCTTAGGACAGAGGAGTTATAAAATATTTAAATTATTCTCATTTAGCTAGTTATTAACACTTTTAAAGATGTAGGTTAAAAAGGATAAAACAGACCTTATCTCTTGCTGTAAGGAAGCGAGGGTCGTCCTGGAAGGCCTCCTTTACCAGTTTACTGAAGCGGTTAAACAAAGTCAACAGCTGCTCCACATACTTCTCAGAGTCCTGGACAAACACACACAAACACATCTGAAACTACTGTACATGTTGTGAACGCTGTATTATTCCATTGCTGCCAATAGATCCTCCCAAATGTTACACACGGGAACTTTAAACCACACAGTGTCATTTTGACTATAAATAACTATGAAGAGAGAATCTGACTTTAGTTTATGATGACTAACAATATTATTAAGAAAACAAGTCTGGTGATTTCAATCACAAGGCAGATAATCTAGTCCAATAAATATTATTATTCTACAATGAAACACCTCTTAACACTATAGCACCGTGAATGGTCTCTTATACTTCTCCGTTTGCAGGATAAATACATAAAAAGTTAGGGTTTATCACGACCACATATATGAGCTGTGCACGTACAGTAGTGATAGTCTCGGCAGCAGCCACCATGTCTGCTAGTCCAGCATTGACGATATGTTCTTCTAGGTCTTTCAGCATGGGCTCGATCCCGCTGGGAACCTTGTCCATCAGTGAAAACATCAGGTGCAGTTCTGCACAGGGAGAAGAAGAAAGAGAAGAAAATCTGTGTTAGATACAGGACAAGAAGCTGGCTGAATACAAAACTTCCTGCACTTAAAACTCATTGACTTTACAGCTGCGTAAGTACAATCCAGAATGTCCTAATGTACTTAAGTCCACATCTGGCCTTAAGCATTCTTCCAGCAGACTTTTGTTACCCATTATTCTTAGCAATATTGATCAGATACAACAACTACGACCACTCTACTGTACTACTACTATAACTACGATGAAGCATTATAAAACTGGTGCCTTATAACGCTGTGGGTATTCTGCACTACCCAGCAATACACAGAGGTCAACAAAGCTAAAACAGTAAACATGTCCTGGTTATTTCTACCATTAAAGTCTAGCTGGTTGATGCAATAGTGAATGTTGATGCCACTACATCTTGCAGACATTACAGTTTGTGTCTTATGAAACAAACAAGGCTCACTTTATCATGCTGCATTTAAAAAAATAACTACATGCCATTGATGTGACAACAGTGCAGCAGTACTCACTGTCTGTCTCGTTGCGTTTGATCATCCCTGGACATTCAGCGAGGATGGTCTCTTTGAACGAGGTCACCAGAGCATTCACACAACACTCCATAAGCTGTGAGAAAACACAGACACAAATTCTATTCATGCTTGAAAAACCCAGTTAGATCTGACATCTGACTTTTTACCAACCCTGGTTTATTTGTGATTGGGCTGTTAAATCTAAATAAACAGAAAAGGAACGGAAGCATCTGGTACAAAACCTTCAGTCTCTTATTCTTATTCAAAACAAAGTGAGCTGAATGAATAAAATAACTAATTAATTATGGCGTAGAACCCAAACAATACACAACACAAACAAGCTGATATTATTGACTAATTATAGTTTATCACAAATAAAACATTAATGTAGCTGCATGCCCAAAACTATTTGCTTTGTAAAACTATAGTGGAGACATGGTGTCCTGAGCCTCCTTTTGCCTGTGTTTCTATTTCAGCCTCTCTGGTCGGGCTGTGTGTGTATGTTAGTGCATGACTGCCTCCAAATAAATAAATTCAGGGTGGCGTGAGGGAAATATTTGTTAAAGAAACAGACAATAAACACGAAAAATACAATTGCTAGTATTGATTCTCTTCAGATCCTGTCAAAGGCACTTACTGCTTGAACAGAGTTACATTCACGACGTGTCTCTAAATATCTAAGTGCTCTTTTCTCCTCTTCTCTCAGCTTCGCGTCTGCCTGCAAGGTAACACACATAAAGACAAAACAGAGATTAAAAGAATCAAGGTTATGTGAATACACCAACAATTAAAACTCTCTCATTCACACAGCCAAGGCAACAACCATTTTTTCTCACACATAAGTCCACAAATTTTAGGCTCCATCTGTCTGTTATAACCATAAGAGTGTATCTTAGTGGCATTCTCTTTCACACTTTAAAGTAACATATACTTCATAGTAACACTTGCATTTATAATAATCAATTATTATTGTGACTTACATATTTCATGTAGTTCTGGACGCCGTTCTGTTGCAGGTAAGACGGTGCCTGCGTTCTGTAAAACCTCTCTGTGGAGTCCAGGTACGCTTTCTCAAAGTTATCCCTGTAGATCTGCAGCTTGTCCTCTGGGTTCGAACACAGGTTCACTGGTGGGAGAGAAGGACAGAGAACAGGATAAAAAGAGATCATTAAGTGTTTTTTCTTACAATCCCCTCCCAGATATTTACAGTTGAACTGCAAAATTAGTTAGTTATTTTATTTAAAATGACACAATCACTATTGTATCATTTTCTGCCTGTAACAATCTGTGTTTCTGCCCAAACTGTGTTAATCTCTGTTAGTGTTCCCTCCCATGTGTTTATTTCTGTCTGTCTTACCGTACGACTCTCGTACTCCTATAACAAGCTGGGAGTCGAAGGCCTCCCCTTGTCTCTCAGCGTGCACCAGCTTCATGGCGCTGTCCTGCAGGCGACTCTTTATGTTGGAAAAGATTGACTCGTTCCACGTGTCCAGCATCAACTAGAAAAAGTAAAGTAAGGGCAGTAATAAATGTGCAACAGGTTTAAGTCCATTCAGCACTTTATCTCAGAAAAAAATATTTTCTTCGACTCAAATCTTGACCTTTCACTCTATCCGCTTTTCCCACTTCTTCCTCTCACCTTGCGTACGATGCTGTCCTCCATGTTTGTTTTCTTGTTGCTGCCCTGTTTGCCCATCAGCGTGATCTCCAGCTGACAGAAGGGTTTGGGCAGGATGTCACACTGCGTGAAGAACTTCCTCCACTCTACGATGTAGGCCTTTAGCAGTGCCGTGTCGTCCTGGTGGCTCAGCACCCGCTGCCATGGCAACAGATGCAAGAAAAAGTTAGAGGGGGGTACAGGTCAACCCATAAATACTGATGAAACACCCTGATGCTTTGTTCTCTTTCTGCTCTACATGTGTTTATCTATCACTCTCCAAAGCAACGTGGTAATGAACGGCAGCATCTAAATACGGACCAGAACATTCAATTGGATGTTCTAGAGGACCAACTCTGAAGTTTGTAGAACATAAAGATTTAAAATAGGAGGGTGACCATTAAAAACAGTCGCCCATCCTCCATCTGTCCAGAATCCATCTATCCTACACTTGTATTTCAGTTACTGCAACCTAAGGGACAGGCCAACGACTGATGTGCAAAACTGCGACAAAACTTTATTTTCCAAACAATTTCACTCAGAAATCAAGCTCGCTTTGTCACAGCATAGTGTAGATTATTTGGCAGAAGTAAAGTCAAATAAAACACTGCAGTCACCCAGTTCTGACATACTACTGCCATGGTTACATCGATACACGTAGGAAGTGCTGTTCAGGGACAGGACTGCTTCTACAGATTTCATAAAACCTTTAAACTAGCCAAGCTTTTGTAAAATGCTTAAATAACCATACTTCAAGTACTCATATAAGAATCAAATAACAAAAACAGGAAGCCAGTGTTGTAGAGAAAGACAATTAAATAATGCCTGTTGTGAGTGTAAGGATCACATTAATTCCATTATTTAACGTTTACAGAGATCAAATTCTGCTGCTGGTTTTATAATATCTGACACTGAACCACTGGACGTTAAATTGGAACATTTAATTCCTATTTTCTCAACACAAACACACAAACAACAACACAAACCCATAAAAAAATCAACCCACTCAAACAAACTACACGCTACTCACAGCCTGTGCTTGTTTGATGAAGTCTAGGATGTCCTCTTTGAGGGCTTGGTGGATTTTTGCTGGACCTTTATCATCCCATAAACACACAGCATGGACATCTCTGGAGGGCAAGCAAAAAAGAAAAGGGATATCACTTAAGTCCATTCAAGTTCATGATTAAATATGAATGAGAACATGTTACCTGTTACACTTTACAGTACAGCACATGTGACTTTCAGTAAGGTGATGGTGCAGCTTTCCATGCAGACTGCTGCCACGGAAAACGACATGGCTTTGGGAGGTCTTGGTACTTCCTAATATAATTTTCAGTTGCCAGGCAACAAATACAGTTCAGCTGTGATGTTTCTTAGCATCAAAACTTAATTCAAGTCGCTGGAGGCTTAAAATAGTTTCAAAATGTAAATGTCACATATTCAGAGAATCAAGGCACTGAGGAGAACAGCGTGTAAGCAATAGCACGGAGAAATGGAGTGTAGTATCTCAGAAGGTTTTAATTTCAACCCAACGTCATTGGTCACTGAGAGTACTGCAAACACGGACAGACTGAGCTGCTCCCTTGTGTAACTTAGATTGTAGGGAAACACACCAACACTGCCAACTGCTGCCTGGTGGTAACTGCACAGGACACATACTTGAATCCTGCCACAGCTTTTCATTCAGTTTTGTCCCAGCATGTGTGTGACTCCTGTAAACGATGTAACTCAAACTCTCCTGGGCTTTAACTCAACATGTCTCAAATCCCCACATGACTTGCAAAAATATCCCTTCTTGTAATGTGACCTGTCTTTCCAGAGCTCTTGGAGGAGCTTATAAATGCTAATTAACTCTCCATGTTTCTGTTCCATCAGGTTAGTCAGATATCTCAAGTCAATTATATTTATATATATCCCAATATCACAAATCATAATTTTGCCTTAATGGTTTTACAGTTGGTGCAGCACCTTCAACATCTGTCATTTGAACCCTGATTTGTATAATAAAAAAACTCCCCCAAAAACATTTAACAGAGAAAAAAAACAATTAAACAGCTTTCAGATTGTATATAACAACTGTTTTTTTCCTAATATATGATGCAGAAAAAACAAGCTACTTACACCACAACATCTATTTCATGGAGAAAAACATCAAAGCTTGGAAGAAAATGACCATTAAAGTCCATAAATGAGACTTAAAACCGGCGTCTGAAGTAACTTTCTATTATAAGAGCGGTCGTCCATCAAGTTTTGGCAGTTAAGCTTTGCAAACAAGAGACTTTTCCAACCCAGTTTATGAGTGTGACACAACAGGCTTACCTACAAATGTATGACATTGTGTGGGGATTATATAAAGCACAACACCTGTTGGTAAATTACATGTGTGTGCTGCTGAAATGCACCAAAATAGTAGCAGCCTGTTGTGCCATTCAGTTAAGTAAAGCAACTGTTTTCCGGATCTGAAGCAGACGCAGTAACAGCTGCACTGATCCTGCATTGGACCACTTTCTTAAATAAGACAGAAAGTACCAAGGGGCAGAGAGCATCTCTTACGAGAACAAGTCGAACCACTGTTGCTTGGTGACGGCCTCCTGTCTGAGCAGCTTGAGAACGATGGGCCGCATCAGATCCCACTTATCCTCAAACTGCAGGGACCCCTTGTTCTGGAGGAGAGATATGGGACGGGTGGAGTGGGAGGAAGCACAGGAAGCATGAAAAACAGCAATAAGAACTGAGGTGTCGGGGGATCACATCTGTTATTACGTTGTACCAGACTAAATCAGTTTTGGTAACTGGCCAGCTTGGAAACTGGATAAAGTGGGAGCCTTGCATTGAATCACTGGATGGGTTACACAAGGAAAAAAGAAGAGAAATGACTTTAAAGTAGTATTTTTTTTTAAATGGACTCATGCACGGTGCACTCGGTATTCAGACCCTGTGCAATATGACACTTCCTCCCATTTCTCTGGATCATCTCTGAGATGTTTCTCCACCCTGACTGGAGTCTACTGTGGTAAATTCTAAGTCTGTCACAAACTCTACTTTTGTTGGCCGATTTATTGTCCCAGAAATAATCGCAATAAACAATATTGTAATCTAAAGACCTTTCTTTGCCACTGATATGATGATATTATAATAATAGGTCATATTCGAGCTCGACCACGTATCTGAAGGAAAGGAAACACACTCAGACTCAGAGAGGACAGAAGCAGCCTGACCAGGAGTTCAAACACTAAACATATATTGTACGATGAGTCCATATATGTGGCCTAATGAATTTTATTGGACATTATTTGGAAAGGCACACATTGTCTATATGAGGTCTCACAGCTATCAATGCATATCAGAGCCAAACATTAAGCCATGAGGTCGAAGGAACTACCGGCAGAGCTCACCGACGGGATTGTGTCGAGGCACAGATCTCCACACTTCTTAAATGTAAGAAGGTTTGTAACAACCGAGGATTGTTCCTGGAGATTGCAACGTGGCCAAACTGAGCTATCGGGACAGAAAGGCCCTGGTGAGGGAGGTGACCATGAAAACTCAGACTGAACTGTTTCCATTCTCAACATCATGTCTGGAGGAAACAAGGCACCGCTCATCACCTGCACAGTGCCATTCAAACAGTGCAGCAATGTGGGGGCAGCAGCACCATGTGGGGGCGTTTTTCACTGGCAGGGATGAGATATTATTCTTAACCTGGTTCAGAGCACTCAGCACCTGCTTCACACATTGTTAGGTCTTTATTATACCTGTACATATACATTATATATATATATATTTATTTATTTATATTCTATTTTAGATATTTATTCCTCCTGGAGCTGGTTGACATTAAACCGGGTCGGAGGAGGGGGGCGGACCGCCTGTCCACAGCTACCTGCTCGGTGACTAACGGGGGATTAATTCACGTTAAAGACAACACCTGAACGAACCCAGTTCACCGACAGCACCGACAGCACCGACACGAACCGTTTCCCAGGTGATGTTTAACGGGGCCTTGCGTTGCAGAGGCGTTGGGTTCATCTTAAGAGGAGATTTAGCCCCAAAAATAAAAGCGCTGTTGACTGGAAGGGGGGTGTCTTGTGTCGGACCGGGTTCTCCAGAGCTCTCCGGTACCGGGTTTAAAGGGTTGATACGGATCTTATTCGGCTCTGGTTCGTCGCAGCCGTGATGCCGGATTGTGGTACCGGCTCCAGCTCCGGTTTCGGTAATAATAACGGAAGAAGACATGTTTGTGTGTCGGTTAGAGGACTGGTTCTTCTCTTCCAGGCGCAGGGAAATAAATCCGACACAACACCGGACTTCAACAGCGACAACGGGGGCAACTGTGACTTCAGGCGCACCTATCCGTGCATTTATTTAATATATTCACACTGTTAGTGCATCTGCGTGTGTGCCGTAACAGTGCAAACGTACAGCTGCAGCATATATTCAAACGAACACTTTAAATCTGCACACAAATATGGGAAATATGATATATTCAAGTGCTTCTTACCTTTAACAAATTAGACGTCGCCATGTTTTTTCAACTTATCACCTCGCAGCATCTCGCGAGACTTCAACCACAGCTGACCCGGGATTAGGTCATAGTAACCCTGAGCACTGAAATTCACTTTATTGTGGCTAAAAACACAATAAATTAATAGACACTTCTTTCAGACACGTTACATCATTATTTTTAAATAATGTGCATTTAGTGCACAAGTAAAAACAAAGAGTCTTTGCCTCTACATCATCTGGAGTTGTACCACTTATTCACACACTTATTTACATAGTCTACGATAATGTAATTAGTCTGCTGTGCAAAGCTTTTGAACATGATTTAATGTAAATTTCCTTTCTGTAATGCAAATATATTCCTCAGGGGATCATAAAATGTAATCTTGTTGTGATTTGTCTGGATGTCCACAGCGACTGACAATGAGAGAAACATACATTGTCAACAATAGCAGGGAAAGAAAGAAATAATTTAGTCGTGAGATAAATACAAATTTTAATGAGTTTAAGGGGCAAAACAATACAAAAAGCTATCCATCTAAACATGTTGTTTAATGTGTGGCATTACATATATAATGAATTTGAATCAAATAAAAACAAAAAGAGTTTTTCCAGTAGACCAAGTTCAGTTTTTGACATTTTATTTCTCTTCAAACGGCTTAAGGATAACAAGAAAACATTTTATTTTGCACACATTCACTGTTCAACTGTTAATATTCTCATTGTCTGCCTTTACTTGTGATACAGGTGTCTACAGTATGGATGTGGTACACTGTCCTCTGGTGGTCACAGTGGGATCGGGACCAATTCATAAATTGTGTCTTATTATTTGATGCCAGTGTTTTCTTTTCATTAAAAATTTATATTAGTTTCTGTCATTTAATTTTTGTTTGTTTTTTCTATTTTTTTGTCAATCATTTTAATTTTGATGTCCAATGTGTCCGATATGATTACACACTAATCTACTTTTTTATAAAAATACTGTTTTAATTGATTTTTAAAAAACTAACTACTGTATTCTGTAATGCAGAAAATGAAAGAATGTAATTGTACTGTTGTAGCTGTTCAAGGTGGAGCTCATTTTAGCTACTTTATATACAGTTAGTTTAGTCCAGTGTTTCCCAACCTAGGGGTCGGGGCCTTCCAGAGGGTCACCAGATAAATCTGAGGGGTCCGGAGATGAATAAAGAAAAGAGGGAAGAAGAAAAAACTTTATTTCATTTGGGACTTTTCTCTAATTTTTTATTATTTAGTATGAAATATTGAATAAATGTGCAGTTTTGGGGGTTCAAACAAATAATTCAATTAAATAAGTTTAGTTGAGCTTAGAGGAACTGATAACAACTCATAGACATCTGAAATGTGACAAGAGGCCATTTACTTTTCTTAAGGAGTCACGAGCCAAAAAGGTTTGGAGCCACAAATTTAATCTTAACAATATATTATATATTGTATTACAGCCAATGTTTCTATAGAAAATCAAAACATAAATAACTCCACCTTTCAGATAAACATAGTAAGATAAGATAAACCTTAAAGTTGTAGGCCCTTCTTAAGTACAGTACTTGAGTTAATGTACTTAGTTTCCATCACCTCCATTTCCATTAAAAACACTGATGAAGCACATTTCCCTCAACACAAGTTGTTATCGCATCAGCAGATAACAGATGAGAGTGACAACGAGGAAGCGTGATGACTTCTTTCAATTACTTTCATCATCAGTTCTTATCTTTAAGTGCTGCTGGCTGTCTTCAACACATCATACGCAGATAAGTGACAGAGTAATCTTTGTCCTCGGAGTCAGTTAATCATTCAGCTCCGACACCTTGAAAGTCAAGAACAGTTAAAAACTCAGAGAGGATTCTTCAGTCACTGGTGTGACAACATGGCTATGAAACAGTCTGAGGATGCAACCTGCAGAGGCACGAGTTATGAAAACCAAAGCAGTGGATTCATGATGAAGATCAGGAAATTCAACCCCAAGGAAGTTTTCACCTGGTGAGTGGACGGAAGAAGCATGTGAGAGTAAAGAAAGTAGTCCTCAACTTTAGATGTATCTTTGGATCTCTGAGCATTTAGTCTGTTATAAAGAGTGGTGGAAATAATGGTACTGTTTCTGCACTGATACTTTAATTACATTTATATAAAATTATCGGTTTTTAAAGTATTTAAACAAGTGGTGGAAAGTAACTAAATAATTATATTATGCTTCCACTATAATTCAGAGGGAAATACTATACGTTTTACTCCTCTACATATATTTGATCATTACCTGCTTCAACATTAAAGTGATGAACACATGAATGTATCGCTGATCTAAACTGGGCCATTCAGTATAATAAATACTTTTACTGTTGATACTTTATGTATATTTTGATGTTAATACCTACTTACCTACACGTGTAAGTAACATTTTGATTATTAATTTGAATATTTGGGGGCTCATAAGGTCCCAGGTTCCTATGTCTCTTTATGTGAACTAACATTGTGAGCGATCTGTTAGGACACTTTTATAACCGTAAAAGAACGAATGAAGATGGACGTTTCAAATGAAGTTTATATGTTAAAAATCCATTCAGCCACTTTGGAGAAAACAATGTCTGAAGTCACACAAACATCAGGCTGTGAGCTGTAGGAGGCTGATCTCAGCATATTGACCCAGTGAAACACGCTGAACATTTCAAATATAGCTGAGAACAAAAAACCCTTTGAAAAGTCTTATTAAGAGGATATTGGCTGTGATTTTAAACATGGAAGATGTTGAGGTTCTGTAATTTGTACAAATGAAGTAAAGACAGACTCCTGCTCTTCCTCACTTACTGAATGAGATACTTCCAGTTGTGCTAAATAATGTTGATGTGCATGAAGAACAAAGTATTTGAAAGACATCAAAGATACAAAAAATGATTCATTGGTCATCATTCGTTAGTTATTCATAGAGCAGCTGGATTAAACTGTGCTGTAAATTGTGTTCAACCTAGTTTTGATGGTCTGAAATTAAACAGTATTGTTCAGAAAAGGTGTTCTGACTGAGACTACACATAAAATACAACCACAGGTCTTTAAATAATATCTGTGCATTTATCTTCTCCCTCAGGCACTTGGCCAAGACACTGGCCATGGGTCAAGGCCTGGCTGGGCTCATCTGTGGGACAGCCATCTCCTCCCAGTACTTGGCCACAAGTTTCCATGTGAACACACCAATGCTGCAGAGCTTCTTTAACTACGCTCTGCTGTGTGTCACCTACACCTCCATGCTGCTCTGCAGAACAGGTAACACCACTAATGTCTGTGTCTGAACGCCTGAGATAATACCATAGGAGGAATTATAACAATATATTTAAATGTTTCTGTTTTACTTTTAGTATTGTGTAAGTTATATGTTAATATTCTGGCTACAAACTATAGCAACAGTGTGATATTAACAGGCATCAGTGGAGGAAACCACATTTATCATTTAATATTAACAGGCATCAGTGGAGGAAACCACATTTATCATTTAAGTTCTGTATTTAAATACAAATCTGAGGTACTCGTGCTTCCCTTCATGCCACTTTATAGTTCAGAGGGACATTTTTACTCCACTGCATCAAAAAAATTAAATGTTATATCCAAAACATGTATGTTTATAAAATATAATGTATTGTTATGAATAAAGTATCACAATAGTATATCAAATAGTTTAAATGAGATCCAACTAACACATAAATACATCAGAAACAATATTACATTTAGATTTATATTTTTTTATTTGGCAGACAACACAAAATTATAAAACTTAGTATAGAGCCAAAATTACGGTATCAAATTGTTAGTACGTGCCATCGTTTAAACTGTTCAATAAACAAATTTTGAACGGTTACTTTTTCTATTTCATTACAAAGATGGAAATAAGGATCTTCTGCCTACAGCGAGCAGCAGTAATTCAAACTGTCCTCAGGCTTGGTGCTGAAACAAATAAATGTCAATACTGAAGTTCAGGGGTGTTCCCCTTTAAAACATAGGGGATGGAAATATTTTACAGATTCTGAAGAAGCGGTGGTGGAAGTACCTTCTGCTGGGACTGGTGGACGTGGAAGCTAACTATGCTGTGGTTAAAGCATACCAGTACACCACCATCACCAGTATACAGGTGGGTAAAGGTTGTGTGTGTGTGTCGTGAAAACAGATCATGTTTCTTTAAAGAACTTCAATTTAATGGTCTTCAACTCATTAATTCCAGTCGATAGTTAACTTGAAATTAGTAAAACTTAATTGAGGGAAGATTGGTTGATTCCACTAAATTCCTGTTTGATGTTTTATAATGTTTCTTCTTGGTTTTGATTTTCATTTCATCTTTTAATGTAATGCCACTAGAATCAGACAAACTGCAGAGGATTCACACAACCAGTGAAAGTATTTGTGCTTCAAGAGGAGCAATACTCTTCCATATTAAAAAAGGATGTTTCAGTGAAGCACATATTTATTAGTGCTGCTTAAAAGTTGACACTTTTTTTTTTTTTTTTTAAGGATTACTGTTTTTAGTGTTGTCATGAAATATGTCTTAATGTTATTATATTAAAATGTGTTTCTGTCTCCAGCTGCTGGACTGTTTTGTGATCCCGGTCCTGATGATACTGTCCTGGTGGGTTTTGAAGACACGCTACAGGCCTGTCCACTATGTCGCCGTCTGCATCTGTCTCGTTGGTGTGGGGGCCATGGTTGGGGCGGACCTGCTGGCTGGACGAGACCAGGGCTCCAGTAAGTGTTTACTCACTGAGTTCATCAATGCCCCTGTCTGTAATTTGTTTAGTGAATAATTCTGTGATCAGGGCCAGCAATTATCAATCGAGTTGCATTGTGGGTACTGTAGGTGGCAGGTTTTGACAAGGAAGAAGAATTAATGGAACCAAAAAGTTGACATCTGTAGTTCTGCTCTATAATCTGGCCATCATGAGTCTGTCACTGCTAAATCAGGGGAGTACTCTTTAAGAATAAAGGGGAAATATGTATTTAAACAGGGATTAAATAATAGGAAAATATCTATCATAGAGTACAAGTTTTTTTATCTTTAACTTAGTCTTAGTCTTAGAAAACTGCACTTTTAGCAGTTCAATAAATGTAAACAAACAAACATAGTGAAGGCACCAGTGTCAGTTCTTTCTTCAGGACAATCAAGTAACTAAATGTTATAGTCCTTCAAGCCAATCAGTGTGTTGGTGCATGATGTAGAGCAAAGTTATTTAAATAATGTTTGACCACCGCACTGACACATCTCTCCTCTCCTCAGCCTCAAACATCCTGTTAGGAGACGGTTTGGTGCTGCTCAGCGCCGCGCTGTACGCAGTGTCCAATGTGTGTCAGGAATACACAGTGAAGAACCTGAGCAGGGTGGAGTTCCTGGGAATGGTCGGCCTGTTCGGCACAATCATCAGCACCATACAGATGTAAGTGTCTATGTATGTGTGTGGGTGTGACCATACTTTGGATTCATTCAACATTATGGTTAATCTGGTGTTATTGTTTTCCTTTACACAGGGTGGTCCTGGAACGTAATGAAGTTGCTACCATCAAGTGGAGCTGGCAAGTCGGTCAGTATCTTGCTCAGAAACATTTAACATAAAACAACATAAGGAACGATAACATTAGAAGATAAGAAAAAAAGGTTATTTTTTGCTTGTTACCTGTTTAGCTTGTTAAGAGGCTAGTTCCCATTCAATCCTGGGATTTTTGTTCACACTGTGCAAAATCAACAACTTCCCTTTGAGAGCAAATAAACAAACTAGTCCTAAAACCACAAATTTCTTCTATTTCTACACATTAGATATAGAATACAAAGTCTCTATAAAAGCTCTGGAGCTGTTGGAAGGTGTTTTCTGTGGTAAAGATTCTCTGGATATTTGGATTAAGTTGATCCTGTAGGAACTAACTGGGTGTTTCTCCTCTCAGGGCTCCTGTTCTCTGCCTACGCGCTGTGTTTGTATGCTCTCTACAGCTGTATGCCCATAGTGATGAAGCTGAGCAGCGCCACCTCCGTCAACCTCTCACTGCTCACTGCTGACCTCTTCAGCCTCTTCTGTGGGATTTTCCTCTTCCAGTACAATGTGAGCAGACACACACACACACACACACACACACACACACACACACACACACACATTTGTATACTATAAAAATATACCAGCTGTTTTAAGAAATTATTTAAAAATGTGTGTATAAACACTCACCGCCCTCCTATCTGGGTCACAATGACCTGCTGGATGTTAAAGTGACACAGCAGTGTTAATGAATTATAATAAAGGTTAAAGTGTAATTTCATTGTCATGTGTTTTCACACAGCTGCATCCATATACATAGTTTGAGTCCAGAGTCCTTTAAATTACCATTAAACAACACAAGCAGGTTATTTCATCATGTGCTAAATCTGAAAATGACACAATTTGTTTTTTTTCTGTTTCACTGACATGGAAGTTGAGAGAGAAACATAATTTAATTAATTTAATTCAAGTACTTGAATATTTTAATTCTATATGCTTCTTTATATGTCTGCCCTATTTAAATTCTCATCGTTTGTACCTTTAATGTTTCAAGTTTCCACATCAAACTTGTGTAAGTTGCATATTGGATCCTGATTGGCTCCAAACTAGTTATGATGTCATAAATCCTGCAGGTACACACATACACGTGTTAAACTGAGACTTAAAGGGAGCTCAAAGGAACTTTTCATTGTCAAATGCAAATGTGAAAAAAGACTTGTGTCTGGTGTCAAACTCTGCACGGTGGAGCTCAAATGTCAAAGTGAAGTAACAATAAACAAAATACATTTTTGGAGGTGCAGCTCCGCTCAACTTTACACAGCTTTATATCTTGAGTTTATATAAGCTTGAGTTCAGCTCATTGTTTAGCCATCTGGCCAAAACTTATATGTTTTGCTTCACCCTCACCTCTCTCATATGTTGTTTAAACATAAAGACATTTCCATGTTGTATTTACAGCTTTCTGCTGCCCCAAGTGGCCAAATAAACAACCAAGCAGTAGTACAATAAATAGTTACCCCCCTTACTGCATCAGCATCACCTTTGTTCATATACTTAAATTTACCTGTTTGCATCTACCCTGCCTCAGTTCTCTGGACTCTACCTGGTCTCCCTGGTGGTCATCCTCATCGGCTTCATCGCCTTCAACGCTGTGCCAACACCCACTAACAGCACAGACCTCGCCACCTCCTCTTCCACTGGTGAGGAAGGATGTTACGACAATCCTGTGGCCACTCAGAATCACATCACCAAGCAGGAAGTGGTTGTGCGGATCACCACTGAGGAGGGGGAGGAGGAGGAGGAGGAGGAGAAGGATGAAGAGGAGCAGCAGCAGAGGGAAAAAGAAGAGAGGAAGAGGAGGGTTTCCGGGCCAACACAGAGACTTGGACGAGGGAGTGATGATGAAGATGTTGTTGCGGTTGGACGCAGCACTAAAATGTGAACTACAGCACAGAAACCTGTCAATATGTCAAATATATATTTTAAACACATTTATTTATTTAGTACATATAGAAACGCACATCTCACCCTTTAATGTTTAAAGTTATTGTGATTGTTAATAATGTTATCAGGAGTTCTCCAAGTTGTGCTGAAGGACGTCGATAAATAAACTCCACATCTTTTCAAAGTCTTGTGTCTCTTTTAAAATCTATTTAAACTATTGTAAAACATTTAGAAATAAGTTACTGATGTACTGAAAGTACAGTAAAGTATGTGTGTATTTTTGTTCAGTATTTTAACTGCCACAAACTTGTGATGCAGAATTATTTCAATGAAAAAGAAAAGCTCAAGTGCTGTCTCTGGTACTCACTGGTATACTCGAGAAATGAATTACAACCAGCAGAATTTAGAAGGCAGTAAATCTTTATAGTGCAAAAATATAATGTAAAACAGAACCACAACAAACTGGTTTACACCAAAATGACCCATATGAGCGTCTTCCTATCTGATCTATGGTTAAGGTTTGGTTACGTGAGGGCAAAGCACAGATTTTAAGGTTTAGGAAAACGGAAGTAACACTGAATTTCTGAAATTATAGTGAGATTTCAACCAATATCACCCTTTATAGTAAACACAAGAGGCCACGAGTTGGTCACAAGGACAGGACGTCTCCTTCTACATTCCCCCTTCCAGGCTTCTTTGTAGCGCACAAATATTCATTCAGTGTGAAATCCAGCATCAACAGAGCAGAATATAATGCAGCTAAAAAATCTGGTGCCTTCTCAACAAGAGCTGAAAGTCTAGATTATTATTCTTTCTAGTTGTTTCATATCGATTTAAAACCACCCTTCCTATACAATACAAATAAAAACACAATTCTATTTAAAAAATGTTATTTCATGTGCAAATATGTGCAAAGGGTTGAAAGAAGAGAACAGATTTTAGACTTTCATTTGTTGTTTGGCTTCGATCAAAGATAATATAAAATGATGATATAAAAATGCAGAGAAACTGTTGTTAAGTATATTCGTAGAAATGGAAATAGTGTCAGAATATTGTGCTTTCTTGTAGGTCTTGAACATTGTAGTGGCCCTCCTATGAGATGACGATCCCAGCAGACAATCTGAGTCTGAGACTGAGTGATGGAAAGCAGCTTCTCCAACAACAAGACCACGGCTGGGATGTGCCGTACATTACATTACAATCTTCTCCTCCTCTGGTTGGAAACTTCTTGTTCAAATCTATTCAGTCTTCTCCTCCTGACCTCCTCAAGCCTCTCCTCCTCCTCAGTGGGCTGGAAACCAGAACGGGGATGTGCAGTCTCTCTCCGCCTGGTCCGTCCTAAGATATAAAATATTATTAACTAAAATTGTGTGTTTTTGTCAGTTTTCTTCGGCCCTTATTTACAGAGAAGTGGTGAGACTAATACCTGGTTCACACTGTCAACCTGATTGTGATTCTTGTCTCCTACCGTTATCATTCAGGCTGTTTCTGATCGCCATTTCTATCTGCTCCTCCTCTGTCATATCTGCAATATCAGCTTCTGTGTAATCTGTCATACGATCTCCTGCATGCTGTGGATCTTCCCGTCGATGTTCCTGTCTAGTCCCACTGTAGCCTACAGACACATTTACACAACGATTAATTAAATACAACCAAATCAGAACCAAACAGAGAACAATAATGGTTGGATTTCTGTTCTTAACATTTCTTTTTGGGGGGGACGCTTTTCAAAACAAAACACTGAATTAATGAGGTGAGTAATTTGAAAGCAACCTGGAAGACTAACCTTAAAATATGTCTGAGAAGAGGGACACAAAAGAATTACTATCAGAAAGAAAGAAGAACCTAAAACTTAAAACCATTGGCCGAGACCAGTGGTTCCCAACCTGGGGATCGGGAGCCTCAGTAGGGGTCTCCAAAGCTTTACAAGGGGCCGTGAGGGCCTCTTGATTTAAAGGGGTGTAAGAAAAAATTTCAGCATTTCAAACTGTGAATTTGTCAAAAAAGTATGTAATAATGTATATATGTATTAAAAGTTACCTGAAATTATCAGGAAAACTCATCTCTGATTAAATAATCTGCTCAAAATTCCTTCACATTGCTCAGTTATTGTGTTCACTGTTCATTGCGGGTTCATTGTTCGGTTTATCAGCTGTTCTGAACTGTTATTCATTAAATATAATATGAAATATCGCATATGAAATATGTCACTTAGGGTCTTCAGTTTACTCAATGACAGAACATTGTATCTACATACATTATATCTCTGTGATATAAATATGACACTGTTGTACCTGAGGAGCTGAAGTATGAACTTGGCCGTGGATTATATCCATCAGAAGACACAAACTCTTAAAAAAAACAGAGAATTTCAGTGAATATTACTAAATTATTGACTTTGTGACAATACAAAAAACATACACACACGCACACGTTCAGACCTGCACATGTCTTCATGATGGTCTCCAGTGGACCTACAGTGTAGAGCAGACCCACCAGGATGCCCGCCAGGTGGCCAATCAAAGAGGTCCTGAAGAAGAAGAGCACGTTACATTACACACATTACTTTATTTGTTCCCGTGTGGATCACCAACTTCTTCTTCATCATCAATCAGTTGGTACAGTATCTCACCCGGGAGCGATCAGATAGATCAGCACGAGCTCCACCCAGCTGGCGATGTAGTTGGGCACACAAATATTCAACACATAGGTCACTCCACCGGGGTTGTAATGGTTGCAGATCACCTTCAGAGCGAACAGGACACCTGGAAACGGGGTTGTATTGGATTTAATACATATATCATTAAAACAGAGTTATTTACAGTCAATATGATCAACCAATCAATCAATCAATCAATCAATCAGATGGAAGTTAAGAAAATGAAATCAGGACTAATTTATTCTCTAACAATAAATTCATATTTCATCATGTCAAACCCTTTTTTGTTTTTATGGTCGTTACTATCGTTTAGACTGATTAATCGCTGGGTCTATAAACTGTCAGATATTCTAGATAATCTATAATCACAATTTAACAGAGCACAAGTTTAAATGGTATTTTGTTCGACCAATAGATCAAAACTTAAAAGGAATCGAGTTTATTATGATGGGAGGCAAAGAAAACAGCAAATATTCAGATTTGAGGTATTTTTGCTTTAAAAAGTCACAAAAATTATGAATTAATTAACAGAATTGTTGCTTATTTTGGTCTTAATCAGCTAATTATTTCAGCTGAAATTTTTAATGCTTACTTCATGCTTTACAATTACACATTGATGACAACTGGAAAATGTTTTCAGATTTAATCTGTGAAACATTTGTGAATTCTGTAGAAATAGAAGCTCAGTCACACTGTTGTTGTTGTTGTTGTTGTTGTTGTTTATTGTTTGTACCTGAGAAGCCGACAGCGCACTCATTGCCGTGAGGTAAGAAGTCGATGACCTCTGGGAACAGATCAGGGTTCTGGGTGAGTTCTGTGAGTCCCGCCTGCAGCAGCAGGTAGACGAGCCCGGTGAGCAGAGAGAAGACCGACAGCAGGTAGAGGAACCAGGCTCCACCCAGCCGGCGCTCCAGCCGGAGGCCTTTCCACACGAAGGACACCATGTTGAAGTACAGGTGCCAATCATCCACGTGGTGCAGGGGGGACAGGAAGAGGCGACGCCACTCTTTAGACCTGTACACGTACTGGAGGTTCACACAGGCCTGAGGACAGAAAGTCCTTATCAACATATAATGATCATATTTACTATAACCAGTGGGGGAAAGTACATTTATATGATGTCAATTCTATTGTAGTATAAATTTAAATGCATGTTTGCGAATATTAAATACTGGAATTCTAGTAATCGCACAAAATGCTGTAAAATCAAGTAATGAGCACTGTATTCAAGTAGAGTTGATTTCCTGGTAAATATGATTTAATTAAGGTTGATTTTATGTGAGCATGCAAAACTGTTAATGAAGTAGAGAGCACCGTGGTTTTTAGTGAAAGTTTGATTTAATGTGTAGAAGAATATTGAATGTGTAGACAAGTAAGGTTTCTACCAAAAGTACGTGAATGATTGTAACACAAGCTTTTTGTCATTTTATAAAGTTTATAAAGATTTAAAAAATACAGTAAAAGACATCTATGACATAATGGTGTAAGAAAATGGTAATATAAGGTTTTTAAAAGATAGAAGTACAGCAGAATAGATTTTAATGGTGTAATCATGAAGAAAGAAAAGTAAAAGAAAAGGTTTTGGCGTACTGCCAAAGGCCAAGAAGCCTGCAAGGTTAATGATAAAAGAGCACAAGGACAACAGGCCATGAAGCCCGCGGGCTTTGTAGTAAGAGAGCACAACAAGTGGAGGAGAAGAAGGACTGAGCGAGGGATAAGAAGTGCTCAAGCCCAACGGTGCAGGTGCAGGAGGGCTGAGGGAGAAATACACAAGACACCGTCAGTATTTCCAGAGGGGATGTACACCATTATGTCATGGATCAAAAAGTGACAGATGGGCAGGACTTGTAAGAGTATATAAGGTGATGTTCTGACATCATAAATATTAAATTCACCAACAGTGTATAAAATTAAACATTAAAATACTGCTTAAATGTTAATGTGTCAATAAAATAACACAGATAAACCCACAGTTTCACTTGAAATCTTGAATGCAGGATTTTTACTTGTAATCGAGTATTCTTAAAGTGTAATATTGGTACTTTTAAATAAAGAAAAGCCACAAACACTGTAAACAGCTGGTCTGTCGGACTACCAGCAGCTCTAAAGTTCACGAATCAACTCATTTTATCTCATTCATTTAAAGTAAAGTGTGAAAATGTCCTCCTCATAATGTCACACTGACGGCTTTACCTTCATCAGAGGAGCAGCAGGGAACATGTAAAGATACACATTGAATCCCAGGACGGCCAGAGTGACTGCTGGGATGTTGCCCAGACCCTCCTGGAACAGCTGGACCGCCAGAAGCACCAGGCCCAGCTGGAGACCCCTCTGCATGCTGGAGGAGAGACGGTTTAAAGGAAAAGTTCAACAGTTTGGTTTCTTGCCGAGAGTTAGATGGGACGACGACACTCAGACTTAATAATAACCTCATCATCGGCTTCCACACCTTCAAACTGTGGATCAATAGTCTTACGTTAGTATGTGAGTGTGCATGTTATTATATTTAGTTACTGTTTTATTCAACTTCCCTGCTTCAGTTTTAATGGCACAAATATTATGTTTATATTATATATTATATTATTCAGTTCTGCTTGTTTCAGTCCCAAAATGTCTGCAATCATAAAAGGAAATTAGGAATCATGTGAATGTAAGATAATGTTTTAGATTACAGATATTCTTTAATTTACAGTGTGTTTTTATACTGATGTTGTACCAGCACTGTGCTGTGTACAGAGGGAATACAGAGGTAACAATGTGGGAACTTACAATCAGTAGTAGGTATTTATTAACTAATGATTATACTAATAAACCTTCTGAGGGGTAAAGCCACGATGTAACTTGAACTGGGGGAAAAGTTAAGCACACTTTATACACACCCACACATGCAAAGTAAATAAAAACAAAAAGTCTGCAATGAGGAAGAGACTCATTGCTCCTCTTCAGGGTTGCCATTCGCAGCCGGACACTCGTTTGTCCTCCTTTAGAGAAAATAACTAAAAATGTCGCCTTTTGACACATCACCTCGTTAGTTTAATACTTATTGGCTAAAAATGTGTGTCAGAATAAGTAATTTCATTGGTTACATTTTCGTGTCGTGACCTATCAACACCTGGCTAATGTTAATATTCAAATGAGCCATGTGTTGATTCGTTACCACCAGGCTGTCAGTGAAGCTCTCAGCCACAGAGAACATAACGTTGGTTGTTGGACTGAAATACTGAAAATGCTCATACTCATATGTAGATAGGTAAAGTCTATACATCTGAAACAGAAGGTGCTGTATTTGTTTTCCCCTTTATCTATCCAGATAAAAACATTAAGAACAGTTTCTGTATGATGTTTATTAGACCTATGTAATCTGAATTGGAAGGGCACGTTGTCATGAGCTGTATCTTGTATATTTATTATGAGCTATGTGGTATGTGTATGCACCTTTATGTAATCTGCTGGAAAAACATTAACATTTAAAACCGGATCATACAAGTGTCCTCCTTTTTGATATGAAGGAAATGGCCACCCTACTCTTCCTCGTTCTTTCTCTGCTGATCAGATATTTACGGTCAATGATTCAGAAACACGAGAGACAAAAACAACCAACAAAAAGCAAAAGAGTCTTAAAATACTCACACTTCATCCGACTGTCGCCTGTTTGTGTGTTAATTTTCTGTCAAGAGTTGGGGGAGTGGCCTTCATCCAGGTTTCATGTTTGTAGTCTCTCTCTCTCTCTCTCTCTCTCTCTCTCTCTCAGAAACAGAAACGAAACTGAAAGTGATCAGAAAGAGCTGCAGGGCTCCGTCTCTCTCCACATCAGGACAATGTTTGGTCCGAAATGATAAATGAGTAAAAAGTGATGGAAATAATACATTTAGACTAGAATTACATTTGTAATGTAATTATCTACAATACCCTGCAGTGTATTGATGCTGTGGTATATACTGCCCCCTGGGGGTTGCAGTGAGGTACTGCAAACAAATTCCAAACTTTATAATCATATGGATGCTGTTATAATGTGTAGTGATTGAGATCCTGACCCACCAAACATCCTGGAAAGTGACGAAGTTACGTTTTTTACTCTAAATGACACAATTATTACACAATAATCACCAGCAGTACACTGACTCCCTCTCTCGCAAGATGGAGAATGTTTTTCTCCGGTGACAGACGCTGTTTTTCGGGCAGAAATGTGATGAAGAGTCGGTAGGACAGACAGGAGGACAGACAGGAGGACAGACAGGAGGACAGACGCTCCTCCACGTACAGCTGTGGTATTTTTTTTCCTCATGTAAGTTTCCAAAGACAGTTACAGTTACTACGTTACTGTTTTTGGTTTACGTTGCTTTGTGGGATTTCTTTTTTTAAGTTGGAGGAGAGAGTGAGAATACCCCCCCCCCACTGTTTTGTAGTTTCAAAACCCTTTTGGCCATCCATGAAAAAGCTACTTAACCTCCCATTTTCTATAGCAATACATACTTCCTACGGGCACTGCACTAGTTGGAGTAAGTACTTGTACAGTGAAAAAACAAGTAAGTAACTGAAATTGTGACTTTTTTTTAAATTGGCATGGCTACCGAAAAGTAGCCTACATGTATTGTATTTTGGAAATATTCAGTGATCCATTAGGACCTCAAATAATTGGGAAATTACTCAATAATTTATATCTTGTATATGCAAGTTTCATTTTTTATTTTATATTCCCTCTCTTTTGTTATGTGTATTTGTTTATTGTTGTTAATATTGGTGGGTTTCACTGTATTGACACATGTGTACAATGTACTGCAATAGTTGTACATTTGTAAAAAATTATCAATAAAATAAAAAATAAAAACAATGGCTTTGATGCGACTGACTGGGTTAGATAACGATCTATCATCTGTGATGGTGTCAATTTTTTTTTTTTTATCCAGTGAATGCAATGCGGATGGAAAGTTTAGTAAAATACTTGCTTGTGCTGTGGAGCTGAAAGTGACATTGCTGCTTGGAAGCTGAGCGTGAAGATCTGCGGGTGAAACTTGCTGGCGTTCATTCCTTCAAATATGACATTTGACTGATGCCACGCCTACTCATTGGTCGAACCAATACTGTGCCAGAATGTGAAACTTTTAAATGAAATGAAATGAAACAATTTATTTTCATGAAGATTGTGTATTTGTTGATGCATTCTGAAATGTTGAAACAATCTAAGACAGGCAATAGAAAATATAAAATAACAGCACATTTGAAAGACTACATCTTTATTGAATAACAGCTATATTGATCAATACAAATTCCTGATGCCAAAAACCAGAAAGCAAAATTTACTATAAAACAAAATGAGCCCATGGATAAGCATTGAAAACTTAATTATGATTTTCTGAAGTTATAAACAAAGCAAATATATTACATTTACAGAGTAAAACATAATCAAACAGATAACCAGTCAACTCATCCCAATAAAATTCATTATTGCCAGCATTGCCAATATCAACCACAGTAGCTACACGTCTGATACTGGCTGAGGTCATTACATGACACTGAGTAACAACATAGTCACAGAGACTTAGTCCCTTTGTATCAACCCAACTAAACAAATCATATAATCCGGTTACACTATCATCCATCTTCTTCAGCTCCAAAGCTAACTTCTTATCCATACTGAAAGTGTGAATGAAAAACAAATAAAGCATGAATGAGCATTGACGTGACAGATGACCCGAAGCAAATACTGGACATAAACTGTCAAAAGCACCTTTGTCTCCACCATCTTCTAGCTGCTGGCTGGAGCCTCTTGTTTACCTCACAGATCTGTCATCAATCTGCAGCTTGTTTGAGCCAGCTTATCGTGACTACTAGAATACACTGTATACTAGAATACACTGTATACTAGAATACAGTGTTGAAATGTGCCAAATTATAGGCAGAATCTCAAGAATCTTGTATATAATCTGTGTATTAACATGCATCTGTGAGCCACTGTCAAATGGTGTTCTCATTGAGGTTTTCATGAAGAGTACCACTTATAAAGGTCGTGTACAACGTGGAAATCTTCATCTCTTGACATGTGGTCGCAGGCGAGGCAAATGGGCTGAATGAATTCATTCTTCATAGACAGGAGATGAGGAGTGGCTGTGTAGAACTTCCTCCACTCAAAGTAACGCATGTATGCCTCATCCGTCCTGTTCAGGAGGAGCAGAAACTCTGCCAGTGACTTTGCGTCAGGGAAATCATTTATGTGAATGAAGGCATCAGAGGGAAGGAACTGGTGGTAGTTTTCTCTTGGTGGACCCAGAACTACAGGGACCGTCCCTGCTACAAGGGGCCCGTTAACCTTCTCTGTGATGTAGTCTCTGTGGATCGAGTTCTCAAATGAGAGGTAAAACTTACAGCTACCAATGGTTGAGTAATAGTCTTCATATCTCAACCGGTGACCAAAAGCTGCACCAAAGACGTGGATCTTAATGTATTTAGACAGTTTGTGATAATATTGCATTGGCTGGTTGACATCGACCAACACGGACCATAGAAAATCATTCTAAAGCCATCGATGATAGACATGGAAAGAAAAATGTCTTTTATCTGTGCATAGCTGTCAGTTTAACCCTCATAGAAACCTCTTTTATGCAATCTGTCTTAATCCAGCTGTTATTAGAAACTCTACAAACACAGTCATAAAACATGTATTAACTCATGTGTTCAAATAATAATGGTAGTGTGTGTGTGCATGTTCTTTTTTCTACAGCTGCTTTAAGAATCCTGGAAGTAATGTTGAAAACATGAACTCCAAATGTAAACACACCTAAAGCTTACGGCAACACACAGATCGATGATTTTGTATCCTGTAGTCGCTGTTTTTACTCTACAGCCAGTCGATTCATCATTGATCAGTTAAAAACACAAGACACACACACACACACACACACACACACACACACACACACACACACACAAAGTCTGAATCAGTCCATATATGTTTACTGAGTCGCTCTGATTTTATTTAAGAAAGATGAGAATGAGCTTTATTTAAAGGTCCAGTGTCTGCCCTCAACATTTAGGAGGCTCGATTTGCAAAATATGGCACAAATGGAATATAATATTCATAGGTATGTTGTTGTTTTATTCATTTTGAATTTTTTTTATTCATATAATCACCTGAAAATAAGAATAGCTGTGTTTTTGTTAGAATTAAACATTTTTATGTATAGAGGGTGTAATGACGTCAGTTAAAAACCCCTCGTGGGGAGGTACTCATGTGATTGGCTGTAAAGGAGTGAGACATCTGATTGGCTGCAGACGACCCCCTTGTAGAAAAAATACATTTGTGGATCGGAGTCAAGTCAGAAGAGTCTCAAAAATCCACACACAAATGCAGGGAGGTTTACAAATTAAAAGCACTGAGACAAATGCGCGTTTGACAGTTCATATCTCAATGTAACAGCTTCTAAATATGTATTTGATGAAAACTGCAAATACCTGAAGATTTGTACATTTGTGAATTTTTATTGCATATATTTAAAACAAGAAATATTTATGTGCGCATCACAAATATGTTTACAAAACTTATTTTTATATGTGAATTTTTTTTAACTTATATGTGGATTGAAGCATATTTGTGTGTGCATTGAAAATGCATTTGTGTATCGAGTCATATATAAATACAACTCCCCAAATACATTTGTGAGTCCTTTGTCGTGCATTTATTGATTTCTGTGTGCATTTATCCATTATGAGACTGTTCTGGCTCCATAGTATCGGCTTTATTGCCAAGTATGTTTTCACATACAAGGATTTTGCCTTGGTGAATTGGTGCATAACAATTAAACATAGAAAAATATATATAAAGATAGACTAGAGACAATAAAAAGAGACAATATATACAAATACAAAAAGAGAGAGAATATGTACAATATGAATGCTACCAAGATCAATGAATAAAGAGCTGTATAGGAATGTGCAAGTTAGCAGTGTGACACATAATGATATTGGCAATGTGCAAGCTAAAATGCAAGGGATCATAAGAAACTGTCTGAAATAAATAGAGGAGGAGGAAATCAGAGAAAGCTATAATAATAAAATTGGGTTGAATTTAGTACCACAATAAAAAGTGCAGACAGTAAAGATGATGGAAAGTGATTGAACACAAAATGAATACCAGCTTTATTTGAGGTTTTTTGGACCGTTGATCAAAGATCCGATCAAATGTTCAAATGAAATGCAAAAACGTGATGTGAAGATGTATTGAAGAGAAGTCCGCTGATTGTATAAAAAGGTTTACTACAAAAAAGTCCAGCATCATTTCAAGCCCCGGGAGCTTGGAGAGCATCCTGCCAAATGAACAGCTCTGTTGATATGCTTCAAACATAGGTTTTTATAGGTGGTTGCTCTTCAAGAAAATAGTAAAGAAACATCTGATTCTAATACAGATGTGCTGGAATATTTATGTCAAAAGGGAGGAGGGGGGTTTCTAACTTAAACATTCGAGAGGAAGAATTATGTCCTTTGGGAGAACTACTGACACTGCATATGTTGACAAAATATAATTTGAACTTTGAACCCTTTAGACACCACATGTACAACACTATTAAAATGATCACACCACCTTGATCATCATCATACTCAATGGCAGAGATGTTGCACGATGATTGCAGTCTACGGGACGTTTTACTGTTTAAACTGCGTAAGCAAATACAACCGGTTTCTCTTGTTAGGCTCATGACGTCCTAGCCTTATCCCTATCTCAGTATTAATGAGGGTCAAATGCCTGCCACAGTTGGTGTACTGAATACCAGTGAGACATACAGCCCTTATACTCTATTGAAAGGTAAGAACGGCACGTTTTATTCCATGGCGATAATCCTAATTCCTCTAAAGAATGAGACTATCGACTGTAATGTTTGCTTTCTACTTATTTTTATAGGTCTCTGGTGTTAAATGTATTATAATCTATAGCTGCAGTTCTGCATGTTACTTACAATTGTACTATTTTATCTGTTATCTACATGGCAGTGGCGTGCACAGACTTTTTGAAGGGCAGGGGCAGAAAGAAAAAAAAGGGCACATAAAGCCTCACCACTGTAGAGGGCATTATTATATTATTATATTATTATATAGCCTTAAAACAGACTAACTAGACAGACTGCTCAGGTTAGTTTGCTGTTAGGATCAGCATCCACGAGAACTGTGTGGATTTCAACACTGGACCGTGAAGAACACACAGTGACATGGATGTATGAAGGACATAAATCCCCAAGGGGTCTGGGGGTCTTCCTCCAGAACGTTTTCAATTAAGTAGATGCCATTTCCTGTATTCTAGTACATTTTAACACCATATTAGCACCTCTTTTAGGCAGCATCTCTACCTAATAATAGAACGTAGAAGAGGGCAGTTGAGTGTTTTTTCCACCCAAGAGGGCAATTTAGCACACATTTTGCCTCCCAATGGGACACTTGAGAGCACTTTAGCACGCGTTTTGGCTCCCAAGAGGGCACTTTAGCGAGTTTTGCCTCCCAAAAGGGCACTTGAGGGCACTTCAGCATGCATTTTGGCTCCCAAGAGGGCACTTTAGCACACGTTTTGGCTCCCAATAGGACACTTTAGCGAGTTTTGCCTCCCAAAAGGACACTTGAGGGCACTTCAGCACGCATTTTGGCTCCCAAGAGGGCACTTTAGCGAGGGCACTTGAGAGCACTTTAGCACACGTTTTGGCTCCCAAGAGGGCACTTTAGCACACGTTTTGGCTCCCAATAGGACACTTTAGCGAGTTTTGCCTCCCAAAAGGGCACTTGAGGGCACTTTAGCACGCATTTTGGCTCCCAAGAGGGCACTTGAGAGCACTTAAGCACGCATTTTGGCTCCCAAGAGGGCACTTGAGAGCACTTAAGCACGCGTTTTGGCTCCCAAGAGGGCACTTGAGAGCACTTAAGCACGCATTTTGGCTCCCAAGAGGGCACTTGAGAGCACTTAAGCACGCGTTTTGGCTCCCAAGAGGGCACTTGAGAGCACTTTAGCACACGTTTTGGCTCCCAATAGGACACTTTAGGGAGTTTTGCCTCCCAAAAGGGCACTTGAGGGCACTTTAGCACGCATTTTGGCTCCCAAGAGGGCACTTGAGGGCACTTTAGCACACGTTTTGGCTCCCAAGAGGGCACTTGAGGGCACTTTAGCACACGTTTTGGCTCCCATGGTACACTATAGCACACGTTTTGGCTCCCAAGAGGGCACTTGAGGGCACTTTAGCACGCGTTTTGGCTACCCAAGAGGGCACTTGAGGGCACTTTAGCACGCGTTTTGGCTCCCAAGAGGGCACTTGAGGACACTTTAGCGAGTTTTGCCTCCCAAAAGGCCACTTGAGGGCACTTGAGGGCACTTTAGCGCATGTTTTGGCTCCCAAGAGGGCACTTGAGAGCACTTTAGCATGCGTTTTGGCTCCCAATAGGACACTTTAGCACGCATTTTTCAACAATTGGGCCACAAGGGGGGCGACCCCCCTGTGCACGCCACTGCTACATGGTATGGTTACTACAATACCCATGAGCCACTATGGTGAAGAAGCCATTCAGAGGTGTGAATCAGAGCAGTAGCAAATTCAAAACGCTTTGGCGTTGCAGTTGTAAACAAAATGCGGCACCATAGTTGTTGAATTCATTCAAAACTGACCCAGAGATAAAACGTTTCCTCAACAGCGTAATCTTTAGTTTCCTTCCATTTCCTTCCTATCCTTTTGCAACCACGTACTTAACTGTGAGCTGCAACTGAGAGTCACGTAATATTGTCAATGGGAGAAATGAATGTGACTTTTACTTTGCTATCTGCTGCAACTCATGATGTAGTTGTGAAAGTGATCACATCAGTTTCTTTTTCTGCTTCCACAGATGATGACACCAGCTTCCAAGAAAACACCGTGCTTAGGAACAATAGCTGCTCTTAGCCTTATCTGCTCTGTTCTTCCATACTTTCTGTATTTTGAGCCTCCATCTGCTGGTTGCCCATTTACAACTACATTAGCTCAGAAGGAAAATAATGAAAGTGTGACATCAAATGAAAAGCCCATAGTCCTGCTGTGGTTCTGGCCTCTTGGTGTGAAGTTTGATTTCAAAGATTGCTCTACCCACTTCAACATTGACAGCTGTGTTCTGACAGATGACAGATCCCTCTACAGCAAAGCACAGGGAGTCATTTTCTTCCATAGAGATATAGACTGGAATTTGCGAAACATGCCGCAGGCTCCACGTCCAGCTTTTCAGAAGTGGATTTGGTTCCACGTGGAATCCCCGACAAACACGGCGACGATACCGGGTCTGGACAACCTGTTCAACTTAACACTGAGCTACAGAAGAGATGCTGACATCACAGTGAGGAATGAGCTCACTATCAGGGATTCAGAAACGAAAGATGACTTTGTTCTGCCCAAGAAAGATAAAGTGGTGTGTTGGATTGTCAGTAACAACAACCCAGCCACTGGAACAGCTGTGAGAGATAAATATTATCACGAACTGTCTAAATACATTAAGATCCACGTCTTTGGTGCAGCTTTTGGTCACCGGTTGAAATATGAAGACTATTACTCAACCATTGGTAGCTGTAAGTTTTACCTCTCATTTGAGAACTCGATCCACAGAGACTACATCACAGAGAAGGTTAACGGGCCCCTTGTAGCAGGGACGGTCCCTGTAGTTCTGGGTCCACCAAGAGAAAACTACCACCAGTTCCTTCCCTCTGATGCCTTCATTCACATAAATGATTTCCCTGACGCAAAGTCACTGGCAGAGTTTCTGCTCCTCCTGAACAGGACGGATGAGGCATACATGCGTTACTTTGAGTGGAGGAAGTTCTACACAGCCACTCCTCATCTCCTGTCTATGAAGAATGAATTCATTCAGCCCATTTGCCTCGCCTGCGACCACATCTCAAGAGATGAAGATTTCCACGTTGTACATGACCTTTATAAGTGGTACTCTTCATGAAAACCTCAATGAGAACATCATTTGACAGTGGCTCACAGATGCATGTTAATACACAGATTATATACAAGATTCTTGAGATTCTGCCTATAATTTGGCACATTTCAACACTGTATTCTAGTATACACTGTATTCTAGTATACACTGTATTCTAGTAGTCACGATAAGCTGGCTCAAACAAGCTGCAGATTGATGACAGATCTGTGAGGTAAACAAGAGGCTCCAGCCAGCAGCTAGAAGATGGTGGAGACAAAGGTGCTTTTGACAGTTTATGTCCAGTATTTGCTTCGGGTCATCTGTCAGGTCAATGCTCATTCATGCTTTATTTGTTTTTCATTCACACTTTCAGTGTGGATAAGAAGTTAGCTTTGGAGCTGAAGAAGATGGATGATAGTGTAACCGGATTATATGATTTGTTTAGTTGGGTTGATACAAAGGGACTAAGTCTCTGTGACTATGTTGTTACTCAGTGTCATGTAATGACCTCAGCCAGTATCAGACGTGTAGCTACTGTTGGTTGATATTGGCAATGCTGGCAATAATGAATTTTATTGGGATGAGTTGACTGGTTATCTGTTTGATTATGTTTTACTCTGTAAATGTAATATATTTGCTTTGTTTATAACTTCAGAAAATCATAATTAAGTTTTCAATGCTTATCCATGGGCTCATTTTGTTTTATAGTAAATTTTGCTTTCTGGTTTTTGGCATCAGGAATTTGTATTGATCAATATAGCTGTTATTCAATAAAGATGTAGTCTTTCAAATGTGCTGTTATTTTATATTTTCTATTGCCTGTCTCAACTCTAGGTCTTTTTTAAGAGTGAGACTGATTGTTTCAACATTGATTTTCAGAATGCATCAACAAATACACAATCTTCATGAAAATAAATTGTTTCATTTCATTTCATTTAAAAGTTTCACATTCTGGCACAGTATTGGTTCGACCAATGAGTAGGCGTGGCATCAGTCAAATGTCATATTTGAAGGAATGAACGCCAGCAAGTTTCACCCGCAGATCTTCACGCTCACCTTCCAAGCAGCAATGTCACTTTCAGCTCCACAGCACAAGCAAGTATTTTGCTAAACTTTCCATCCGCATTGCATTCACTGGATAAAAAAAAAAAAAAAAAATATCACAGATGATAGATCGTTGTACTCCAGAGCTCATGGAGTTTGGGTATTTCACAGAGCTATCAAGGACGACCTCTCCAACCTTCCCACCTTACCTAGACCCCGATTTCAGAGATGCATCTGGTTCAACATGGACTCGCCTACCAACACACGCATGATAGCAGGCATTATAGGCCTTTTTAATTTAAGCTTGAGCTACAGGAAGGACGCCGATATCCACGTTCGTTGGAAACTAGCTCCCAAGAAGAACACAGATGAAGATTTTGTGCTACCCAAAAAGGAACGACTTCTGTGTTGGACTGTTGATGTCAATGACGTGCACATAAAATCAAAGGAAATATACAATTAGGCTACTACAGAGAGCTTGTAAAACACATCAAGGTGGATGTCTTTTACAGCTCCTCTGACGACTCCTTGAAGGGTGAAAACTATTTCCTGAATATTAGCAGCTGCAAGTTCTACCTTTCCTTTGAAAATTCAATTCACAGAGATTACATTACAGTAACTTTCAATGGGCCTCTTGTAGCTGGCACTGTGCCGATAGTTTTCGCCCACAGAGAAGGAACTATGAGGATTTTGCCCCAGGTACTTCCTTCATTCCTGATGCCGCAACATTGTCGCTCCTGAGGCTGGATAAAGATAATGAGGCTTATATGCAGGGACATGTGGGTGTTCTGACACCCACACTTTTCCCAGTGACAGGGTTCAACACCCACACTTTTTCTGCAGTTTTTCCGCAGTTTTGCACAAACGCCTTACTACAGTTGCTCTGTTTCTCTGGCCGCTCTGTGTCTGCCTCCCTCTCCCCCTCCCTCTCCTGTTGTTGCCTCAAACATGACACCGGCTTTAAGTGTTACCGGCTGATGATTGGCTGTTCTGCCTTAAAGGGGAGATATTATTCAAGGAGTTTAAATAAGTCTTATAGGCCCCTGGGACATGTCTGTGAAGTTTCTTGTTGAAACTCAACCTGAACCTGGATTTTTTTGCCTGCCTCAAAAACCCTCTCTTTCAGTCCTACTCAGAACAGGATGTTTCAGTGTTTTCAGTGCCTGTGATGATATGTTCTCTGGCACCATGGTGATGCCAATGTGCCAATCCAATGTGGATGTACTGTTACATCACAGTATATCTAAATCCTGATCTGCCCCTTAAACCACAGGCATCTCTATGCAGCCAGCTCACACAACAATGAGGTGGTTGTAAAACCTCACTGTTAGTGGATCAGGAGGCAAACCAAATTCCCAAAAATACATATAAAAGCCTTTAAAAAGTGAATTTTTCATAATATGTCCCCTTTAAGTCAAATATAAGAGAACTACATAAAAATGCCCACAGTAATCCAATCCAATCCAACTTTATTTGTTAAGCACTTTAAAACAACCAAAGTTGACCAAAGTGCCGTACAGGAGAATAAATAAGACATCATAAAAAGGAAAAAGTCACAGACTCAAAATGGTCAAAGACAGCAGAGCAGGGGACAGAGATTGAGGGCTCATAAACTGAAGGTGAGATTTGAGCCCTAATTGAAGTGACCTTATCAATAAAAGTGAAGTGAAGTGAAGGAAGTTTTCACACACAGCAGGGGACGCCTCCATACAGGCAGTCTGTGGGGCATTCAGAAGTGAGTCAATAGTGTTAAACAAAACACGAGGCTTGTGACAGTTTGACAGGATAATATCTGAGAAATGTTTTCTTTTAGCATCTTTCACAGTTTTCTGATAATGACGCCAGCAGTCCCTTAACATTTGAAAATACACCTGCAGTTTATATATATATATATACGTTATATATATATTTACATTTATTCTAATTAATTTACCCTGAGGCTACAGCGATATATTGATTTGATTGTAATCCCTCTGTCCAAAAATATATGATTAATTTGATTATATTTTTAGAATTTCAGCTTTTTGTTTGATCTCATTACAAAGATACACTGAAATCAGTTAGCAGTAAAAAAATAAAAGTTACTATCTAACGTTATGTAGTTAAATCACTATATGCTATAAAAACATTTCTTCTGAGTTGCATTGTTAGGAAACAACTTGGATCAGTTTATTTCCTGCAGCTGCAGCTACAAATAAAGTTTGAACCATTAACAATGTTTATGTTTGAAATCTATGATTGTCTATACTTGTAGGCTACATGCTTACTGTATATCATGATAGGTACACAATGCAAATATGGTTACAAAACTAACCATAGCTCTAATCTCAGCTCATCTGGCTGCCATCTAGTGGTAGAGAAAAACACCCACAATACCTGTTGATTCTGCAGGGTGTCACTGTTGAAGCTCTGCATCCTTTCTCTCAGGTCTCTGTTTTCCTTGACTACACTCAGCATCGCCTTCAACTGATCTCTTTCCTGCCCGAGTGGTTCATTTTTAGACAAAAAGTCAGCAACAGTTTCCTCCAGGTCCATACTGGGGCTCCCAGTTTCACAGCTGAGCCACAACCAAACCAAAACTTGCTGACCGCCGGCAGAATCGCATATCAAATCACAACATGACAAAATTCTCTGCAGGGATTCTGTCAGGATTCTTCCAACTTCATAAAAAACACAGAGATCAGTTTTAGAAAAGAACCTTTTTATGAGGTTATTCTTTACCTTGGAAATAGCAGTTTGACAAAAGTAGGCCAATAGACATTAAGTAAAGTAAGTTGTCTAATAGAACAATGGCCAAGCATCAGGGACAAGAAAACACTGAACTTGTTAAGTCTGTAAAATACATAATACAGGTAGATAATTGTGTAAAATTATCTAACTAATTATACAGTTTTTGAATATAATGTGAAATATCTATAAATTATGTCAAATTATAGAGAAAAAAAAAAAAAAAAAACCGGGTCCTTTAGGGCAGTGGTTCTCAAATGGGGGTACGTGTACCCCTGGGGGTACGTGAAGGCACATATTTTAAAAAGTAGCATCCATGCAAAAATCCTTAAAAAATAATGATTTAATAAATATTTCAGGAAAATATAAGTTCATAAAATGAATTTTATATTATTAAGTATTTGCAATAAATTTAGTCATGGATTATTAACATTTAAAATGTTTGAAATAGTTTTTCTTTCAAATGTTTGAATTTTGTATGTGTTTATCAGTTCCAAAAGTTTAATAAATCAGACACTGATGGCACAGTGCTCTGTTTTAAGTATTTTTTTTTTCAACCAAAAATGCTTTGCGCTGGTTAGGGGGTACTTGGCTGAAAAAATATTTCACAGGGGTTACATCACTGAAAAAAGGTTGAGAACCACTGATTTAGGGAACCACTGACTGACAGCACTGAGCCTGCAACCAGTGGGGGTCTGTTGACGAACGGTGGGGGGGGGGCGGGGCCTGCGGTTGTTGCTGTGGTGACGTCGGCGGGGCGGGGCCTGCGGTTGTTGCTGTGGTGACGTCGGCGGGGCGGGGCCTGTGGTTGTCTCTCACCGGATCCAGATTTTGGATTAAATAACGAATAAAACGTTTCAGCAGCTCCGTGAAAGGACCCAGCTGTTCGCCAGTGTGCTGTGTGTGGAGTCAAGATGGGGAACTGTCTGACTGTGGGGCCAAACGAAGCCCTGGTGGTGTCCGGTAGGTGCTCCGCTTCTCGTTGAGCTGGCTGTCATCGTTCATACTCGGAGCTAACGGTCACCGGGCGCTAGGTAGCGTTAGCTGCTGTCAGGGTGCTAACGGGGGAAAGTGCGTTGTTTTTGTTTTATTAGTGGAAATATAACCGAGCGAGTGTTTGCTGACGGTAAGGTGAGCGGATGACCGCGGTGTAAGGTAAATAAATCAGTGTTGGTGATGCCAACGTGCTGCTATCGTCGACGGAGCGTCCGCCGCATTTACTGCTGTTAGCACAAGCTGCTGCAGTTAAAGTGTAATTAATTTAATTAGATATAAAACTATATGTGTAAATAAATAAATAGCGTCGAAGCTGCTGTCTTCTGAGGCGGTGTGTCGCTTCATTAAGGCCCACTCCGGGAGGGGGCGGGTCAGTGTAGCTGTCAGCAATCAGTGGACGACTCAAGAATAAATAATAATATAATAATAATAATAATAATATATAATACCTTTTATTTATATAACTCAACTCACTAAACTATCTGTGCAGCATGCAACGCCTTTTAACTTAATACCCTCACTTGGAATAAAGAAAAACTTTAATAAATGATTATAAAACCACAATAAAACTTTACATGAGGGAAAACAATGTTAACAATATTATAAATAAATACAGTGCACACATATAGGAGGAATGTGGAATCTGACATACAGAGCCACACAGACATTAACACAGGGACGATCATTCACTCACACAGCTGTATGTTGTGGTTACTTTAATCCTGAGCAACCAGTTTAAATATTTATTATCTTTAGGTCCAAAACATATCAGTTTCCTGGCTGTCGTGTGTTTGTTTGGTTCTTTATTGTACAGTATTGAACAGTTGCAGTCATTTTTACATCTCGGGCTCCTTTCAGCATCTCTTAAATACAACCAATGTGAATATAAAGAAGTGTATAGTAATAATAAACTGTGTGATCTGTAAACAGAAGGTGTAGTAATGTAATAAAGGCAGCCGTCCACTAATCCACGACGACTAATGTCAGTATTAGCTGTAGAATAGAGTTTAATTGATTAGTGAAC